CTGATGCTGTAGTTGCGGCCGTCGAGAGAGGGAATCCCGAGGAGCTGGCTGCCGAGGCTGGAGATTGCAGCCGCGATGCGATACAGCGGGGCCTCGCTGGGGGCGAGACGGGGATACACAACGGATCCTTGGTGCAGATCGTTGTTCTCGGCGATCCACTTGATCTTCTTGAGGTCGCGCTTGCCAATCTCGGTCATGGGGATCTCGTCGAGCTGGAAGCAGTTGTGGATCGGCACCTTGGAGACGTTGACGAGTGCAAGCAGATCCTGGGTCATCCGGATGATGTCGCTGGGCTCGGTGCGGGTCGTGGGACGGGCCTGGAGAACATACAGCATCACGATCTTCTTCTCGGAGGTCTGGACAAACGCACAGTCGGCGATGGTGTGGCTCAGGTGCTGGACGACCAGGGCCTCGAGATGGTTCAGGTCGACATAGACACCGTTGACCTTGATCTTCTGGTCGAATCTGGAGGTGTGAGAGACATGTTGAAGCAGAGTGTGGGATGGATTGGCGGAGGACCAGTGGAAGGAGGGCACAGACCACTCGGTGGGCACAGGGATATTGCACTCACCTTCCAACGACCGTAACTCGTTCTCGCTGACCATCTCGACCCAGTCCATGGTGCAGACTCGGGGCGAGCCGTCGCTGAGGAAGCCAAAGGAGGCCAGTCTGTCGTTTGGATCGGCGTTGACAAAGTTGGGGTGGTTGCGGACGGGATGGTCGGGATCGACGGCAAAGACCAGGATCCCGCTCTTGGAGACGTTTTGATCAACGATATTGCCCTCCTCGTCAAAGAGGAGGCAGCGCACCCCAGGCTTGGCCAGCTTGTAGACCAGCTTCTCTGGGATTTCGCTTTCTGGAGGAATATGCAAGTATGAAACTGCCCCTATTAAGGTTGACTGGTTGCAGTATGCATATCAGCTATCATTCAGTGTGGCGACCATGCAGACCTCCCAACTTCAAACGTACCTCACTTGATCCGTAGCCCAACTGAATCTCGGCATTTGGGAGAGTATCCCTTATTTTGTGAATGATACTCATGGGGATGTGCTCAGAGCCCAGTACAATACGTTTCGTCTTCGTCCATTTCAAGCTCGGATTCCGGGAAGCGGCGGTGCTGATGATCAACTTCATGAACGAGGGAGTCTGAGGGAGGATGTATGTCATTTGTATTGGCAATATGGATTCAGACACACTTTTGAGCTCGTTGCCTACCATGTATACAAAATTTAGGCCATCATCCAATATTTGAGCAACGTTCTTTGCTTTCTCAACTGCGTGGAATGTTGGCTTTGGAATCCACACAGATCCTCCAAGATTCAGAACGCAAGGAAGTGAGCCGAATGTGGCCACAAAGGATGGAGCCTAAAAATAATCAATGTCAGTATACCCAGTATTGCCCACGTATTAATGCGATATTCGATGTCAAGCATAGTTACCTGCAAAAGCCCAACGCTACTCTTCAGCATTCCAATAGAGGCTCGACCTGTGATCATTCCAGTGTGTGCAAACTTGAAACTGCAACAATCAACATCAAACACAGAAGGATTCAGTCAACGAGTGGTGATGTGATCACTTTGGGAATGGGAACAAGCATCAGGTGCGACACAGGATAGAATCCACAGGATAACTCACGATTTGGGGATGCCTGTGTGAGCGACGGGATGCAGGAAGCAGAGTTATGGATTGCATATGCATCGTCAGCACAACCTCTTGCTTCATGTCATGCCCCAAGCTGTCCACCATCCGACATCATGCTCTGCCGTTCTTCCTGACTATTCCACGTACCTGTCGTTCCTGAAGTGCAAATATAAACGACAAAGTCGTCGAGTGGCTCACAGAGCTCGAGCGATGGAGCAGGGACCTCGCTGAGCATCGGGAAAGTGCCGCCGTCCACCAACGTCACTCCTATGGTGCGGCCAGGCTTGGTGTAGTGGTGAAGGATGTACTTGACCGAGTGTCTGTTGGGTGCCATGGTGGTCGAGAGTGTGTCAGTCCCCGGCTTTGTCGATCGTGGGTCAATCCCGGCTCTGTCGACTCCATCCACAATCGGACTGCCTCCTTGGCTCATCGCTGCTGATGCTATACCTCGCACAGATGGCCTTGCGGACCGCCGATGGCCAGTTGAGACCAAAGTTGAGGGTTTTCCTGTCGGTGGATACGTGGGTGAGTCAGCCACGGCTGTTGCCTGTCATCCCTGGAGGGAGGACTCGCTCACAGCACATTCCAACATCCACAGCCAGGAACATGCAACAAACAGATCGAACCACAGCATCTGGGCCGATACTCACTTGCCCAGCATCCACACGGCGAGCGAGAAGAACACCCAGTGCGCCTCGCCTTCGCAGAAGGTGCCGATGGCATCGTGGCCGTCGTCGTTCCAGCCAGGGAGAGCCTTGAGAGCCTGGGCGATTGAGTATGCATGTTTCCACACATCGCGGTATGAGTAGCGCACAGACTCGCCGCTCTCGTAGGTGTTGATGCAGAGGGCATCGGGCTCGTCGCGGGCCATCCGGATGAAGGCTTCGACCGGATGGACCCAAGGGTCGAAGGGGTCGGCGGGCAGAGCTGGTTCGGGCTGAACAGGTTCGGGCTCGACTGCGGACACCTCGACCATCTCGGCATCCTCCTCCATCGACTCGATGGGCTGGACCTCGATGCCGAGCATGTCGTCCGAGTCGTGGGTGCTGATGACCATATCGGAGCCAAGCCGGCAGGAGAGACAACGGCAGCGGGATGCTGTCGGCGAGGAACAGGCACAGGCAGATGGCAAGGAGCCAAGGGGCGAGGGGCAAAGGGGCGAAAGCTGAAGGCGCCGTTGTTGTGGAGAATGTCGTGTCTGGTTCGAATCGGGTGGCCAACAAGCCGCGCCGATTCCATGGTCTGCCCAGACACGCATGCCAGCGAGCTCAGATGGAAGGAGTCTCTGTGCGAGGCAGTATGCAGTCGGTTGTTGTGGGAGGCTTGGCGAGCATCACAATCTCACGATCGCCATCGACGACATGCGGCCGGGGATGTGTGTCCTGTCCATAATGGATGAGAGTTCCAATTGGCAATTGACCGTTCAATGGTACACTGTATTCAGGGAAATGGGACACTTGCCCACAACTCATTCGTCAGCGTAATATGCGATGGCATGCGTCTAGCTATGCCATAAGAAATAGAACAGATCACTTTGGCAGCCTCCGAGTGAAGACCACCGGTCGCAGTGCAGCGATGCGAGAATCGAGGGTGCTGTGTTTGGCCATGATTGCAATGAGTGGGTGGGTGTATTCAGGTTCCAGAAAAAACCACTGTCATGGCTCAACGGGGTGTCCCATTTCATTTTGGAAACGCATTAAATCCACCTTCATCCACGCACTCACCCACACTGATTCACATCTGCGATCTGGGGTTGACTAACAGAACAGCGTCTATGGATATAGCCCACGGGCACGCTGTTCTCTGGGACCGCTTGGCGCAATGTTGTCCATTGCGGAACAGATGTGGTCGATGGAATGTTCGGCCAACGGCCAAATGATGTCTCTATTCATTTAGTCGCAACGGTGACGGTGCCAACAAGCTTCACGAGTCTACTGGCTTCACGAGGACGCACTACTTGTTATTTTTGGGAGGAGAGCCTGCGGTATATTTCTGCCAAGATTCCAACCAAGGTGAGAGATGTTAGCTGGCCAGGGCGTAATCGAATCAGGATGTTGACACACAGCTCGTCGGCCAGCAGATCTTGTACCTTTTTTCCATAGTCCCAAGGGACGTACTTGTATTTGATCATATGCTTGATCTGGCGCTTCATGGTCAAGCCAAAGAGGATAAAGAAATAGATACTGTTCCCGTCGTCGTTGGGTTCGTGAGGGAGCGAACGGATTAGACATTCAGTGCGCCAACAGCTCAGCTACAGCCAGCAAGCTCGTCCACTGAGCGGCAACCGCCATAAGATGGTAACGCGACTGTACAATCAGCATCAGATGGCGAGCCTTACACGAGGATCGGCCAGAAGACAGGGATGTCGAAGAATGGGATAAACGTGCAGACAAAGGCGATCAGGATCGCCTTCGTGGCCGAGTACCTGCACGGGCAGTGAAGGATAATGATCAGCAAAGTGAGCGAGGGGCTTTGCTGGCGGAGACAGTCCCGTGCCGAGGAGACAGCACAGCATACCAGAACTTGAACTCGGGAAGCCGACGCACAAAGGGTCGGAACTCTTCATCTGCCTTAGTAGGCAGAGACATGCCTTCGCCATCAGCTTCGTCGTCGAGCTCCGTGGTAGCAGGATCGAACTTTGGCGTCAGGAATGCCAAGAACAGGTTCAAGAGATAGATACCTAGGGCGTACTGAGGTGGCGAGGGGGCGAGGAAGCGGAGTGTGAGACGGGTCGTTCAGCCGGACGGCCCGAGTGCCCGTGATGCATTCCCCGGCCATTATGCAGTCCCTCGATCCAGGTGCTTGCGGTCAGCCGAGCTCTGCTCCGAAGCGAATCGAATCGAGGCATGGGCATCGCAGCGCAACCACCGTCGGGCGATCAACCAGCCAAGCGGCCGAGTTGGCCCGGTCCACGAACTTGAGAGCGCCAGGAGCACGTACGGTGACAATGTACCATCCGCTGATGAGGAAGGCACGAACGGCATAGACAGCGGCAACGAATCCGGTGAAAATCCAGCGTGGGGCGGTGTGCGGTGTGGTATCATCCAGGAACTTCTGGATTCTCTGTTGGAGGCAGAAGAACTCGGGTTACGGAGGATGCCGGTCGAGTTTGCACTCGATGCTGCGCGAAACCATCGAAAAAGAACGTGTGCGAGACGCAGGGAAGGCGACTGAGGCTGCAAGGGAGGGTCCCGGGATCGGATTGGAGTCGGCCAGAGACTGCTGGGCTGAGCCAGGTTTGGCTGAGGCAAGCGACAGCCCAGCGACCCATAGACCGATGTCGGCGATGCACAGCAACACAATGGAAGAACAAGCTTTACACGCTGGAGCTGGAGGACTTGCAGCTGGATTCCGGTCGGCTCGCCGATGTCTGCCGACGCTGAAGGATCGAGGGAGGCCATGGTGCGGGTGCGAGGAGGAACGGCGATCAGAGCGGGACCGAGATGGAGCGAGAAAGGGGGCCGTGGGTTGGCGCTGGCGAGCGGCCAAGAGGACCGCCACACGCCTCGGCTCGAGCCGGCCGGATCGAGCCAGCCGGATCGAGCCAGCCAGGGTTTGGGGCTGTCCTTGAAGCATGCTCGCCATCGGGCTGTCGCATGATCGATCAGGCACCCCCAAACTCTTCGGCGGCCTTTGGGGAGGGAGGGGTGGAGGGCAGGCCCAAGGACGTATTTCTTCCGGCTCGCTCGCCGCCCTGCTCTGCTCTGCTCTGCTCGGCTCTGCTCTGCTCGGCTCTGCTTCCCTCTCTCGACCCGCTTCTCTCTCAAGCTACTTCCCTCACCCACAATGTTGGACCTTCCGCTCAAGTCCGGTACAACAGTCGTCGTTCTGCCTTCCGTATCCCGTGCTGCAACATGGTCTGCCCGCCTGGCACAGTCTTCGTCGCATTTGGGCGCCGTCGCTCCGGCAACTCGCTCCGTCTCGACCACGTCTGGCCAGTCCGCTGTCTCGGCGAAGCCCGTCCCGCTTCGGGCTGCTGCGTCCTGGCTTCAGATGCTGTCACGCTTCGACCTCAATCTGAGCTTGCGGGCGTACGATTCGTCCGCCAACGACCTGTTTCCCACAACCGAAATGATCCTGAAGAAGGTGAATCGCAAGCGACCCGTGTGGAGCAATGCCATGGTATGTTGCTGTCTCGACACATCCCTGCCTCGCCTCGAGCGGGTGGTCTGGGCGGACGTGCGGCCGCCGTGAAGTGCTGCAGGTCGTCCGGAAGCAGCAATCCGTCCTGGAGCGATGCTCGCTTCAAAGCAGCGATTTGTTCAGGAAAAATGGCTCAGTCCGAAGTAGCAATGCCTCTGTGGCAGCAGCTAATTGCGTGAGCTTCGCTGCGACTCGTGCGATGGGCATCTGTGACGAGCACTGACGGTTTTGATTTCGCTGTCCGGCCCCCTCCAACACTGCTTTCGCAAATCAATTACATGTCCGCAGAGCCTTACCGTCCCCATCTACCGTCAAGCCCTCCACCACACCCGCAAATACCTTCGATCCTCGCGCCTTGTTGCGACTCTCATTCCCGCCACGCTCCCGAAAGACGTCCGGGTGCATCCCACCAAAGTCCCACGGCGCGATGACTTGCTTCTGGCAGGAATGACCCCATCCGAGGCCCAGGGATCGATTCCTGGAGAATGGATCTACCACGAGCCTGCCTGCCAACAGGCTGCCCTTGTTGCCGGAAATGATCCGGCCAAGGAAAAGGTGGTTCTGTTCCTTCATGGCGGTGCATATTTCATGTGCTCAGCCGAGGGCCATCGCATGCTGACCTGGCGATTTAGCAAGGAAAGTGGAGCCAAGGTCCTTGGTAAGTGACTCTGTGAGACCCAGAAGAAGGACGGCTCTGATTTCAAGCACGCCGTGCCTCATCCTTCATCCAAGCATGACGGATGCTGACCCTATACCCTGTCGCCAGCCATCAACTACAGGCTATCTCCCGAGCACACCTTTCCCCTGCCTCTTCACGACGCCATCTCAGCCTACCTCGATCTCATCGACCCCAAGGATCCGTCCCAGCGGCGGTATACACCCGATCAAATCGTTATTGCCGGCGACTCGGCCGGTGGTGGCCTGGCTGTTGCAACAACGCTTTGGCTAAGAGATAATAACTATCCACTCCCGAGCGGCGTTGTAGCCCTGGCTCCATGGCTGGACCTGACCCATTCCCAGCCAAGCTTCCGCATCAACGGCGAATACGACTATGTGCCCTCGACACACGAAGATCCACTTTACATCGTGCCGGGCCACCGCTCGCACTACTACACAAAGTCGGATGCGGAAAACAAGCATCCCCTGGTCTCGCCGCTGTTTGCACACGAACGCCGCGACCGCCTCATGCCGCCGACCCTCATCCATGTTGGCGAGCTGGAGCGCCTTCGTGACGAATCCATCGTCTTTGCCGGCCGGGTGATGAAGAACAGCCCCATCAAGGTCGAAATGTTCAAGAACCAGGTCCATGTCTTCCAGGCCTTTGCCCACCTCGGCGAAGCCGCGGCCCAGGCATCGCTGCAAAAGATTGGCCGATTTGTACAAAATCCGTCCTCAGCCGAGCGCGAGTTTGTTGTCGTCGACGACGAATGTCCCGACGTGCGCGATGGACAAGTCGTTTCCCTCGCCGAGCATCGATATAGTGTTCAAACTGGGCTCGATCTGGTCGAAGAGGGCCGCATGCAGCTCGGAAGCGGCGTCAAGGACTGCCTCCAAGACCACCTGCGCCGACGAGCCACAAAGCTGACTGCGGCACCCGCAACTCGATTGCGAAGCGATCACTCCAAGTATTTTATATAGATCGACACGGCCTTGGTCCAGCAAACCACTTCCCATTCTTCCTGACTCCCACTGCGGTTCTCGAAGACGCAAAATCAACAAAGCACCGCCTGTAGCACCAGTCGCTAGGCACTCACAATGGATATTACCACTCCATGACTTCTCCTTGGGACAGCGCCGTGCTGTTCGCATGCCACTATGGACCCCATCAATCCCCGAGAAACGCAAGATTCGCAGTCACTCAGAATCGCAGCTCCACGAACAAGCGCGACCCCCCGGATCCAACGAAACAACTGCAGCGATTATCGACTGGCAGTCGTTAATGGATTGAATTGATCTATCGCCACCGCCACTGCTGCGTCCAGCCTTCGAGTGCAAGTCTACCGCATGAAGCAAGGCTCAACATCAATAATGTCAACGTCTGCGAGCGAGCGTGGCTCACATTATTTGCTAATGATACTACTGTACACTTGATAATGATGATGATAATGATGATGATGATGATGATGATGATGATGATGGTGGTGGTGGTGGTGGTGGTGGTGGTGGTGGTGGTGGTGGTGGTGGTGGTGGTGATGATGATACCGTTGCACACATAATACAGTCGTGAAACTCACCCCGTTGGTCGCAAGAGCAGCCGGATGCCTCGACCAGAGCCGGTTGTGTCGCCTGGACTGGCTGTGGCGCAGGACGCTGTGACGCTCACGTGGTCGTAGAGCTCGCCTGCCGCACCTTCCCGCCTTCAAGCGCCCAGCGCACCTTCCTCCCCGCCATCTGCATCCCCTGCATCCCCCTCGGCCGACCAACCAGCCAGCTCTGCCCAGCATGGCCCAGCTCCCAAAGTCCGAGGTCCAGCAGATCTTCAAGAAGCTGAATTCCAAGCGAGAGAACAAGGTCTGTCCAGCCTCTGGTGCTGCTCTGGCCATGCTTGCCCCGCTGTATTGCCCCGCTGGGCTGGCGGAATGTCCCCGCTTGCCCTTTGCCACTCTGTCGTCATTCTCTGCATCCATCATCGATCTCGTCAGCACCCATCGATGCTGTCTTTCGCTGGGCCCTCATTTGGTGTCCCCCAGCCGGACTAGGTGATGTCGCTCGCCCGATAGCTGAGCTTCAGCCGCTGGTTTGCTACTCTCTGACCGCACGCCCATTTCGACTCTCGCAGGTGTGCTTTGACTGCAGCGCCAAGAACCCGACCTGGAGCAGCGTTACATTCGGCATCTACCTGTGCTTGGACTGCTCTGCCATCCACCGCAATCTCGGCGTCCACATCACCTTCGTACGCTCAACCAACCTCGACTCGTGGTCGCTGGATCAGCTCCGGCTTATGAAGGTCGGCGGCAATCAGAACTGCCTTGAGTTTTTCCGACAGTACTCGGGCGGCCCGGCCGGCCTCGACAAGTTCAAAGACCCCAAGGTCAAGTACACTTCCAGGGCAGCAGTCCTGTACAAGGAGCGGCTGAAGAAGCTCGCAGACGAGGATGCCAAAAAGTAGGTGCTGGCAGGAACTCTTTCCATCGGCAGGGACGCATGCTCGACGATGATGCAGTCTGGTGCTTGACGCGGGCTTGGTGGCCGATCGACACTCTGCTGCCTGGGGGCCCCGCTGACTGGCCGAAATCGTGGCCTTGTTGGCGGTTCATCCGCTCTGCGTTCTGATTCCACGTCATCCAGGTATCCCACCCGAATAGTGCTGGAGAGCCACGACGACCAAGCCGATGGAATTGCAGAGGCCGCCTTCAACGACCCCTCCAATGAGGACGACTTTTTCGGAGAGTGGGATGCGCCCAAGACCCCAACTGCCGCGGTTGCAGCCAAGCCTGCGCTCGCTGCTGCTCCTGCCGTCGCCGCTGCGACTTCGGGCCGCCCAGAAAGCAGCCCCATTGGCAGCACGCTCTCCAGCCCCAAAGTCGCCCCTCTGTCCGCACCCTCACCCTCGGTCGGCTCCCCTGTCGCCCAGAGCGCCACTCCCAAGCCCGCCGTGCTGTCCACGACGCAGCAAGGCTCTTCCATGACGATGGGCTCGTCTACTCAGTTCCTCAAGGGCGGAAGCAAAAAGTCTCTGGGCGCCAAAAAGGCCACCAAGGTCATCAACTTTGACGAGATCGAGCGACGTGCAAAGGAGGAGCAGGAGCGGCTCGAGAAAGAAGAGCTCCTGCAGAAACAGAAGCGCGAGGAGGAAGAGCGGTTCAACCAAATCAAACCCAGTGGCGTGTCGTCGTTCTCGAGCCGCCTGGCGTACGTCGAACCTGGTGCCGGCGAGACCTCGACTTCTTCCGAGGACCCCATGGAGCGTCTGGGCATGGGCGTCGGCAAGCTCGGCTTTGGGTTTGATGCTTCCGCTAATGCCGATAGCAAGCGACCGGCCAAGTTTGCCAATGTTACTGGCCCAGCCCCTAGCTCGTCGGCGTCGGGATCATCTGGCTTTGGACAGAGCCCATCGCAAGCCCAGCGCTCTGGTGGATTCAGCCAAAGCGGATTCGGTCAAAGCGGATTCGGCAAGAGTGCTTACGAATCGAGCGACGACGCGGCCAAGCGATTTGGCAACGCAAAGGCCATCTCAAGTGACCAGTACTTTGAGCGCGGCAACTACGATGCCCAGGCCAGGTTCGATATCCAGCATCAATTACGAAGGGGAGGAGTGATAAGTGGCGTGCACGAGTTCAAAAGGGCACGATCGGTGGACGCACCGATCTTTGCCCATGGCCGACACCGGCTCCTGTCGATTGGTGCGCGCGCGAAAGCTGAGCCCGTCTATGGTCAATTCTGACGCTATTTGCTTGATCGATCAGCATGGAAGCCCGCGACAAGCTTCGTCAGTTCGAGGGCAAGTCCGGATTCGGATCCTCTGATTACTACGGTGAAGAGCAGGCCAGCCGCGGTGGAGTCTCCATGATGCCCTCGAGCAGCTACGAGGGAGTTCTTGGTAGCGTGTCCAACACAGCCAAAGACTTTGCAAACAAATTTGCGAGCCAAGCCGCGGACGACTTTTCGACCCTGAGCCGCATCGTGTCGTCGGGCGGCAACAAGTTGGGCGAGATGCTCCAGGATATCCAGGTGGGGGTCATTGTCGTTGAAGCGACAGAGGGCACTGCAGTTGGGGATTGGGCCTGTGGGGACATTTACGACGGCAGCAACATTGCATTGTCGCTGCTGACCGCTGACTGACGACGGACAACCTCTTCGTATCGATCCCAGTCTCGGTACTCTTAAATCAACCACGCTGTGGGGCTCCCTGTGGTGGTATCTGCAGCGACGATGCCTCGCTGTCAAGTTTGGTGCATATTTGCTGTTGTTGTTTTGCGTTTTGTATCCCCTTGAACCCAACGCCCAGGGCTGTTTGCGCTCGCACAAACTTGTCGGCCCAGCCCCTTTCTGCGTACCTCCCCATTTGTTGTTTTACAGCACAGACACGCTATATATGTAGACTGAGTGATGTTGATCGATTGCCCAACTGAATGCTGTCGATCGGCGCCCGCTTGTGATGAGCTCGGCCGATGAGATATCGCGGGACAGACGCCCAAGGAGACGATTCAACCATGGCGTGCTTGTGGCCGGAAGATATGTTGTGGCATTTTGCTTTTTCAACACTATACAAATTGCGTTACCGAATGGGAACAGATGTGCCGTGGGGTGCGTCGCTCGCTGAGTGACTCGGATGTCCAGACAATCCCCGCCTCTCGTCCGTATCAAGCATTTTGCTCAAGTTGCGCACCACCCAAGTCCATTCTACAATACCGCACAACTCGAATCACTCCCGCCGCCGCCGCCGCCGCTGGGGCAGCCGCACAAAACCGACATGACCAGATCGACGGCCAGAGGAATGACCCCTCGTATCCCTTTGCCAGTGATGGCGCTGCACTCGGTATATGCGTTGACTTTGCCAAACTCCTTGATGACCTGCTTGGAGAGCTCATCACCCTGGGTATGGCCAGTGTCGTGTGAGACGTGGAATAAGTGGCCCATACGTGGCCCATACGTAGCCCGATCGATCCGTATGGGAAACATCAAGGACGAGACAACAAGGAACAGAAACCGGGCGAGCCGCCACAGAGCGATAGCGCCTGCAATGGTGTCCTTACTTCCTTCGGTGTTAAGATGGACATTTGACGCGCATCGCCGACCGCCGATGCTTCTGGGGCCTCGTCACTGGTCCGGAGATCGATCTTGCATCCAACTAGCAGTATTGGGCACGTCGGACTGAGCTTCAGCGCTATTCGGACCCACTACATAGATAACCCGAGTTGATACACCACGGGTGAGTCGGCTCAAGGTGAGTACAGTGCCGCTTCGCTGTTGTTTCCACGCTGCAGGTGGGAAGAGTATGGCTTGGTTGCATCACCTTCTCCTTCACCCGCCCCAGGTCTTGCGGGCAATCGACAGCAAAGCATATCAGGATGGCGTTGGCATCTCGGAAGATGGTCGGGTCATCGGCGACGGTATTGGCATCGGTGTCGCAAAACTCAAGCACAAAGTGGTGTCTGTTGTGTGTGTATGCCAGCTTTTGCGAGCCCGGGGCTGATTCACTTCGGTCTCCTCCAGCAATGAGTCCGAGTTCGGTCGAGGCCTGACAACGCCGTGGCCAGAGGCGGTGAGTTGGCGTCTGTGAGTCATCGGTCTGGACAGGAGAGACCGCCAGCGGCGATCAGGCAAGCCCGGAGCCGCACCAACCCCTCGTTCATCCGCCGCGAGCTACGGAAGATGAGCTGCTGCTCGATCGTGGGCAAGCAGCCACGAGGGAGTCCACTTACGGAGCCGAGCCCACGGCCATATTTGAGGGCCTTGATCAGGCTCGACTTGCCGCACCCTCGATCCCCGAGGACAATAAACTTGAGCTCGAAAGAGCCTCGTTGAAGGGGCATTCTGTGAGGGGGGGGGACGACTCTTGGTCGAGGCGGCACAGGCGAAGCCAGAGCTGTTTGCACCGACTCTCTCGCTGAAGGAAGACCCCGGCTTTCCAGATGCCGGCACGAGTTGCAAACAGGCGAGTCTGTGCCGCAAGCAGACGATCCCGAGTCGGCGCCGTCGTCTGTTGCCCTGGATGCCCACGCGGCTCAGCCCTCGGTTGGCCAGAGAGCCGCCGGCCGCCCGACCGCTGCCGATCCCGATCAGGGGCAACAATCAGGGGCATCAATCAGGGGAACTTGACCTGGAAGGCGGCTGGCGTCGCGCCAATCACGCCTGCCCACGTGCCAATGCGCAGCGTGTGTGGCGCAGCGGAATGTGACTTTCGCATGACCGCGGCTCGGGCGCTGGTTGGAGCATCGACTCGAGTATTTGATTTGCACACATTGGCTTGCACATCGCCCAGTGCATCGACATCGACATCGACATCGACATCGACATCGAAAGAGCCACGGCCAGCGGTATGATGCCGCCGCCCTTGGATATGGATACCGCCTCGTCAGCAGCGCCTGAAGGATCGACGCCGCGTTCGTTAACAGATGCTCCGGTCCCACACTCGATCCCAGCCCCAGATCGCATCGACCTCCACACCACAACCTATCCATATCCGCACCCTGATCCGAGCCCACTATGGAGCAAACTCCCTTCCAGCTCATCCGAAAGTACCCCAAAACCCAGGGCGACTATGCCATGAGTCTGACTGCCAGCGTCGACCAGACCCTTATCGCCAGCGGCTGGTCGTCGAATCTTGTCACGGTCTATGATCGCTCGTCGCTCAGCGAGATCTTTGAGTTCCAGACAGCGCCCTCGACCGATGCACCCCTGAGCGAAATCAAGTTTGATACCACAAACAGCTCGCTGCTTTGGATTGGATCCAAGGGCGGGCTCATTCAACTCTGGGACCTGCGCTCGCGGGCTGCGCCGGCCTTGACGCTGCAAGGTAGGTCATGCATCATCGCAGATGCCGATTACGACAACACTGCCTCAGCTATGCCGACGTCTCCAGAAGAGGAGTGGCCGCTACTACCACCAACGGCTACCGGACCCGCATCGCCAACGATCTTTGAGCTGTCTGGGATGGAAGGCCTTCAATCACCCATCGGGAACTGCGGCTTACAGTATTGGATTTGTCGGATACTGATGTCGCCCTGGGATTGTCTCGTTCCCATCCAGCCGGAGCACCAGTCCTGTCCTTCGATATCAACGCCAGTCATACACTCCTATCTGCGGTAAGCACTCGCACCTCACCGCCCCGTACCAAATTCCGCTTCCATTACCGCAGCACCGCCAGTCATGCGGTTCGCGGGTCATTCTCAACACGACTGATTACTCTCCACTAGGGCACGGAGCTGCAGAGCTACGAAGGCTTGGAAGAAGACGAACCCGTCGGCGATGCGGCCAAGCTCTGTTTCTGGTAAGTCGGCGGCCCGACGGGTGCTCTTGAGGCTATCGCGCTGTTGCCCCCTGGCACATGTAACGGTGCTCCAAGCGAATATGTGCTCAAACGACCGACATATGGACTTGCAGGGACGTTCGAACGCAGAATGCCTTGGTCGCATTCAACGAAGTCCACTCAGACGATATCACACAAGTGCGGTAAGTTCTGCTCGCTACAACTCAGTCGGGGCGGGTTGTCTGGGCTGTTGTCTCGACAAAGAAAGCAAGCAAGCAAGCAGGGCTGACAGAAACGGAAACCGCGAAGCTTCCTCCCTCACGCTTGCTAGATCCAGCCATTCGCACATCGCCTGCTCCTGAATAACCCTTGGCTTGTGCTTTCTCTGACACCTGCGTTCGGTGCCTCAGCTTCCATCCCACCCACGGCGAGGCCCTCATGACAGGCTCGACAGATGGGTAAATCCACATTTTGTCCGGTCTTGCAGCACATTCGCAGCAGTTTCGCAAGCGATCTGATGTTTTGGCAAGCTCGCTCGGAACTCTCTCTGCGATGAATTGCTCACGCTCAAGCTGCCAACAGCCTCATCAATCTCTACAACCTTGCCACGTTGGTAGAAGACGACTCGCTTTACCAAACATTGAAAGTCGACTCGGTCAGCAAGCTTGGCTACTTTGGGCCGAGCTACGAGTACCTCTACTGCTCCACCCACATCGAAACATTCTCTCTGTGGAACTTCCAGGAGGTATGAATCCAACTGCGCAGCGGCAGGTGTTATCGGCACTCGAGCGAGACTCACACATCGGCACTGCATATGAATCATGGATCGGTCCAAACGATCGTAGGCGGAGGTCATTTCGAGCTACGGTGATATTCGGTCGCTTTCGACGCCGCTTCACAAGATCGACTACATCATCGACTGTCACTACGACCATGAAAGTCAGCGCCTGTTCATGTTCACCGGCTCGCAAGAGTGAGTACACAGACACACCTCATCACTCCCCCGCTGCATGCAGTCGCCTCCACACCACACCCGGGCTCTGTTAGGACGCCTCCAACGAACGGCGCAATGGCCTGACTCGCCCAAACAACCCCGCGCAGAGGAAGCATTGGCATCTCGGACGTCAGCTTGCAATCTGCATCGATTGTGCACACGCTCAACAACGGCCACTCGGATATTGTCCGCGATGTGCTGTGGAACAAGAATGTGAGTGCTTGCCTCGTTCTCGGCTGTCGCAGAACAAACTACGAAGCTGTAGCTGTTGACGACTATCAAACTGGGCACTGCTGTGTCTTGAGCGTGTCGAACTCACAGCCACTTGTTGCTCCCGATCACTTTGCCCAGACGCGCACCATCGTATCTGGCGGCGAAGACGCCACAGTTTGTTTCTGGAGCAACTAGACCCAGTCCCCTTGCATTTGACGAAAATCCACGCCGACCAGGCTCCGAAGCGCATTTGACTTTCCGCCCATCCGTGTTTGGTCGTCAGTGCGCCAGCCGCGACGCAACTGTTGCTGCATGTGCTGTATTGTTCATGTCTATATCGATGCCTTTCGAGGGATCGGTGTGTGCATCCAAACATATCTACGCTCGCTCGCTCACCCGATCCGTGCCGGGGGTTTGGCTACTGAGCTACGAGGAGGGAAATACATCCACAGGCTGCTTTCTTTGCAGGAAACTGACCGTGCATTTTCGCAAGAGGCTGTGGGGAGAGGGGAGGACGGAATGCGCGCTTGTGGGTAGAAGCCTATTCATCGTGCTCCATCTCGATACGCTCGTCGTCAGTGAGCTTGCGGTGCAGCAGCGGGTAGATCTCGCGATCAAAGTACTTGGGAACGGCGCCGGCCTTGTGGGCGCGGTTGACGGTGTTGAAGTACGCCTCGTAGCTGAGAAAGGGGAATCAAGTCAGCATGAAGCCCCGGGACGGCCGTGCGACGGAGCAGACACCAAGATCCAGAGGGCAAGGCAGCCGTATCTCCTCTGTCCTCTGCCATACGTCCTCAATCCTGGTCGCCAGCTATCTATGCGTCTATGCACTCAGTCACTCGAGGTGGGATATGCAAGCACATACATGTTGCCGTCGTAGCGGCCGAGGGGCGAGTTGATCACGTAATCCGAAAAGTTGAACGAGTCGCAGAGTGCGATGGCATCGTTCCGAACGATCTTGCAGAGCTCCGAGACCTTGCCCTTGACCCAGTCCAACTGTATACAGCCGGCGGCTCAGTTAGTAGTGCTAACTACTTGCTCTAGTTACGCCAAAACCTTGCGGATCCGCTCTCGCACACACAAGAATCAGTGAACTCATGGCAGTCGAGAAACGCAGATACCGGCAGCATGGCCCGTATTGGCGGGATCCCTCACCTGCTGGCCAGAGAAGTACTGGTACTGCAAGAATGCGCCGGCGTTCTCTTGGATGTTGTACAATCCGTACAGCCGGCACAAGGTTAGCAGAATGGGCTTGAGGGAGGCCGGGGCCTTGTTGATGCCGTCCTTGAAACGATGGAAGAGGTATCCGTAGGAGTGCATTTTGGCAGCGGCGAGACGGGAGTGTGCTGGATTGAAGCCCGATGACTGTCAGCATAAACGACATTCGCTACGACATGTTTCACTTGAAGCTATCTACGAGACACGGTGCGTCGCTAGGGCTTGCTTCGGTACAGCCGCCAACTTACAGCACTCCTCGTAGGCTTCGTCTTCCTTGAGTCCCTTGGCTCGGAGCGATTCAAACTCATCGCCAGCCTTCTTGACGAGGTTGGCTGAAACGAGGTTGTATGCATTGCCGATGGTCTCCAGATCTTGGATCTCGTCAGGCTGGGTGGCCTGGCATCGGGCACTCAGGACCTGAGTCAGATTGTTGAGGTAGGCAACGCCGCCGTGCTGGATCTTGCCCTTCTTGGCATCTCGGTAGCTAACGATCGGCGTCGATGATTCAAAGTCAGTGTCGCTACTCTCGCCCACCAAATCGCTGGCTGCGGGTGCAGCACTGGATGCACGGCTCCCTATCAGCAGAGTTGAATGCGCGCGATGCACTCACCATCCAATGAGGTATCGACCGGCCTGCAGGGTCAGAATGGTGTTGTCACCCTCCCACGTGCACTGGACGGCAAAGTCCGAGTAGAGCGAGGCGAGGCCGGTGTACGAGGAGTATCCGTGGCCACCGCACGCTTGTCTGCACTGGAGAACGAGCAGCAGCACGTTTCATGCGAGTCAGCAACTGTGAGTGCAGGCGCATGTGGCTGCCTTGGATGAGGGTCGTCCTGAGTTGCAAACACACATAGCACATTGCATCTTACGAAACAAAGCTGGGTTGATCACAGCGCTCACGCAACCGAGCCCAGATGCTGTACCACTCGAGCTCACCTGTTCAATAGTTGCGAGAGCGTTCCAGGTGCAGAAGGCTTTCAAACCTGCGCTGGTGCCGTGGACTTCCTTGAGCTGCTCAAGGATCGTCTGGAGGTTCTTGTCTCCAGGCTTCAAGGTTTGCATGGCGTTGTTCAGCTTCTCGTAGATGCCATAGACCTCGACTCCGGTAAAGTGCATCGCAAACTAGGGCAAAGGCGCGAGTGAGAAACCTGGGATCGTCCTAGCCGATATGTACAACTCAGGGCTGTCGGCTGTGTATGTACAGCCGAAAAACGGTGGCCCAGTCTCGGCCCGGGCTCCACGGCGCTGATGCAATGCGTACTACTCACAGCTTGGGCCAGAAGAGGCAAGAGACGGTGTTGGTGGATGATGTAGTCCAGCAACTTGGTTTCGGGCTCGCCGGCCTTTGCGCCAAACTGGCGACGGATGGCAGCATAACGCAAAGCGATAGTGAGAGCCTTCTTGGAGATATTTCCAGAGTCTTCGATAGAAGTAAGAATGCACTCAGCTGCCATTTCACACGAATGGGACCATGACCACATGTCCGGCAATAGTAGCAGCGATGTTCAGGAGCACTCACCGACAACCATCGTGACTCTGCCTTGGATGAGAGCACCATAGGCAAGCTGGGCAAGTGGAGGCTCGGTGACCACGCCAGCCCGCGAGACTGGCAAATCGATTGGGTCCAGATCGGGATCAGTACGACTCTGTAGTTGTATGTTGACGGCGTGCAAATACGTCCCCCCCCCCAGGCATTCGACCCAAGGAAACATTGACTGCGCCTACCTTTGGCGTGTCTCATGAGCATGTATGATCGAGGAATGCGAACGTGGGTAAACTGAAACACATGGTCGCAGTCAGATACGCTCGGCTCCAGACAGGTGCGAGACGCAACAGCAGCGACATGGGCCCGAAACAGCGAAGCTTACCTGGATCCAGCCGTTATCGGTCCCGTGTCGTCCCTGAAGAGATGAAGGAGGGCTGTCAGTTTGCACGGAGCCGCCTGTCTCGATTTCGATGCCGATTTCGATTTCGATGCAACGGCAGTATCGACCAAGCAAACCACCCACCATCTTGGCGCCAATATCGCCAATGACCACTCCGGGTCTCAGAGCAAAGGTCTTGGGATCGCGGAGGGGCACAATAAAGGTCTTGACTCCATAGCACTTGCCCTTCACAATGAGCTGAGCATAGACACAGGAATGCGTGGCTGACTGTGCTGCACCACCAATCCACCACTTGGTGGCTGTTGTTGTTTTGGATAAGAAAAGATGTCAGGAATACGGGCAATGGCAGGACGGATGCAAGATACCAAGCATCAATGGGCACGGACCTGTGAGTGTCGGGGTGTGGATAACAAACTCATCCGAGGCTTCGTCGTACGTTGCCGTAGTCTCCAAGCCAGCCACGTTTGATCCCTGAAGAGAGCAGAGTGAGCGCAAGCCCAAGGAAGTGCATGGATCGCAGGACAGATGTCAGCGGATGGTTGTCGGCCAGCACCCGGAGAGCAACCAGGAACAGCCGAGACGACTCAGTAACACTGGCCCGGAAGCATTGACCCGCAAATACGTACGTGGCCAAGCTCGGTCATGGCATAGCATCCAATGAGGCCATTGAGGGCAACGGCGCCCTTCTGGACCCAGAACGCAAACTGCTCGGGAGTAGCCTGGCCTTGCAGAGCACCAAAGAAGAGGCCGTCTGTCCAAACAGAGGATATCAGTCACGCAGCAGGAAGCAAGGGCAACTTGTTGGCAGAACCCAGTAACGCATAGGCACCAGTCCTATACTCGACAGCTGGCTACGTACAGTGCACTCCAATGCGAGTCCAAGTGCCGGGGTCCACCAAACTGAAGGAAAGGTCAAAGAAGAATGGAACAAAGGTTAGTGGATCCGCAGATCGTTGGACTGCATCGACGGTGCGATTCAGAGCCTGGGGAGTACCTCAGAATGGAGAGTCTGATTTTGAAGAAGCTGACGGGCTCGGAGGAGACAAAATGAGCCGCACGGCGCACTTTGGCCATGGTGCGCTCTCTAATTTCATCAAAGGTGAGATCGTTGTGATCCTCGACCTTGAAAATGGGGTCGCGCTCGAGCTGGAGGCTCAGACGCTCCTTCAGCTAGCGGGCCCAAGGAGGAAGAGTGAAATTAGATGAGCTGGGCCCGAGCTGCGACGCCATCGAGTGGAATAGACAGGCGGAATTGCAGCTGTGAAAACCAACCTCGGTCTGCTTCTCGCCGCCATCGAGGAAATAGGTCATTTCTCGAACTGGAAAGGTGGCCCGCAGGCGCTCCTCCTGGAGGCTCGACTGGGGCGAGCTGGATAGCACAGCATAGCACAGCACAGGAGGCAATTAGTATAGCGCAGCAACATACGGAGCTGCCGCTCTCGCGATCAAGCACCTACATCACGGTCTTGGGAGCCGGCGTCGACATGGGTGAGTGGGTAGATGAAGAGGAAGATCACTTGAAGAGGAGAGCAGCGGAAGACAAACGACAAGCCCGGATGTGCGTGCGAGCGCCGTGCACGAGCGAAACGACGGGGTATTTATGGGTTGATTGAAGGGAGCCTCGATCAGGCTCGTCCTGGCCGTGCTCTGGCCAGCAGGCAGCCAGCGGCAGCCAGGAATCGGTCGGCTCTGCAGGGCATTGTCGATGGCATCTTCAGCTGACAGCCGGAGAAGTTCCCACGCCCTCAGCGCCGCATGTGAAAAGCGCACGTGTGTGTGTGTGTATGCCAGGACCAGGTTGTGGGCCAGACGGATGGCATGATGCCCAACAGAGCGAGATGTGTCGGAGAGGCCGAGGTCCACACGGCAGCGAGATGATACGACCGTTGGCTGCTGGCCTGGTATCGGCCGCGACGGTGTGCTTGGTGCAATGCCGGCGGCTCTGGCTCTGGCTCTGGTGGACTGATTGCTCCCTCCTCCAAAGTTGGCGCCGTGTGGGTCGCTTCCTGCTGCCTGCTGCCTGCACAAAGCAGGTCAGCAGATGGCCTCGTCGTCGGCAGAAAGGAGCAGCTGGCTCAGCTGGCCGGAAGAAAGGGGCATATCGGCACTTGCACAGCGAAAGCGTGCGCTGTGGACTGGGTGCCGAGATTGCCCGTCCTGCTGTGGCTTCGGTCGGCCTGCTCCCTCCGTCATCAGGACAAGATGTCTTGCGGTACCGCACATGGTCCAGTCTCTGGCTGAAAGGCCGCGCGCTGTATTCTACGAAACCAGACGGAGACGGTCGTCAAAGTTGAAAGAATCCTCCGAGGGCCGGCCTCCCTCGACATCGGCCAGATCGGGCTGCTGCTGGTGGCTCGGCAGTCTTGCCTTGAAGTGGGCTCGGTAGCCAACGACAGCCATAAACACGCCAAAGAGCGAGCCGGTCATGACATCGGTTGGATGGTGGATGTACTGCTGGGTCCTGGGCACAAGCAAAGAGCCGAACGTCAACGGCAGCCAGTTTTCATGCCGAAAGTCCCACATCCAAGGCCGGGTTCCGAACACATACGCAAGCGAAGGAGTCACATCTGCACATCTGCACATCTGCACATCTGCACATCTGCACATCTGCACATCTGCACATCTGCACATCTGCATCTGCATCGCCCAGTCGCAGCAACCTGCGTGCTCGACTCACCTCGAGATTGCAATGTAGGATGGAATCAGGAACAGCATGATGATCAGGGTCAGTCGGAAGGCCAGGCCGCGCGGCTTGGTTTGGTGGGCAAAGATACCGAGTGCGTCCGAGAGATAGAGCGCCAGGAAGGTAAAGCCTGCAAACGAAAAGCTCGAGTGGCCCGAAAAGAACGACCGTCGCCCGTCCAGGATCAGAGCCGGGTCACCCGTGCAGGCATGGGTCTCGGCGCTCCATCTGCATCGATCCAAAAAGTCCGGGCGCAGGCGGCCAGCCCAGTTCTTGACCACGTCCGTAAACAGCGACGTCAGCTCGATCGTCAGCACAAACGGCAGGCAAAAGTCATGGACCGTCACCAGGAACGTGGCCAGCGCCCACTTGTGGCCTCGACCTGCGACGGCGCTCGCTCCGTAAGCAGCCTTGATGGCGGCAAAGATGGTGACCACGGCGATGGGGACGCCGACGGTGACGGCAAATGCCGTGGCCATTGGTACAATGTCGGTCTTCCAGTGCGGATGCGACAGGTCCGGGTCGTTGGGATCAAAGGGACGTTCAAAGGGGTGGATTTTGTTCGTGAGCCCGATGCTGACGACAACGATGACCACGGCGGCGTAGTCGTAAAGATTCTCGGGCTTGAACCATTCAAGTCCGTAGGGCTGGGAGGACATGGCTGCTCGCTGGTCGGTCAATGGGCTGGCTGGCTGGTCGAGACGTCGATGGGCGTGCAGATGAAGGAGAAGGAAAGCCTTGGGTCGAAGGGATGAACGCCACCAGGCTGGGCTGCTGGCCCCATCGTGATTGTCTGCACCACCACCCGATTGCAATCGCAGCCTCGACGCACCGAAGCAGACTCCTGATTCAGGGACCGGCCTCAATGCACTTCCGCTCCCCTGCCGTGCACATATGCCATAGCATGCTTCACAGCACAGGACGAATGTCACTCCACCACTTGGATCTCTGTTCACAGTGTGCACTCCCACGGCAGCCGACAGCGGATGGCCTTTGGCATTGCACTGCATTTGTTGCAAGTGGCCTGCTCGCCATTCTCTCTTCGAAGTGGCGGGCCGGTGAGCTCACTGCAGTCGCCAGTTCAGGGTCTTGCCAGCCATGAAGGGAACAAGTGCGCGCTCCTGGCCCTCATCATCGGTAAAGTGGATCTCCTTGGCGATGGTGAAGGGCTCGCGCACGAGCACGGCAACGGACTCGGATGAGGCTTGAGCGACGCCGTAGAATCTGCGACCATTCTCGCAAGCAAAGTGTCGCAGTTGGTCCAGAGCACCGAAGCTCTCGAGGATATGGGCCAGGTAGGGCAGGACGTGAGGGCCGGTGAAAACGCCGGCAGCGGCCGATGGGCCTTCCTTGAGATGGCGGGGGTGGGGAGCCGAGTCGGTGCCGAGGAAGAATCGGGGATGGCCTGTATAAAGTCGGGCCAGGTGCATGAGCAACGATGACCATGGCGCTTTCCAATATAGAGAGGCCAAGTGGCTGCAGGGCGGATATGCATGTGAATATGCATGTGCTGTAGATCCGGAGAGCGGACTCACCAGACTTGATTACTCTGCGCAGGGCCTCTCGGTCGTGTGGGAACTTGGCCACAGGCTTGCAAAAGTGGTGGCACTGGCCAGCCCAGTCATCAACGACGAGGGTGAGGTGGTGGAGGGTAATGGTGCATCCGACGGTCTCGCCGAGACTCTCGACCTGGGGGTGGGCCACCGCATATGCGGTGATAGAAAGGTCAGTCGGGGGACAACGTCGTGTCGGCAACCAACCAGGCAAGATAGGGTGATGATGCGATGATGTGATGATGTGATGTGTGGGTGCAGCTGGAGCATACCACTTCGACGGCCGCCTTTGTGGTGGCGTGCTCAAGAACAATCTTGAGCTTGGGAAAGTCGCGATGCAGCTCCTTCAGATGCGTCAGGAAACGCTCCTCTGCATTCATAACGCAGACGTCCTGTGTCGAAAGCGAGATTGAGCACGCAGGGCCAGAGCAGTAGGCTTGCGGATATCCAGGTGCAGTCGATCACTCCATCAGCTCACGAAACCCATCGGCTCAGCGTCCGTGCGCTCGGTCCTCCTCCTCGCTGATCGCCCATACGCACAGCATCGTATCTGTCTCGTATCCACCGATTTGATCTAATCTGTCCGATAGCTCGCTGGCACTGTCGGCGGTCCCACGCGCCAGACATTGGCCGGCACACCTACGTTATTGGGGTCGCTTGGAATCTCGCCGTGGAGGTTCAAGACCATGTTGTTCTCCTCCATAGCCTTGAAAACAGGATAGTAGGTGGTGTAGCTTTCGATACCGCTATCACTGTTGGTCGTGACGCCTCTGGGGTATGACTTGACGCCTGTGTCGTTTCGATGCATTCCGTTCGATGGTGGGCCAGCCTGAAGTCAGAGTCGGGTCGGGCGGCTCTGTTGCATCGATTTGCGCATACTCGGAGACGAGTTGTTCGTTGACTACTCGGTCCCACGCCTGCCCACGCACGTCAGCCCACGCACGTCTGCCATGGCTATGATCTCACCAGCGACGCCCGCTTTGGCGGCCTTGTGGATCTCGTCGGGAGTCAGCTCAGGACCCAGATACAGCGTCATCATGAACTCGACGCCGGGCGCAAGCGCCTCCAGCTCGGCCTTGTAGGCTAGTGCCTGTTCGGTGTTGCTGATCGGGGGCTTCAGGTTGGGCTGCAGATGGGGTGCAGGAAAAGCGCTATTAGCGGGTCATGAGCAGCATCGGCGATGCCGTCCAGCAAACCGCCTTACCATCACATACGCAAGACCGACACCCGATGGCTTCAGAAGAGGTGTGACGGCCCGCATGAGAGCACCCTGTCTCAGATGGGTGTGGAAGTCGTCGGCGAGCGGGACCGAGAGCGTTGAGACGGACATTTTTCGGCTATGGGCGTGCGGGCTGGTCCAGGGCGATGCGGATGATGCAGACCAAGCTGACAGCGATGCCAAACAGCAGCCTCGCGCAAAGGAAGAAAAGCCAGAGCCCCGGCACTGCGCAGCCATGGCTGCGCGCAGGGGAGGAACATCAGCTCAAGCAGACCGATGAGAGACGGCCAGGAAGATGCTGGCGCTGAGATGGAGGAGGACGACGGGGTAGTGCTGGTGGTGCGATGCAGTGCAGTGCGATGCAGTGCAGTGCGATGCAATTCGATACGATGCAGTGCAATGCAATTCGATGCGATGCAATTCGATACGATGCAGTGCAGTGGGTGGCCTGCAGGAGGGCGATGAGACTGCTTGCATCCGATCAGGCCGCGGCGAGCGGTCAGAGTCAACATCGCTGTTCTCGACCGACTGTTCCATCGAGATCGTCGTCGATGCCGGGCGTGCGGGCGGCAGCCATCTGCTCCATGTCTGCCGTGGTGTGTCGAAGGACGCCAGGAACCAACCAACAGCCCGGGCAAGCCGAGCTTGCCTGCGCTGGGGCTGCCCTCCTCCTTGGTCTTCGGGGCAGCTGCGATGGTCTGCGCCTGCACTGTCTTCCCTGGATCTACCGCATCGCATCGGTTTCTGCACCGTGCAGACCCTCGCCCGACCAGCCGCCGCCACCCTGTGCAGTCCTGTCTTTGAAGCCCAACGCATCCATGCAGGCTCTCTGTCGCCCTCACAGTCCCTGGACAGCCATCCGTGCGATAGGCTGGCCACAGCGTTGTCTGAACAAGCATCTCGCTACCGGCACCCAGGCCTCGTCCTCATTGCGCCGCTCAGGATGGCCTCTGCGGTGGCAGCGGGGCCTCTCGACGATGCCGGAGCCACAATCTGCCTCGCCAACACGGGCAGCAGGCACGATCACCGAGACCATCTACGGGCGGAAACGGGTGTACTTTGGCGGACCCTCGGCCGGCCAAGACCGATCCCTGGGCTGGGGCTGGCAAGATGAAGTCGACATGTCCAAAGCCGCTGTTGCCGAGCCGGCTCGGTCAGCGACCAGCAGGAGCCAGCACGGCTTTCGCATCGGCGACTGGATTCCGCGCTCGGTGAACATCTGGGTTCGGACCATGTTCTTGCCGGTCGGCTATCCCGACTCGGTGCATTCCTGCTACACGGCCGTGCACAAATGGCAGTTCGTCGAGACATTTCTCGGAAGCATGGTAGCGTATACTGCAGTCACTGCGTGGCTCGGCGTGTCAATGCCGCACCGCCGCTGTTTTGGCTGACCATGCCCATCGTCTCGATACTGACACATGCATCTGTTGCAAGGTCTCGGTCCTGTGCAGCGAGGCCATGCTCGAGTCGCTTGGCGTGGGAACAGCCGCTGCCGCTGGCGGTGCTGTCGCAATCCAGTGGATGCTCAAAGACGGCTTTGGTATGTGTCGTCTGCGGCGCCTTCTTCTGCATTGGGAGTGTCATCGCTGTCGTCCTCGAGCTGACGATTGGTCCTTTGCTCGATCGATCAACCACGGCTTCTATGGCCGATGACAGGCGAAATCGGAAAGCTCCTGTTCATTCACTACTCGGCAAAGTCATTTGACTCGCACCCAAAGTCTTGGAAGATGGTGGGCGAGGCGGCCTGCCTCCTGGGCTCGACCACGCAACTATCAACGATCCTGGCACCCGGCTATCTGTTCCTGCCTCTGGCGTCGCTGGGATATTGCCTGAGAAGCATCCACTTTTCGATCTGGAATGCCACCCACATGACTTTTACTCGCAACTTTGCCAACTCTGGAAATGTCGGCGACATTGTGGCCAAGGACGACTCGCAAATGTCGCTGGCCCACCTCTGCGGCATGGTTGCCGGCGTGAGTACACTGGCCATATCCCACTCGCCGTGGTTTCTCTTCGCCTCGTTCTTCACTCTGGCCCCGGTCCACTATTATTGCACATACAAGCTCGTGAACGCCATCCAGTTTGAGGTCTTCAACGAGGCCAAGCTCGGACTGGTGACTCGCGAGTACGTCAAGTCGGGCCAAGTCATGACCATGCTCGAGATCCAGCCCAAAGAGATCATGTTTGGCGAGTGGGCCAACCCTAAGGAGCTGATTCCAAAGATAGTGATGACTCGGCCAATCTCCAAGGTGTTTTCGAGTTACGAGACGCTGCGCGGCACATGCGCTGTTCTCAAGGTGATGAGGACCGAAACAGCCCCGCATGTGTCTGTTGGCAGACCCGGCCGAGGCAGTCCTTGGCTGACCTTCTCTCACTCTCACTCGTTATGCCCCTTTACTCACGCTCTGCCGGTCGGTTGGTCCCTCCAGGGAGAGCGCTACTTGCTGGGATTCTCGGCTCGAGACCAGAGCGTTGCCGTCGTGCTCCATATTGACGCAGAAGCGGATGACATTCTCAAGGCCTATCTTCATGCCATGAAGTACCACGCCGAATGGAGCCACCGCAAGCCAGACATGGATAACGCTCGCCATTTGGAGATCCTGGCCGAGACATACGAGTGGATGGGCAGTAACTTTGATACCTTCAGGACCGAGCTGGACATCAAAGGCTGGAACTGCGACGTTGTCTTCTTCATGGACTCGGGCCATCGCGCTGAGTGGGAGAGACGGCCTGACATTTGTGCCAATCAGGGCTGCGCGGGCAGTGAATGACGATCTTCGTGAAGATGATGAATCGGCTGCGACCACACAACCATCCAGCCCCGACAAGTCTCTGTCTCGCCCACCCACCCCCATCAATCCAGCATTGCATACGCCGTGCCGCGCGCCATGGACAGATTCGTTGTCTTGCTCAAGCCTGATGTCGCTGACCAAGAGGATGAGATTGTGTATCTCATGAGACACCGCGCAATGAACATCGTGAACGTGAGTTTGTCTCGGGTGCGACGCTGAATGAGCATTGCATCGTGTCTCAGACGCAGAATATAGATCCGCTGCTTTCGCCCACCTGCAATGCAGCGATGACCATACACCTCGATCGACTCGTTCGATTTTCGATGCAACGGAGCGTGATGTTTCGATGGCATGTTCGAATGCAATGGCACAGCCCGATGCGACGCCATATTCAAACTCGATGGCATATTCTGACGCGATGGCATATTCCGATATGGTGATTCGCTTTGATATCCGCACACTGCCCGCGAATCCTTCCATCGGGCCTGCCTTCCTATCCGCCAGCGCAGACGTATCCTGCTTACGCGTGAGCAGGTCGAAGAATACTATATCGATTACATGGGCGACGAGGGATTCGATTTGCTTCTGGAGTTTATGACCAGGTTGAGATTCATGCTGCTGTTTCCCATCTGCTCTGGTGACCCCGTGGCTGCTCATCGTGCGATCCAATCTCGACAGACGGGGCTGCTACCTTGTGAGCGACTTTGCTGAAACAAAAGCTCACACATTGTATGTCTGTCTGTCCCGCGCCTCCGTCGATAGCGGGCCGGTGGTGGCACTCTTAGTCGAGAAAGCAGGCGGCATCGAGGACTCCAAAGAGTTTATTGGTCCGCACGACCCGGTGGAGGCCAAGATATCCCATCCAGACAGGTGCATCTGCAAGTGCCTTCTCGACGCCGAGTTTGGGCAATCTGATTGTGCATGGATTTCAGCGAGGCTGGGTGGCTCGATTGTGGGTGGATGTGATATGGACGTTAACCCAAAGCAACCTCACTCACCAGCCTAAGGGCGATCTACGGCGTCGATGTCTTGCGAAATGGCTTCTATGCGAGCGAGAGCCACGAAGTGGCTTTGTTGGACATCAAGTTCTTCTTCCCAGAGAGTGAGCTGCTCTGACCGCAACTCGATGCTGCCTTGCGTGGATATGGCTCTCTGTCTCCTACTGATCGCGGTGCTTTCGATGCTCCCGATGGTCTGACAACAGTGTGGATCGAGCCCTTGTTGAGCAAAGATCGGGCAAAGATATACCTGGAGTCATCGCTTTACCCTGTCCTGACCCAGGGACTGACCCAGCTGTGCAAAGAAAAGCCCGAGAACCCAACGACGTGGCTGGGAAACTGGCTGATCGAAAACAATCCCAACAAGCCCAAGGTTGTTCTGCCATAGAGGCATTCGGCGATCGGTTCACGATCGAGAGGCATTCAATTTTGTGGCGAACGCAGGGATGGTGGTGCGGTGGGTCGGAATCGGAGGGAGGCTCAATCGTCTGGACATGCGGCTTCCGGGAATACTCAAAATCGTATTAGAGAAAATGACTAGGACAGGGAAGTGGCTAGATGTGCACGCACCGCCTTCCATCCCATCCCATCCCATCCCATCCCATCCCATCCCATCCCTCCATACAGCAAAACAAAGATTGTATCGTCGTCCTGTTTCAAAATAAATTCGCTGTAGAGCACCTCGCGGTTCCCAAATCATCGTCGTGGAGATACCTAGACATGCAGTTCATCGTTGCTCTGCGGACACTTGCTCGGCAGCAACCTGATTCTGCCGGAAGGCAGTATGGACATCTCGGCGTGCTCTTGCGACATTCCCAACGTTCTCGACGACAGAGGCTCAGAAAGGTTTCGCGGACGCTATAGGCTTTTGCTGATAGACGGCCCTCCGAAGGGTCTGATTCAGAGCCTGACCTTCTGCGGAGAACACTGGGGCTGGAACACAGCAACAGTGCCGACAGAGGACAGCGTTTCAAGTGGGCGAGCCACCCCCCGCGACAGCACAGGGCCCTGTCCCAAAGATATCAAGAGCTGGAGACCAAGCCGAGTCCACCCGACAGCGCTGCACTCCGTTCGTCGGCCACCTCCTTTGCTCCGATATCGGGCTGCACTCTCGCGACGTCAGCGGCCACCATTTGTCAACCCTCGGTCACCAGCCACTCACAATCATCAACTCAATATCTTCTGCAGCTCCAACTACAACTCATGGGTGTCGAAGATTGCGAAAGCGACCAGTGTCTGTGCCGGCTATGCAACTGCGGCAAGCACAAGATTTGCTGCAAACCGCCGCGCCTGGGCGACAACCACATGGATTGCGAGACAGGTAATCCGGCCCGGCCCGGCTACGGACAAGCGCTGTGCGTAGTTGGTCTGGTGCAGTGACCACTATTAACCCTGCTTCTGATGCACCGACCTGTCTCTGCCACCGACAAAGAGTACAACAAGAACTACATCAAATATTCTCAGGCTAAATGCATCCGAGTCAGACCCCCCGTGCTCGTAGCCGGCGGGGGTGAGTTCTCCGACTCGACCGAGAAGTAAGCCCTCGATGAGCCCTGGACTCGATGGCTGTGGGCACCAGTGCGGTTTGTTGGATCACGAAGCCACTAACAGCTCTCTCAAATCGCATGCTTGTGGTGGAACCTCAGTCGAGACAAGTTTACCGCACACCAGCTTCCTCCTCCCATCTTGGTAAGGCAAAAGTGGTGACAGGCGCAGCTCAAGAGCATGTTTGCGGGCACAACTGACCAGGGGCTAGGTGAGGGATGTAAGTCTTGCTACGATTCGAGAAGCAGCCAGCCTGCTGAGAGTAAAGCTTCTCCGCTCTGCCTTGGAAACCATCTGCATCTGCATTTGCGTCTGCATTGGCATCCGCATCGACTACCGAACCACTGCCAGATCAAGAAAGGAGAGTACGTGCCCAACCCGGCAGTGTTCGACGGCATGACAACACAGCGACAGGACTATCGCCCCTGGCCGCTGACCAAAATCGAACAGCGGCCCCACGAACCCTGGGTCAGCTCCTCTGGCAAGTTCGATGGGCTCACCACAAACAAGGCTGCCTTCCAAAGCTTCACGGTCCCCCCGAGGTTGGCTCCGGAGCCCCGAAAGTACTTGCGCAGCGTCGCCAAGTTCGAGGGTGTATCGACACACGCCGCCGACTACAAAGCCTGGCAGATTGCTCCATTTATCGTGCACCAAACCAACCAAAGGCACATCTACGAAGAAGACAGGTGAGACAAAGCTGCCGCGAAGGGCTATTTGTCGGAGCGAAGCAGGGATGGGAGCGGAGCGTTCCGTTAGAGCCGATTTCTTTGCACCGCCAGCAAGCTCAGGGCCGCCGACGCAGCCCGATGGCGCATGCTCCCAGGAGCTTGCCGACCCCGAAATGCGGTGCTTGGCTCTGAATCCTATCGGTCTCGTCCATGTGCCGACATGCCATCGTGCCAATGCAGAGACTTCAAGTCGACGACCGCTGCGACCTACGTGGGCCACCAGCCTCCCAGAGAGCCGGTAAGGCTTACTTGCTGAAGGGACAGTGGCTGAACCCTGTGCATTTAGGCATCGGCAGCCACCGCTTATGCACTACGGCTACATGCGAGGCACACTCGTTCACACATCGCCATAACCAACCCCTTCGTTTCGCAGATCAAGGTGCAAACATACGAGCGGCCACCACCCCTCAAGCTCGAGAGCGTCACCACGAACCGCGAAGCTTTCCAAAAGTGGCCGATGCCGCCAAAGCTCATCTCTCCAAAGAACCACCTTGCAGCCTCCAGTGGGCCGTTCTACGGACTGACGACCTACAACGACACCTTCACCCCCAAGAGCATCGAGCGCAAGGTTAAGGTGCGATCCCACTATGCCATGAAGCCAACAAAGTTCGATGCAACGAGTACACATCGCGCCGACTACACGGGAGAGCCCTGTGCAAGCCCCAAAGTACTGGACTTTAGACCCCGGGCAAGGTATATCCCGACCGAAGACGATCGGGACTTTCTTACCACCACAAAAGCACAGCATGACGAAAAGCCTCTTCCGCTCTGCAAGGTGGCCGAGTTGATGAAAGGCAAAGAAGCCGAGCTGAGGAAAGATGGACACATGTACTTGAAGGTGGCGAATGCTTAGGTGCCCCAGGCTACAAGTCGCTAGCCGGAAACCGCAAGCAGAGATACTTTGCAGTTGTGTGTGCCGAACCTCGGGGTGTTGTGTGTATGCCGTTGGGCGACCTGTTCGACGGACCTCCACCGCTGCCCCGAGCCTTCTTGTCCGCTGACAAGCCAAAGCCTGGCTCCGTCCGCCAATATACCCACAATCTGACGACCTGCTGCCGCTGGAGCCATCCGGCCTGATCGCCCGGTCCCCAGCGACCCCCCGGCTGCCAGATTCCCAGATCCACATGTCCACGTGAGCCGCTGGCGCCAAAACTCAGACCGACCGCCGCCGCGCCGGCCGTCGTCTGCAAGGGCCGGTGCTGGGAGATCGACCCTGTCTTGCCGGACGATCGCCCCCTTTCCAGCCAGCCAACACAGCCGTCTGCGCCCGCCATGAGTCTCCTCTACAGCAACACCAAGCAGAAGCGGCGCCAGGCTCGGCCCGAGCTCACCGATGAGCAAAAGCTGGAGATCAAGGAGGCCTTTGAGCTGTTCGACACGGACAAGGACAACGCCCTGGACTATCATGAGCTCAAGGTCGGCAGGCCGGAGCCGCACCGATCGCAGCGCGGGAGGACGGCCGCAACTGAGAATGGATCTGCAGCCACCGGAGTGATCGGTGGCCTGCGAAGCGCTGAAGCGCATCGAGCATAGCCGAGCGATCATGGTGGTCGGATGAGCCTGCCCCGTCATTCACATTCGCTCCGCCCTCCTGGTGTAGGTCGCCATGCGCGCCCTCGGCTTTGACGTCAAGAAGGCCGACGTGCTGAAAATCATTCGAGAGCACGACAAGAGCGGGCAGGGACTAGTCGAGTTTGAGGATTTCAACAAAGTCAGTGAGTATCGCTCCATGCCTGCCTCCTTCTCCCTCCGCCTGCCCTCTCCTCCCTACGTCTGCCTCCTCCCTCAATGGCGGACATTCTTCATCCGCTCCCGCCCCCTTCGTGTTCCAGTCTTGTCGGCGTTGCGTTGATGAGTCCTATCCATCCGCTTGCACAGTGACCGAACGCATTCTCGATCGCGATCCGATCGAGGAGATCCGCAAGGCATTCCAGCTCTTTGATGACGACAACACGGGCAAAATCACTCTCCGGAATCTGCGCCGGGTCGCCAAGGAGATCGGTGAAAACATGGATGACGAAGAGCTCCAGGCAATGATCGACGAGTTTGATCTGGATCAGGATGGGGAAAGTAAGTCTCGCCGTTGTGTGGCTGATGCGTCCTGGCCATATGGATGAATCGACGAATGGAGTACATCATAGGCTTCTCCCCCCCGGTCTCCTATCGATTCAGGGATTCAAAGATATTCTATTAACATCGCCTGCCCCCGATTGCACCGACGACCCTGCCCAGTCAACGAGCAAGAGTTCATTGCCATCATGAACGACAGCCACGAGTAGCTCTTGCCTGAGCGAATGTACCACTACAGCATCGACATTCAATATACATACACTTCCATAGCCAACACACTCGCTGCCGTGCTCTAGTCGTCGGCCGTGCATCCTTGGCCGTGCACGGCGCGAATGCATGACAGACGCTTGACGGATGCCGGCCACAGCGGATGGGTTGGGTGCGAATGCGAGGCCAGGCCAGGCGAGGCAACAGCCTCTCGGTCCTTCCATTTCGGGCCCAAATGAATCGGGCTTCTCGCTCGCCCGGTGCTCTCGTCTCGGCCATGAGACGCCGGATCGACCCCCAGGCCCCGTCCATCCTTCCTCCCAACAGGACCAGCGCCAATCCAATCCAGCACGACCCGACCCAGCCCAACCCGCAATCGCCAGCTGGAAGCCGCCCACCTCCACCCGCCAGCGATCCCATCGGCCTGCTCACGATGCTGTCCCATGTCGACGACCAGGCCTCGTCCCAGTCGGAGCGATCCGACAGGGCCGTCCCCCGGCTGGTCATCACCAAGATGACCCTTACCAACTTCAAATCCTACGCCGGCACGATCATCATCGGCCCGTTCCATAAGGTGTGACATTGCTGCTACTCTCTACGCCAATTCGGACATCTCTGCGTCGTCGTGGACGCAAGAGGCATGGCCCAGTGGCAATTCTGCTCTCTGTCAGTGATTGTCAATCGCAAAGTGCAAGGCAAAGAAGCAGATATTCGCCTGCCATTTGGCTGACCGATCGGCACATCCGTATTGCCACCCCCGCATGCATGCACATCCACGTCCACATGCACATGCAAATCGTCGCTCCAGTCATTCACATCGATCGTCGGACCCAACGGATCGGGCAAGTCCAACGTCATCGACTCGCTGCTCTTTGTGTTTGGATTCAAGGCCAAGAAGATGAGACAGGGCAAGCTCTCGGACCTCATCCACTCCTCAGCGGCCTTCCCAAACCTTACAAGCTGCACCGTCGAGATTTCATTTGCGGAGATCATCGACCAAGTAAGGAGCGCCGAGGATCGTCCCGGCCGGCTGTTTTTGGCAGGGCTTGGGCTCGTTGCTTCATCGGCAACAAAGTGATGGGATGTTCTCGTCTGTGGGCGTGAGACGCCGATGGAGATCACCGAACTGACATTCCGATCCGGGGCGATCCAGCCGGGCACGGATGACTTTACCGTCATTCAGGGCAGCGAGCTCAACATCTCCAGGACCGTTGAAAAGACCGCCAGCGAGCGACAAGGCGACAAGAGCACCTACCGCATTAATGGCCGAGCCAGCAGCTACACCGAGGTTACCAGCACGCTCAAAGCCAAGGGTGTCGATCTGGACCACAACCGGTTTTTGATTCTGCAGGCAAGTCCGCGAGCCGACCAGCCAGCAGCAGAGTCAATAAGCTTGCACACCGCTGTCGAGCTGGCCCCGCCGCTTCCCCCTTCCATCGATCCTCCTTTGCATCCCCGATTTCATTGGACCCAATTCCCTCTTTCTTAACCCCGCTTGCATTGATAACAACTGGGTACGCCAGGGCGAGGTCGAATCGATCGCGTTGATGAAGCCCAAGGCACAAAGCGAGCACGACGATGGACTTTTGGAGTATCTCGAGGACATCATCGGAACCAGTCGATATAAGAAGGATATTGAGGAGCATGCGGCCCTGCTCGACACACTCAACGACCAGCGACAGGAAAAGGTCACCAAGCTCAGGATTGTGGAGAAGGATAAGAATGCTCTCGAGGTACGGCGAGCGGGCCGTGGCAGCCAGCCGTGCCAACCCTGTTTTTGGGCTGGGGGAGAGGCACTAGGATAGCAGTGCCTCCACTTGTCGATAGTGCGCATGCTACACAGCCGTGTCGACCAGCCAACTCACTAACAAGCCGCTGTGTCTTGCCATGGGCGCCGATGTGGGATCTGCCATCGACACAGTCCCGGAAAGATGAAGCCGTGGCATTCGTCAACCTCGAGAACGAGCTCTGTCGCAAGCGCAATGCACTTTATCAGTTCCAAGTGTACCAAGCCAACCAACAGATGAACGAGACCAGCCTCGAAATTGTGGGTGGCTCGGGCGCAGAGGATCGAGGGCTGAATCTGTCCGCGAGCAATTCCCTGATGCGATCGTGTCCGTGCGGACTTGTCCCAAACAACGCATCCACAACTGTGGGAGGGGCGGCGAAGCTTGGATAGCAGGCCGACAGCCTGGGTGCGGCACAGTCGATAGACTTGGATGGTCGAGCGCGACGGCAAGTACTCCCTCCCCAAACTGAATCTGAATCTGTGTTGACTGCCGTTTGCAGGAGGAGCTATCCATGAAAATCGAGGCTGAGCGACAGAAGCACAAGTCCCTCGAAAAGGAGATTGCCAGTCTCGAGGCGCACTCGAGCGAGTTCGTCGATGCATACGAGGTGAGTTGATGGAAAACGACTGACCGTTAGGAAGCAGCATCGATCTCTCTTCTCCCTCCTTCACCCCCCCCCGTGAGCCCAGTGTCGCACTCACCAATCTGACTGATCTAACTGTTGGCTGGCCTTGGCTTTTCCTCCTCCCTCCCTCCCCCAACAGCGCCTCGCCGCCGAGGCCGAGACCACTCGGAAGCAGCTCGCCAAGCATGAGCGCGCCGAAGTTGAGTTCCGAGAGAAAGAAAAGCATCTCAGCCAGAAGCAGAAAAAGCTCCAGAAGATTGTTGCGCAGGAGAGGCGGGACATTGCCGAGACCATCAACTGGGTCCGAAACTACGACGGCGACCGGGCCAAGATTGTCGGTCAGCTGGAGGAGCTGAACGAGCAAAAGGAAGCTGAAGAGGCCGAGCTGGAAGAGATCCGGTCGAGTCTGGAAGGTCGGTGCGGCTGCGTATCTCTGAGGGGAGGGGAGGGGAGGGATGGGCGGCGCCATGCTGTGTTATCGGCGTGCCGACTGGACTACAGCAATGCGACCCTGTGTGGCCGTTTCGAGGAGCTCGTTGCTCTGATGCATCTGGCACTTGGTCGGGCAATGTTTGTGCCGTCGAGAACCCGCTGGATCATAGAGATCCTCGGCCGATCAACCCTTTTCTGGGGCTGTACTCGATTGTGGCATGTACAAACCTCATGGTTTTTGCTGTTCGGTGGACTCTAGGCAAGACCACCGAGATCCAAATGAAGATCGAGGAGAAGCAGAAGCTCCTGGCCCCGTGGCAGGAGAAGCACAACCAGCACGAGGCAAACCTCAAGGTAGCCCAGTCCGAGTTCGACATGCTCAACCAAAAGCACCAGCGGGCCAGAGGGGAGCTTGAGCAGGCCGAGGAGAGTCTCGCGACGTTCCAAGACACCCTCCAGAAAAAGGTGGGTGATTTTTTTGCCTTTTTCCGGGAAAGCACCGGTGGCAAACTGCCATGGCACAGTGATGCGGTTGCCCCTCCTCCGGCCTCACCGCGGCCAGGTCCAACTCGGGAGGGACACAGTTCCCCTTCCCGACGTTTACGACCACTCTGTCTACGACGTGGGAGCCTTATTTACCAAGTACACTCGATTCATTCGTGGACTGCACGCATGACTTGTGGCAACGGATAGACTGTCGAGCTAAAGGGCATGAAGAAGCAGCGCGCCGATCTAGCCAAGAAGGAGGCTGTGTTGCAAACTGAGATGAAGGTGAGACGACCCTGGTGTCTTGCGGCGGATGCTTCATGCGCTACCCGATCCCGCCGTCCACCGCTTCAGTGCGGTCGATGGGCAGATCAAGATCCAGCCGACGACCTTCGATTCTGGACAGCGCCTGATTCCTTTGCCCTGCTCCTGGCCTGATACTTCCGACAGAACCTGGACAACCAGGAACCCAAGCTGAGGGCGACACTCTCCGACGCACGCCAGCAAGTCTCCGAGGCCAAGAGCAGTCTCAGCGAGAGCCGCAGCCGCGGCACCACGCTATCGACTCTGAACCAGGCCGCCCAGGATGGCACTCTGCCCGGAATCTTTGTAAGCAACGCCGCCTGTGCGAATACACATGGGACTGACAGGCCGGCGCTCAGTCCCGGGTGCAGACCTGAGCATGCCCTGCATGGCCTTTGGACGGACATGTACCGCGCCGGCAAGCCGACTAACACCGACGTGCATGCATGTGCGTGGCTCGTATCTGCAGGGCCGTCTTGGCGATCTGGGAATCATCGATGACAAATACGATGTGGCGATCACCACGGCCTGTGGCGCACTCGATAACATTGTCGTTGACACCGTCGAGACGGCGCAAAAGGCAATCGAGCTCCTCAAGCGGCGCCAGGCCGGCCGAGGCAACTTTATGTGCCTCGACAAGCTCGCCGTGCGAGACATGAGCTCAAAGCCGACCCCTGAAAACGCACCCAGGCTCTTTGATCTGATCAAGCCGCGCGAGGACCGGTTCAAGGTGGCGTTTTACTATGCCGTGCAAAACACACTCGTTGCCAAGGATATGGACCAGGCGATGCGAATCGCCTTCCCCAACAACGTCGCACGCGCACAGCATCGCGTGGTCACTCTCGACGGCAATTTGATTGAGACCTCCGGTACACTCAGCGGTGGAGGACGTACGGTGCGTCGCGGAGGCATGAGCAGCAAGTTTGTCAGCAACTTTGCTGCCGGTGTCTCGCAGTCGGCGGTCATCAACCTCGAGAAGGTGAGCTCTGCTGCCCAGACGCAGCTGCAGGGCTTGCTGGACCAGAAGAAAGAAGTCGCGCACGAGCTCGGCGAAGTGACGAAGGAACTTCCGCAGCTGGACTTTGAAATCTCCAAGCTGGAGATGGACATCAGCTCCATGACCGAGAACCACGCGACTCTGCAGAAGAAGATCCCCGAGCTTCGGTAAGTGGGTGCGCGTGTGTGGCCGTGTGGAGAGAAACAAAAAGTGTGGGACCGAGCCATGAGAGGCATGTCTGGGTGTATGTCGGCGGTCTATGTGGCTTTGTGGCTACTTGCGCCCCGGTCGACATCGGATGGAGCAGCGGAGGTCGACCGAGTTGCGGGAGCATGGCTACAAGCATCTGTTGTTGGCGATCAAAGACATATAGACCTCTAACGATGCTTGCATGATCATGTTGCTCAAATCAACGCGAACGCCGCCCCGCTCTCCCCGCCCTACTCGCATCCTGCTCGGACATGCCAGACAATCGCTCAAGCCGGCCCAGGCAGAACTCAGCCGCCTGGCCCAGCTCGACGCCACCATCCAAAAGGAGACGGCCAAGTTGAGTACCATCACAGCCTCCATGTCCAAGATCCAAGAAGAAATCAAGTCCCTCCAGAACCAGATCCTCGAGGTCGGCGGTGTTCGCTTCCGAGCGCAAAAGGGCAAGGTCGACCTCTTGGAGGAGCAGATTGCATCGGCAATGGAGCGCCTGGCCAAGCTCGAGGCTGAGAAGAAGACCCGCGAAAAGTCGCTCAACAAGCTGGAGGCGGGCGTGGAGAGGAAGGAAGCCGAGCTGGAAGAGACCGGGGAGGAGCTCGCCAAGGTCGTCAAGGACCTTGAGCGGGTCTCTCGGGTGGCAGCCCAGGTCAAGGACAAGATTGAGGAAGCCAAACAGGTGGGTGAGGGGGGCCAAGAGACAGGGGAGCAGCTACCGCTATGGTCGCCGCGGTAGTCGCTGCTGTGGTGTGGTCGATATTGCAGGATCGGAGGTCGCCGGGAGATGTCTTGCCGGGCAGCTGACAGGTCCGCCGGCACCAGGAATTGGCAAACAAGCAAGAGGAGCTGGACCAGATCAAGGCCGAGCTGGAGGAAAAAACCACGACGCTCCGATCCCTGCGAACGGTGGAGGTAAGATACTGCTGCCTATCCGCCTCTCCCCCCCCCCAGCTCAGCCGTCAGCCGTGACGCCGAGTCGGTGGCATGAATGACGACGCAAGGGCGCAATGGAGCTGACGGAAACCAGTCGACTTGCCGTGGCTCGTTGTGAAACCCCCCTGGGATGCTCTCGCCTTCGAGACCCGCAGGCTCAAACTGTGCTGTTTCCTGCCTGTAGTTCGAAACCAAGGCACGACTTGAGGCCGTGCAGGAAATCTTCGCGGCCGCCCAAAAGGCAGAGGCATACTACAGCAAAGAGCTGATCAAGCTGGAGCTGCAAGTTACTGGGTATGTTGATTTGTGTCTGTCGTTGGCAGCCTTGGTTCAGAAAGGAGGGAGAGACAAGGGGCTCGACTGAGTTTTGGTCTAGCGGCGAAATGGACCGCTCAAAGAGCAGAGTCATACCGGTCTGAATGGCCCTGCAACTGACGTATCCAGCGCCAATTTGGTATCATGTCTGGAACTGGACGACGAACGAGCATAGATTCGAGGAAGAAGAGCTTCCATCGCTGGAGCAATATGAAGAAGACCAGCTCGAAAACCTCGACGGCGAGCGGCTAGAAGAGGATATCCAGTCGCTGGAAGGTAAGGCTGCGTGCCAGTTGAGTGAGATCGTTCGGAGAATGCCATAAAGCCTGGTTTCCGAGCGAGCTCGTTGCTGCTACTGCTGCTGCCAAGTAGACTCACGGACAAGCTTGCTGTTCCACTTGCAGATCAACTGCGGCAGGCCAAACCCAACCTCAGCGTGCTGATCGAATACCGACAGAAGCTGGAGATCTATCTGTCGCGCGGCCGGGACGTGGACGAGTTCACCCGGAAGCGTGACAGCGCCAAGAAGGTCTACGACGATCTCAAGAAGTGCCGGTTGGATGAGTTCATGGAGGGCTTCACCCAGATCTCTGAGAAGCTCAAGGAGATGTACCAGGTACCCGCTGTGGGCTCGAGTGAAGTGGGCGAAGGGGAGAGGGGTGCCAAAATGCGGATGCGGGTGATGATTGTGAGAGGAGGAATATTCGCTGGTGGAGCGAGGGAGGACATCACACGGAACCGCTGCTGTGGGAGTTGAGCTTGAGAGCGACAACATACCTGCTCGACTGAAATTCGCTGCCGCCTGGTATCAGTTCGCTGGCGCTGGGGTCACTAACTGGCTCACGCTGGCCATGCATGTGTGTGTGGATTTGGATGCTTACAGATGATCACAATGGGGGGCAATGCCGAGCTCGAACTCGTCGATAGTATGGATCCCTTCTCGGAAGGTATCATCTTCAGCGTGATGCCGCCAAAGAAGAGCTGGAAGAACATCTCCAATCTCTCCGGAGGCGAAAAGGTAACGAGCATCGAACAAAAGCGCCCGCCGCTGATTGTGGTTGCAGCGGTGGTTGCAGTGGTGGTGTTGTCCATGATGCTTGCTTGTGATGCCTCTGCATGATTGCCCGTGGTCCTCCTGCCATGGCCCTGGCTGTGATATTGGCTATAGCCTGGGCTACAGCCTCGATGGCCTTGAGCAGGGATGGGGATGGAGATGGGGATGGGTGGAAGGCGAGGTTTGCGATCAACGAGCCGACGGTATCAGCGGGCTGGATACGGACACTCGTTCTGCGGACTGCAACGACTGCTGCAACGACTGCTGCACCGAATGCTACAACGACTGCTGCACTGTCTCTTTCTGCGACGTCGCTTCCGACACCACCACTCTGCACCAACCTCCATGTTGACTGAGTCTTGCCTTGTCTTGTCTTTGATCCTCGACCCCTCTCCTCCTGCCGGTGTTGGACAGACGCTGAGCTCGCTGGCGCTCGTTTTTGCACTGCATCACTTCAAGCCGACGCCGCTCTACGTCATGGACGAGATCGATGCAGCGCTGGACTTTAGAAACGTATCGATTGTGGCCAACTACATCAAGGAGCGAACGCAAAATGCCCAGTTTGTGATTATCAGTCTGCGCAACAATATGTTTGAGCTGGCGGACCGCCTGGTGGGCATCTACAAGGTAGGCAGCAGTGGAGAACGGGTCTGCCTAGCTTCGAGGAGGAGGGGGCATGCTGACGTTTGGACGCTCTATGAGAGCGATATTAAGTTGTCTGACATCGCGGCCACCATCTCTCTCCCTGGGACTCCAGACCAACAACACCACCAAGAGCATCACCATCGATCCGAGACTGATCACGATGCCCGAGCCGAGCTCGTAGTAAGCCCATCGCCCTCCCTTCATTGCCAGGAGGCTGTTTGGCAAGCATAAATACACTAAATTTTGCCAGCCGAAGGCAAAGTATCCATCTCGGCAGCTGGCCACTGACCCTGAAGGGCGACCCAATGGTGGCAAACTGGGAGGGACGAGAGCGGGAGAGTGAAGCACTGCGACGGGATAGTTTCTCCCCCTTGCTCTGTGGGATAGGACCGGGCAAAATGAAGCAGGGGTGGACAGGCTGAGGGACGAATCGAGTGAGTCGTTTTCTGCACTGCGACGAGGGAACTTGATGCGAGAGGATGCACCCAGGTGGGCGCTGGTGGACGCCGGTGGGCTGGGTGACGAGGGAGTGACGACGAGCGACATCGAGACAAGCCGAGAGCGAGCGATGACGAAAAACACATCCAAGAGAGGGCAGAAAGAATGGGGGTAGAAACTGGGATGGGGTAGATACAGGGAGAGAGTGGAGACGACAGCGATGGCGATGGCGATGGCGGTGGTGAGGGTAACGGAGGTGGTCGAGGCCTGTGAGCAGGTCGAGTGGTCGAGGTTGGAGCTTGGTGGGGCGCAGCTCCCGCTGGCAGTGACGAGAGGGCGGGGTGAAAGCCAGTAGCGAAGGGGCCGCAAGTGAGCAGAAGGACGAGAGGGGAAGGATGTCAGGACGGGGAGGCAGGGGAAGAAGGAGTGATGGCGGTGGTAACGGCTGCAGCGACGAGAGTGGGAATGGGAATGGGAATGGGAATGGGAATGGGAATGGGAATGGAAATGGAAATGGGAATGAGAGCAGGAGTGTCAGTGTAAGCGGGAGTGATAGGGAGGAAATTAAGGGTGGTGGCGAGTGCGATTGCAGAGGCGAGTACAATGGGGATGGAGATGGAAATCGATGCCAGCAAGTGGCCGATGCGAGGGAGTGAATGAGTGAGTGAGTGATGGATGAGAGTGAGAGTGAGAGTGCCTGGCTGATGGAGCAGGCAGTTTGGATGGGGCCGTGAGAGCGGATCCTTTGGGCTTTTGGCCGGGCGCCGCCGGTGCCATTCCAACAGCAGCGGCGCCTCTTCCACCGAGACGGCGGCGTGTGATCGGCGAGGGTGGGCGGCTTGCTGGGCAGCGCCTGAGCAGGTCAGCCGAGCGACACCCGCCCAGAGCAACGCAGGTCTGGGAAGCGGACCAGCGCCACCACGACCAAGGGCGGCTCCTGGCAGGTGGCTCTGGGGACGCGGCCATGGACGCTGTTGCGCTGAGGCTGAGGCCTGGCCTGCATTGCACATGCCCGCTGCCCACCAGCGCATACGGCTGCATGCGGGTGCATGCGAGTGCAGGCGGATGCTGGTGGATGCAAGAGGGTGCAGGCGAGTGCAGGCGAGAGAGCAAAGGACAACAAGACACAGACAGCCTCAATGGCTGCCTTGGACAGTCTCAATGATCGCCCTGAACAGCCTCAATGACCAGGCGGTTTATCACGGCTGTTGCGCTGCTCATCGAGCAAAACACGAACAGCAGCAACGCAAGGATCAAGATCGAGACGATCGAGACGATCGAGACGATCAAGACGATCGAGACGATCGAGATGATCGAGATGATCGAGACGCAGATGGAGGAGAGCCGGTTTGCAGCGGCCATTGACCAGGCCACATTAGCTGGCTGAGGAGCGCCGCCAAAACCGCCGGCAGCACCGCCCAAACTCCCCTCCGCCTCGCTCCCGCCAAAGCAGAGCCATCCCAGCCCCGCCAGCCCGAGTTTCCAGCTCCAGACTGGGCAGACACGCAAGCGGACCACACAGGGAGATGGAGCGGGGGTGACAGGCATATGGGGCGGCGGGACAGGCATCCAAGCGGAGCGAGAGCGACAGGGATCGGACGCAGACGGCACGGCGGGGCCAAGAGCGAAGGACCGGCCCGAGCGGTGCGATGGACCGCCACCATGCGAGGCAAGGATCCACCCAAGATTGAGAAGAAGGCGGCGGAAGGGAAGGATGGAGAACAACCCCGCCAACAGCGAGGGAGAGAGTCGGGCGAGAGAGAGAGAGAGAGAGAGAGAGAGAGAAGCAGCGGGAGTGGAGAAAGGGGGGGGACACCCGCCCACGCAGCGATCGCACAGACAGATCTTGCACGGGTGGTCCAGGGGATTCCGTGCGGGGAGGGGAGGGAATGCAAAATGCAAAATGCAAAATGCAAAATGCAAAATGCAAATGCGGAATGCAAATGCGGAAAGGGATCGAGCATGCCGGCCCGCACCGTGAGTCACTCCGCTGGGGAGGCGTGCTGAGCAAAGACAGGGCGGTGCGGCCATCGGAATGTGGGCGAGATGGGGGTCGTCGGGACGCTGCTGCATGGATCCAGAGATGGCCCGACTGTCTGCAGGAGTCCACGACGAGTCCATGACGACAGCAAGAGCCGTGAGGTGCTGCATGTGGGCAATGGCATCGACAGCGCATTGGTATCGGTAGCTCGGTCTTTGCATCGATTGGCCGAGCCAGCATTGGGCCAGCCAAGGGACTTTTCTCAGCGACAGCGGCATATGGCCAAGCACAACTGATCTCGCCGGCTGGCCATCTTGGGCGGCACCGGGCTGCTCCGCTGGCATCCATGCCCGCCGCACTTTTGCAGACGACGACGACCTTGCTGTCGGCTCCTGGCTGTCCCATGGCAACGGCAGAGCCAGCCCGGACGAGGAGGGGGATGTGGTTGCATTTGCGATTGCATTTGCGATTGCTTTTGCGACTGCATTTGCGACTGCATTTGCACGACGGCCCCTGCGTGCGAGTGCATTACCGTCTCCTGCGTGGATGCCATTCGCAGTCTGGCTTGGGTGGTGCGCTGGTCTTGGCCCAGTGCTGCCAAACGCCTCTCGCTCGACACAACCGCCATCGGGTCGCGCCTGTCCGCCGGGCTGCTGCCCCATACAGCGCTGGCGGACAACCCCGCGTTGCGACCCATTCGAGATGCTTCCCATGGGGTTGCATCCGTCTGTGCAAGTATGGATCCAGCAGATACGGCTCTCAGCGCATCGGCCGCCAGTTGGTGTGCTCTTTCGGTAGCTCCTGCTGTGGGATTGTGGTCCCACACCCACACCGGCATCCACACCCACACCCACACCGACATCCACACCGACTTCCACACCGACTTCCACACCGACTTCCACACACACTTCCACACACACTTCCACCCTCCCATCGACCCAGCGCAAGGAACGATCGCCATGGCTCCAATCCGGCCCTGCCTGGGCGCGACTCGGCCTGGGTGCGGCCCGGCCTGGGTAATCGCCGCCTCACCACGCTCCAATCGCCCCTGCCATGCCTTCCTTCCCTTGCCCGCAATTTGCCCTGTCCTCCCCTCGCCCCTCCCTTCTCCTCGCCCTTCTCCGCCTCGTCTCGCCCCCGGTTCTTGTTCTCGCCTCAGCGCTCGTTCTCGTTGCGCCCAAGCCCTTTGCCACCCGCTCACGGAACTCCAGACTCGGCCCGCCTTTTGATATATTGCGTTGCGTTGCATCGCATCCCGCGTATTGCCTTACTCCCCTCTCCATCGGGCTGCCTCGGCCCCTGCCTGCCTATTCGCTTTGCCTATTCGCTTTGCCTGCTTGTTTGCTTGCTACGTTGCTCACTTGCTCACTTGCTTACTTGCCTATTTGCTCACTTGCTTACTTGCTTGCCTATTTGCTTTGTTCCCTGCTGGCTTGTCCACCAGTTCACCCGGCAGCAACGCACTCCATAATTCCCATATCCACATCCATATCCATACCCATATCCATATCTATAATCTCCATCTCCACTTCCATCTCCGTATCCGTATCCGTATCCATATTCATCGTCATCCACATCACCACACATCACCACATATCATCCCACATCCCCGCACATCACCACTGCACTACATATCCATCTCCGTCTGCCCCCCCCGGCGCTCACACTGTACTTTGGCCCGTCGCTCACCCTTGGTCCGCCTGTCCACGGCTGCTCACAAAAGGTACTGGTGTCTTCCGGCTGCATCCGCCCTGCTCCCTTCCTCGGGCAGCCACCGGCATTGAATCCCTGGGTACTCGTCCGTCCTGGGCCGGGCTGTCCATCTCGCGCCGCCCAGTGATCTGCTTCCTCCAATCGCGCTACTACTCCACTTTCCCTGGCTTGTCGTCGATATGCAGTCGCCATCCGGTTGCTCAAAGACACTTTGCCATCCATTGCTCGAGGCACAATGTTGCCCCTGCTGCTCGAGGCGGACGCTGCTGTCCAACTCGGCTCCGGCCAATGGTGCCTCGAGCAGGTGGAATGGCTTTGCCTTTGACGACCGTCTCATCCCCAACCCGGACGACTCCCGCAGAGCCGTGGTCTCTCTGGCCATTGGCGACTGCGGGTGTTTCGGGCTCGTTGCGGCGATAATGGTCGTCTCAAAGAGCCTCGGTGCTGCATTCACCAGTCTTCCCTGACCCCGCTCTGTGGTACTGCCGATGGTCGCGGACCCGGGCTGGATCGCTTGGTCGAGCACATCCCGCTGCTGCTCCGCGATCTCCCGCACGTCGCTCCTTGTGTGCTGCCATTGCATCGCCCAGCCATCACAGACCATCACAGAATACCGCCATCACCACTACCATCACTACCATCACCACTACCACCACCACCGTCGCCACCGCCATCGCATCGCGCACTTGCTAACCCATAACTCTTCTTTCGCCCGTGTCCAGTCTCGTCGTCTGCCTTAGCTTTGGTCTCCCTTGGCCTGCTCGTCCCTGCTGACCCGCAAGTGGTGTACATCTCTCTCGACCCAACTGCCCCACGCCGGCTGCTCTGCTTTGGCGCCATCGCTCGGCCGATCTCGGTCGGTTGTTCCTCTTGCTCTGGCCCGCCCCGCCCTGGTGGCTCTCTCGTTCGGCGCTGACCGACCTGCATTGCAGTGCCTATTGGTACGTGTTGGTCTCGTGCGCGCTCGCCGACGGCGTTCTCGTCCCGTCCTCGTCCGCGCGTCTCCCTTTTGGCCCCTGTTTTGCTCTGCTCCTGTTTTGCTCGGCCATCGAGTCCTCCCCCCAGCCCCGTCTGCTTCCTCCATCTCTTTCCTGCTGCCTCTCCTTTCTCCCATCCACCCGATCTACCTGTCCTTCTTTCGGACAATGCACCCCTGCTGATCATCCGGCTCTTGGCAACCCTCCTCCCTTTCTCTCCCTCGCCCTCTCGCCTTCTCGTCGTTGACCGTCTGCCGCTGTTCCTCCTCCCCGTGCTGTCGCTTTGTCGTGTAACCGCCCGGCTCATCTCGTCTCTTGTCGCTCCAAGAGCAAGGCTCCTCTTTCGTCTCTCTTGCTTTCATCACGGCCTTGGAGTCGCCTCGCTCGCTCGCTCGCCCGCCCGCTGCTCTCGTCTCTCCTCCTTCCTTTTCTCTCTCTTTTTTCAGCGGCGTCGTTGTTCCTGGTCGTTACCCATATTAACACTTTTTTTCCCCCGCGTCGTCTCCCGCTCGCTCGCTCGCCCCGATCTCGGCCTTTGCCCGTGCACGGCCTCCCGCCTACCGCTCTCGCTCATCTCCAAGTCGACCCCTCCCCTCTGCCCGTCCGCTGGCACCGAGCCTTCGCCCTTTCTTTGTATCTCCCCCCCCCTGGTGTGGACCTGAGACCCTACTCGGTCTGCCCCTCCCACCCTTACTCGTCCACCCCTCGGCCACTGGTCTCGATCCCCTGTCGCTCGATCGCCACAGCCTCCCCCTGCTCTGCCCTTCGTCGTCGCAACACACCATGACCCCGAGACACCCCAAGCAAACCGCCGCTGGTGCCTATCACGACGACTCTGAATACGACGCCCGGCGATCGCGTGACGCAACTTCAGATTCGCTCCAAGACACCACCGCCGGCTCCCAGGCTGATGCCTCTGACCGCCTCGAGGCCTCCCGCGCCATCCAGCAAACCCATACCCCGATGCATACCCCGCAGCATACCCCCGTCAATATTCCGCCGCGAGACGCAAGATCCCAGCACGGCACCAAGGTCAAAAAGTACGTCTGCGACTTCAAGACCACCAACATCGAGCTGTATCGATGGCACACCACCTATCTCAAGGTCGAGGAGCAAGTCAGGCTTGCAGAAGGTAATGTCTCCCGCGGCCGTCTATCTGTGTTCCGTTTCCCTCCCTCCCCCCCTCAGCCTCTCTCTCAATTTAGCCTGCCTTGGACTGCTCTCGGCTCCAGCCCAGGCACTTGCTGTCTGTTGGTCTTTGCCATATACCCTGTACCCTGTTATGTACGAACCCCCCCCCGCCGTCCGAGAGCTCGAGCTACCTCTACGAGGGAATATCGTTGTTTGCCTCTGCCCTCGCTCTGGATCGCATCGGCCGCTCCTCGTGTCCTCCTCCCCTCTTTTCTGTCAGAGTCCCTCCTTCAAACTTGCTTCACTTTGCAAGCCGCCTATGGAATGGGCTCTGTTGGGGCTTGGGTCCCGACGAGCGTTTCCAATCGCCACCACTTCCGTCAGGTCGTGCTCTGTCGGGGCCGCCCTTTTCGTTTGCACAGGCTCGCTTCTTTCCCTTTATTCGTCCACCGTACGTCCCCGATCGGAGCCTCTCCCTCCTCCTCCCCCAAAAAGCATAGCCTTTGCCTTTACTTTCGATCCTTTCTTTACTTTCGATTCTTTCTTTACTTTCGATCCTTTCTTTACTTTCGATCCTTTCTTTACTTTCGATCCTTTCTTTACTTTCGACTTTCCTCTGCCTGCGGATTGGTGTTGCGCATCTCCCATCTTGGTTTGGCCTGCCCTTTGTTCCATTCTCTCGCTCCACATTGCCGCTCGCCGACGCTTACGGGTCCTTGAACTGGCGTCGGCATGCACATACGATCGTCTGATCATCCATCCGTCGGTCCGGCCGAGCATCGTGCAGCACCGTGCAGCATCGTGCATCCTTGCCTTATACTGATCGCTTCTGGCTCTGTTGTCGATTCCGCTTGGTCCTCTAGCTCGCTCATCCGAGGGCTACCATGCCATCTCCAACAACACCATCATCATCGACAACTTTTTAGAGCTCCTGGCCGAACGTCGAAGGGCTAGGGGCGATGTCCCTGCCGACATAGACCCTAATCAAGATTTCTTTGCTGACCTTAATACTCCGTCTGAAGTGGGTCTGCTGCGAAACCGCAAGGGCGAGCTTGTCTTCCAGTGCCCGGCTGCCTTTGCCGTCCGAACCCGGCTGAAGCGGCACGTCACCACCATGGATCCCAAAAACTCGGCCTACCACGTCGATCCGACCCAGTATTTCTGCTCGGGTATGAAGATGCACGAGGGCGAGCAAAACCCTTCCGCCGCAACCTCTGTTGCTGCGGCCAGCGAGCCTCCAGTCACCCCCGGGCCAAGCGATCGCCAGCATCGCTCTGACAAGTCGGAGCATCCTTCGAAACGGCCCAGGATTCGCACTCAGCCCACCTCAGACGAGGCCTCGTTTCTGTGCTCGTGGCCCAGCTGCTCCTTTGCTACCCCCAATGCACAGCTCCTGGAAAGCCACTTGATCGAGGCGCACCATGTAGGTTTCATCCCTCGCAGATGGGGCATGTCGAGATGGAAGCCGGACCGAGCCCGGACCGAGCCCGGCGCGCTGCTCAGTGTGCTCAACCGATTCATCGATGGATCGATTGATCCATCGATCAATACGATCAGCGCCACCTGAGCGAGTGGCAGACTCTGTATTCCTCGACCTGCCCCCCCCCCACTGCCGCCTCCGCTGCTTCCATTGCCTCCATTTGCCCCGACCCGCTTCCGCTGCTTCGTTTGCTGACGCTGACGCTGCCCCCGCTATCCCCATGGCTCGCTCCGGCCTGGCCTCCACAGATACCCGTTCCGTTTGCAGACCCAAGCAAGTCCGGGCCCAGCTCCTTCGCCTTTACTGAAAAGGCCGAGGGCTTCAACTCGTACAACACCATAAAGCAGCCTGGCAAATTCGTCGTGGTGCCCCACCAGCTACCGTTCCCATCGACCTCGACCGAGATCGGCTATTTCTTGCGTGAGATGTGTCGTAAGATGATCATCCACAAGCTCCAGCTCCAGCTCCGCCCCAACATGGAGCCCGCGATTGTACCTTCAAGCGAGTTCATGGGCCAGATCGACCTCGGCCTGAATGAGATGGACTTTACTGGGCTCGGCGCCGCCTTCGAGACATGGGCCGCCAAGGACTTTGCCCAGTTCTCGAACCGAATCATTGCCGAGTTCCGCGAAAAGGAGGGCCTGCGCCATGGGCTAATCCGCCTACGATCAGCCCCCGGCGACAACTCGCCAAAATCGCTGCAGCGCAAGTCCGGCACGGCTCTCGGCTCGGGTGGGTCCAAGCTGGAAATCATCGAGTCGAGCCAGATGGATACCAACATGAACGGCGGCGGGGTCATCTCCAAGATGGACCATATTTCGCGACCCGAGCCCTTCCAGATGACGCTCCCGATCCACAACATCTCAGAACCCGTTGCCCCGGCTGCCGATCCGGTGACCCCCATGGGTATCTCCGTGCCACCGCAACTGCGATCCTCGACGCCAATGAGCTACAATCGAAACACCCCGCCGTTCCGCCCCATGCATCCGTACGGCCCACACATATACCCGACCGCCGTCTACCACGGACCCAACCCGACGCGGGCCCCGCCCAACAACATGGGACCTGTCTTTACCGGCCAGCCGCCCCTCCAAAAGTCCATGGGCCCACACTCGGGTGGTGCCGATCCGCAGCTGCTGCCCAGCATGAATGCGCCGACGAACCCGCAGCAAGTCCCGATGCAGCATGAAGCCACGTCGTGGTATTCGGCCACATCGGCCAATCCGCAGCGCCTTCCGACAGCACAGGTCGCGCCCTATTCCCAGGTGCGCCCAAAGTCAGCGGCCCTCCAACCTCCCTCCAATACCCCGTTCTATCAACAGCTCCCTCCGCAGGCCTCGACTCCCCAGCTGCCGTTTAGCCGCGACATACAGACCATCGAGGAGCAGTCCAAGTCGCCCATGTCGTTTTTTCAGCAGCCCATGATCAGCCAGCAGTTTGCAGGATCCGGGGGCGTGGCAAACAATGACCACGACGCTCCGTCTGCGCCAGTCTCTGCCCGACCCGAGGTCTTTGGTGGCTCCAATCCGATCTACCGCCGGTCCAGTATACCCAACTTTGCCAATACCCCGCCGCCGCAAGTCGCTTATGACTCTTATGATACCACTCGATCGGCCACCCCACAGTTCCCGACTGTCTCGACTGTGGGCATGCCAAGTCCAAACGTCTTTAATGGCGCTGTGCCGCCCTCCATGCCGTCTTCTTTAGATCCCAATGCCGCGGGTCCCTCTGGGAAGCCAGAAGCCGATTCCACCAACTCGATCCTGAACATGGGTTGGGAAATGAACCACTGAACGGCCCCTCCCTTTTTCCCCCTCCTTCCTTCCCTCCACCCCCCTCGCGTCAGCGATATCGGCGAGGGCAGAGAAGGCGGAGGGGGGGGAGGTGGACGCAAAGAAGAATCAGGGAGAGAGAAAAAAAAATTGACAACACCGGGAAGCATAATAATAGCGCAATCATGAGCCAAGTTCTCTCGTACGTTGCAGTGTTAGCTCGGTTTGTGCTCTCTCGCCTTGTTTCTTTTGCGTTGTCTCTATTATTATCCTTTTTTTTCTCATTGCTGCTCTTCAGTTTACGGCTATTGTTTTTGGTGCTGCTGCTTGTGCTGCCTAAAATCGCGCTTAATCGCATCACCAGTTTCGGCTCATCCAGACCAGCGCTGTCTGTGTCTTTATTGGTTCCGTTCTGCTCCTTCGTTTACGTAGCTTTCTTTGCTTGCCTGCTTGCTTGCTTGCCTGCTTGCCTGCTTGCCTGCGCTCGCTCTCTCCTTCGCTTTCTCTCTCGATCGATCTCTCACTTTCCTCCATGATCCTGTTGTTGGTCTGCATATCTGTTTGTCGGTTTCTCTATCTATCTGCCACCAGCCTCAGTGCTGGATCATCTGGGATTTATACCTTGCCTTCGTCTGCGCCTCGATGACACATTTCTCGCATTCCTCGTCTCCCCCCTCCTCCTCCTCTCTTTCCTCCTCCATCACGGGTGACATTTGGTTGCATCATTGCTTCTCTATCTTCACATTTGCCCTTTGGCACCTTTTCTATCAGTGCGTGACTGTATGTATGCTTCACATGTGTATACGTATTAAAATGCACGATCTCCTTCTACCTTTCCTCCTCGTCGTTACCCTACGGTGGTTCCTCGAGGCAGTCATAGGGGCAAACGTTATCACAGGGCTCAGCCGCCATGAGAACACATCTAATGCGATGAGACGGCACCGTTCCACTGAGCGTTATCACCACCGCTATCGCCGCCTATCGCCGCCTTCTCTTCTCCGACCCTGCTTTTGCCGCCTTGAGAGGTCGCCTCTTCTCCTCCTCCGCAATCCGTCCTGTTGTCTACTTTTTCCCTCCCCCCTCTTTCATTCTAAGCCATTTATTCCATTTTATTCCTTCCATTTCCTTTTACTTTTCTTTCCCGCTCCACTCCAACCCACTCCAACCCAACCCCCACTTCCCAATCGCTTCTTCTTTGCATTGCTGTCAAGGTTTACACCTGGGCCTTGCCTTTGTTTCTCTATTTTTATCTCTCCTTTCCAGTTCCTGGGCTGGGGGTTACCTGCTCCCCAGTTGTATGATCTGGGAGCTCGGAATATATACCCTTTCGTCACATTGTCCGCACTCCTGGTAAAGGGAAGATTGGCTGCTCGGGTTGGAGAGCTGTCGCCGGAAGTGCGAGACCAAGAGCAATATTGTATTGGGGCGGGCAATCAGTCCGGCCCTTTCTCTGATGCGTTGCACGATAACTCCAGGAATGAAACTCTGGTCTAGTCAGCACTTGTGGAGGGAAGGGATGCAGTCACCACCAGTTACGAATCGCTATCGTCATCGCCGTCGGAAGCGTCGTCTTCGCTGTCGCCGCAGGTGGCAGAGCAAACGGCGCCGCTGTCGACAAGCTGCAGCCAGCGCAAGCCGGGCGGATCTCCGGACTGGACATAGTATCCGCCCGAGCCGGCGGAGAAAACTTCGCTCCAGGAGGAGTTATCCAAGTCCGGAGGCGGCTTGGATCGAGGTTGGCCGCTGGCGGTGCGGATGCCGACTTGGGTCGCCTTGAGGGTGGCCTCCAAGGGCGTGAGCGAGCGGCGGGGCTCTTCAGGCTGCCCATGGAGATAGCGGTACACGCCGATGTGATCGCTCGGCGTGTGGTCGCCCTTCGGCTTGGGTACTTTGTGCTTGCCACCAACAACAATAGCCTTGGGTGCGGGCGGCAAATCGGCAGACTTGAGGCTGCTTTGAATGAAGGATCGGTGGATGATCTGGTGCGAAGTCTGCACGGCATGCATACCGCCAGCGTCCTCGGCTCCGAGGGCAGCGAGGCGAGCGTCTGCCGCCATCATTGTGGAGGGAACGCCGCGCGTCTCGATGTCGGACAGGAAGGACTTGACAATGTCCAAGTAACCTCCGCGGATGGCAAGGTGCAGGGGGCTACAGCCGAGATAGCTCTTGGCGTCGTCGGGAAGCGGGCGACCGCTCTTGGCGAGGTTCTGCTGGGCATCCAGCAGCAACTTGACGGTTCGGCGGTGGCCGTTGACAGCAGCCAGCATCGTGGGCGTGTAGCAGTAAGTGTCGGACTGCAGCTGCAGGAGGCTGGCTATCTGGTTGGCTGGAACAAACTTGAAGAGATGCTCGATAAACTCGACTCTTCCTTCGTAGCTGGAGCAGCAAGAGTCGTTAAGACAAGGTCAGAAAAAAATACGCACCCCGCAGCGGCCATGCCGGACCATCCTGCAGACAGCAGCACTTACGCAGCGTGGTGAAGGACATTCCATTTCCTCAGACCGTCGGTGTGGGTGACAATGTTATCGCCCTCACCCACTGTCTTGGCGGCCTCGACGATGGCATTGAAGCATCGGAAGTTGCCACAGCTGGCCGCCGAGTGGGTCGGCAAAAGCTGGTTGTTGCGCGTTTTTTCAAACAGCATCGAGCGAAGAGCAGCAGCGGGCATGATACTCGCGAGCTTGGCAATCGACTCGGGGCGGTTGTGGTGCACTGCCCAGTGGATTGGCGAAGGGTTTCCCATATCGTTTGTGGAGAGGCCTTGGAAGTACACTGTCAGGATCTTGGTGAGCTCGGCCTTTGGCAGTCTAGAGAGCGCAATCGCACGCGGACTGCTGCTATAGTTGCTCATAAAGACCGTAACGGCCTCCGTGACCCACTCCAGGTCAAGAAGGCGCTGCATCAAGTCTGCTCGCCCAAAGGCGGCAGCAAGGTGCATCAGCCCGCTCTGCACGGGCGAATTCGTCAAGGGCTTTGCCTCGGGCTTGGCCGGGAGCTGCATGGACTTGGGGTTCAGTCCTGTATATGGACGAACCCGGCTCTTTTTGCCGGCGGCCTCCTCGATCTTGGCTTCCGAGGGAGCTTCGTGCTCCTTGGGCCTTGGGATATCGGGGAACACATCAAACAGCTCAAGACCGGCGAGATCATGCCTGCGCATTGCGAAGGAAACAAACACCCTGATTAACGTAGACTCTCGATCGTTTCTCCGCCCGATGCCAGCGCTAAAGATCGAGGCGCAGCAGGAAGGGGAGTTCAAAGAACAAACAAGCCACGATGGTCCAATCCCGATGCGCGAACTTACTCAATCAGAGCCCGGAGTCCCTTGACATCGCCCTTCAGAATGGTCACGCCGATCTGGCCGACGGCCCACGAGCCATAGTTTTTACCGTCGTTCTTGAAAGTAAGATCCCAGCCCTTTTCGCCCTTGAGGGCCTCGAGAATGGCCCTGGCGGCCTCGGTGGCCCGGGTGCCGAGGGCAATGTCAAGGGCAGTGGCGTCGATTTTCCTGGAGAGAACGCCGTCGTGGGGGGCATACTCCAAGAAGAAGCGCGACTTGACTTGGCACAAGTCCAGCAGGGTGGCCTTGGTCGTGGCGGTGACCGTGCGCACTGATGGCGCCTCACCGTCTTCGACGTAATCCTCGTCGTCGTCGTTGTCGTCGTCGTTGGGATCGGAGCCACCGGCATCTACGTCTGGCTCGGAGGGGTTGCTTTCCTCATCCATATCTTCATCCTCGTAGTTGTTGATGACAGCGCGCGTGGGCTTGTCCGATTCAGAAGCATCCTTCTTGGATCGTTGCAAGCGAGCGATGCGGAGAAGCTCGGCGACAGCCTCGCTGTGACCGCGCCAGGTGGCCAGCATCAGCGGGGTTACCGAGAGGCCGATGTGGACAACGTAGACGAGTAGCTGTTTCTTGTCTGGGGCATCGACGGTGAGCTTACGGATCTGCGTGACATCGCCCTTCCAGGACGCCCTAAAGAGAGAAAGATATGCCGTCGACAGCTTGCTTTCAATATTGGTGTATGTAACGCTGGAGTACGCCCCAGGCGATCGATCCATGATCTGGAACTGATGCAAAGGGTTGGGAGCCGGCGCAAGAGAGGGCAGCACGGTAGCATTTTGCTGGTTCAGCTTCAGCAGCTTCAGCTGTGCATCGGCAATGGTTTGGTTCTGCAGCTGGACCAACGCCTGCAACTCTTTTTGCTGCTTCAGTGTCTCAGCATCCAAATGCTGGGCTTTAAGGTCGGCCGCAGTGCTAGCGCCCTTCGAGATGAGGGCATCACGGCAGAGCTTCAGGCGACGGAGAGTTCGTTCAGCCACAAGCACCTGGAAGAGCTTCCTTTCCTCAGGGGTGGCACAGCCCTCCACGACCGCGGGGGCGTCGTCGTGGTCATCTTCAAGAGCCTGAACCCAGTCGTCGCGGGGCAAGCTTGGGTCTTCGGTGGGTTTGACGTCGGTCGTGATGGTGGTCTCCTGGGCTTTGATCAGCTTGTCGAGCAGGAATTCTTCCACAGAATTTGGAGCGGCACGCTTGAGCCTATCACGGAGGCTTTTGAGTGGGTCGTCGGCGACGGCTTCAGGATTGGACTGCTTCTCCCGCATGATAGCGACCGCTTTTGTGGCAGATCCGATGGCTCTGTCGGCAGCATCGAGGGCAGTTTCCTCACTGGGGCTCGACGTGACAAAGTTCACGTCGGCACCGTGTTCAATCAGCAATCGAGCGCACTCATGATGGCCTCTGTCAATGGCCAGTTTCAGCGGCTGCGCAATCATGGATTTCATAACATTCGGATCATTCTGGTAGTCTCTGACGGACCACCAATCGCCGGAGGAAGCCGAAAGGAACTTGGAGCATGACTCGACCGGAATATCAGCCTGCCCAGCCAGACCAGGAATCGCATATATATCAGCCCGTGCAAGCAATGTTTGGCGGTGCGGCCCGAAATACCAGACTCGCTGACGGCATCGGCCTTCGTTGTTCACGATAGCGCCATCCCGAAGCAGATCGATGGCAGGAGAATGACATCCAAATGCTCCCCAATGATACCCGCACCAACCCGCATACCGAACAGCCGGCATCCAGAAGAGCCTTCAAAATAGTTGGCCGGCCGAGTTGTGCGGCGAGAGCCACAGGCGTGGTCTTGGAAGCATTCATCAGGTTCATCGACTCGACCAGCCCCTCTCGATCGATGTGATTGCTCGAGGAAAGAATCTGAATGATGTCCATGCGCTCCTCTGTGACGGCCCTGTGCCAAATCGTGTCCGTGCGGCTTGTGTTGAGCCTATCGAGCGGCACTTTGTGGGCGATCAAGGCTTCTATCATTCCGATCTGCTTTTCCCGATCAATGCATGCTAAAGCAAGATCAAACAGGGTGTAGATACGCTTTGGAGACCAGTCGTTGACCTTGATCTCCACATTTTGGCTGATGGAGCACCCGGCCTCGACGAGGCGCTCAAAGGCCTCGCGCTGGCCGTGGAGACACGCATAGTGCAGCGGAGTCATCTACATATGCAGTCCATCGATGGCATCAGCTCAAAGAGTATGGGCATGCTGCCTTGACATCCTGCCACCATCTCCATAAGAATGCACCCTGGCTCCAAGGATCGGCGGAGGGCTCATGGATCGGCGGAGGGCTCATGGATCGGCGGAGGGCTCATGGATCGGCGGAGGGCCCATGGATCGGCGGAGGGCCCATGGATCGGCGGAGGGCTGGGGTGAGCACAAAACATACCTTCATATCCCAGTCAACAAAAGCAGTGTCGATAATGTCGTACTTGATCTCCTCCTCCTCGTCTCCTTTGGCCTCGCCACCCTGAGCCTTGCTAGGCTTGGTGGCTTCGGCCGGATCGACGCTGACATAGTCCTCTTCTTCGCTGAGGTCGTCTTGGGTGACCGAATCTATCTCGCCCTCGTCTTCTTCCGAGAGCTTCAGCTTCTTTTTTGCCGGTTGATCAGGCGAGTCGTGCCTCTTTTCTTCATCCTGGGCCTTTTTGCTGATGTTGGCCCGGTTGCGCTCGACGATCTTATCGAGTATCTCAACATAGCCGTACTCGGAGGCGATGTGAAGGGGATTTCTTCCGTCTGGGAGCGTCAGGCTGATAGAGGCTCCCTTGTCGATGAGGTAAGTGGCGACCTTGATGGAGTTGCACAGCACAGCAACCTGGAGCAGCGTGCGGCTAGACAAAAGAAAGTATGCGGAACAACGGTATCAATGGCGGTGTCAGGTTCAAGCCGGAGCACAGGAGCCAAGGCGCAGAGTGCCGAATGCAAACCTCCCCCCCCAACCAAGTCCAGGAACACTCGATGCGCTGCAAACATCCGTACCCGAGCCAATCGCGTTGGTCGAAATCGAACTCCTCGGCGGCTGTGTGCTGCTTGAGTGCTTGGACATTGTCGTCGGCAATGTATTGCAGCCAGTCGTAGATTCCGTCGGGCAGATAAGCATCCTTGGTCCACTCATTGTCGTCGACAGGATGGAAGCTACCAATCTGCTGTCGTCCGGGATCGTCCTTGATGAAGCCGAGTGGCCCAAACACAAATATGTTCTTTTCCTCTGGGTCGTAGTCGTCCGGGAGAGGGGGGCATTGTCCGCAGCAGTCCTCCATGACATCCTCCATGGTGCCAAAGAAGCATGGGTGCTGGTGGTGCCGGGTGCGACGAAACTTGTGCATGAGGTACGGGTTGTTGAGGATGTAGTCCTTCTTGTAGGCCTTCTTGCGGATCTTTTCGGCTGTCCAGCCTGGTCCATAGGGCATAAAGAGCGTGCTGTAGTCGTTGGAATCAACTCCGCCAGCCGTGAGATCCTGGTTGCGTCTGTAGGCAAGACGTCGATGGGCGCCGGCTTTGTCGTGGGATGGCCGGAGGCGGCGTGTGCGCTGCTGTTCCTTGAACGTCATTCGCGCTCCCTGCGAACTGAGGCTCTCAAACAGGAGCAGGCGGGCAAGACCTTGGACCTTTTCAAAGCTGCGCTCATAGACCTGAGGATCGATCCTGTCTCTCTGGAGCTGAGGGACAGCAATCTCGTATCCACGCTCGGCATCTGATGCAATCGGAACGGCCACAGTCGGTATAGAGGACAAGCGTCAATCACAGAAACGCTGATCAACAGATGGATCCAGCAACACTATCTCGGCGCGTCTGCTGGCGTAAGCAGATCGGCTCAGAATCCCACTCCCCGCCACAGGACATGCTTTCGGACTGTATACGCACACTTGGCTAGGCGCACTTCGTAGGAGGTGGAGCGACGACTCATGTCAACGCAGTTGACCTTGGAGCTGATCGCCAGATGCGCACGGCGAGTGGCATACACATTTTGGCCGTCAAAGCCGACGCCACAGCAGTCGACGTCGAAGCCCATGAGAATCTCTGCGGGCGAGCGATAGAGCCGCAAAACAATCTGAACACAAGACGGACGGGTGGCAGACAGTGTCAGTCGAGCAGTGAAAGCGGTGGAGCAGTAAAGCAGCCGGTGCGATCGCCATTTGATGCGAGTTTACAAAGCCCGGACGCAGACTCACTTGGATGTGTCGGTACGGATATTGAGACACCTAGCGGCGGAGCAGACGAGCATGTTTGTGAGATGGAGCGTTGCGGCAGTGGTCCAAGGCATCCGAGCGTCTGACTTACCAGAGTGACGGCATGCGGAGAGCGAAACACGGTGACTTCAAAGGGGATCACATCCAGCAGAGCGTTGTATATGGCCATCATCTTTTGCTTGGCCTGGTCTTCGTCAAGCCCATATATGAACAGGTCCAAGTCCGACGACGGAAATTTGGAGCGCATGTACTTGCGTCTCTGCGCACCCGAACCGGCGTGCTCCGCGGGGAGAGGTTCGAGGCAGGCAAGAACGGATCCGCCGGCAGCCATGACGTTGTTCCAGTCGATGGTTTCGAGCATGACTTCGCTGAAGGCCTTCCAGTTTTCACGAAAGTCCTTGGCGCTGCCGATCGACGCGCTTTCGACGGGGATGTCCTCCGAGCGGGGCATGATCTTGGGAACCTGGGGGACAGCCAAAAGCGCAGGTGAGCCCGCCACTGGTCATGCTTGCGGAATTGGAACAACGACGATCGTATCAACCGATCAACCGACACGTGTCACATGAACAATGCCCGCCCTCCGCGACCAGAGAAGGCGTCTTATAGAGGAGTAGCTCATAGCCAAAGTGATTCTGTCGGAAATGGGGCATACCGAGTCATTGGCAGGCGTAAATTTCCAGATAGCGGGGTCCGTCTGATGGACCGGGAGAAGCGAGACGAGCGGATCCTTGACCTCTGCCGAGGTTGGATTTTGGGCAAAGATCTGGCGGTGCTGATTTTCCTTATCGAGCACGCTCCTGGATGCAGGCGTAGATGCTGGTGAGCATGACAACAGAGGCAGATCCCCAGATGCAGTCAAGGCTTCCGAAACGGAGACTGGAGGAGGTCGCCAAGCAGAACGACACGGCACTCACTTTTCAAAGAGCTTGCGCTGTTCTGGACTGGACACCGAGGCGAGGTAGCCCGCGGTGTATTGCTTGGTGGAGAGCATCCCGACGGCTGGTGGGGGGGGGATGCGAGTCCAAGTGCAGGACGAGCCCAGGTCGAGGCAAGGGGCGGGTTTTGAGGCCGGGGGCGGGCAGGCCATGCGAAGCGCGCGAAGCTGCCGAAGCCGGCTGGATCCGCGCGGCTGCGCAGTCGCAGCGAGGCCGGATTGATGGACATGCAGGATCCAGAACGAGGCGGCTGGCGCTCGTTGTGACGTGGGTGCTATTGGCTTGGCTCTGTTGAGTTGCCTGGTTGAGCTGCTTGGTTGAATTGCTTGGTTGAGTTGCCTGGTTGTGCTGCTTGGTTAAATTGCTTGGTTGAATTGCTTGGTTGTGTGGTGCCCCATCAGTATGCCCTTTTTGGGAAGCCCCACTGCTCCCGGTTTCGCGCCACTTGACGCATTGAGGTGAGCTCGTGTTGGATTCATCTGCGACAGACACCTCCCAGCCGACCGGCAACGCTCAGGGGCAGCAGTAGACCCGCCTCGGCCAAGAAAATCAGCTCCATCATAGCACTTCGAGCGGACCGCCGTGGCTGAGCCCGACACCGCATCTACACGACCAGGCCAGACGATCCCCTCCCCTAACCATCTATCCTCTGCCCATGAGTGCCACTGCCAGCATCGACTCCAAGGGCCTGATCGAGTGGGCAAACTGTCACGGACACAGTCTCACAACGACCCTGCAGACCATTCGCAGCCCAACCGAGGATCTCGACCCTGCATCGATCCAAAAGTAGGTGGCGCTGTGTCCGAAGCGGAAGTCCGAAGCAGGAAGTCAGAAGCAGGAACGCCGCTGCTCACCAGCAGGGCTGCCCAATTGCCGAACCAGGCCCTCGTGTGCTGTCTCTGACTTGGGTCTCTTATCTATTCAAGACTGTGTCGGTTGCAAACAAACCCTGTCTGGAGTTTCCTCGTCCAGCATGTTCTACCTCGAGAGTACGCCTGTCTTGTGGGCATGGGCTGAATCGGTCTTGCATGGCATCGCTTTAAGCTATCGCAGGCCCGTTGATTAATGCTGCATCGTGCCTTGTAGACAATACGACTCTGCCAGAGCATTGCTGAAAAGGTGATCTTCGTATCTGGTCCAGGTCTTTCTCGTTGGAGCACTGGGCAGTTTGCGACCTTCGACAGTCTCACTCATATTTTCCAATCCTCACTGACGAACTGCCGACGATCAGACAAACCCAGGGCAATCTTGACCCCAAGAAGACACCGCACTTGTTGCAGCTGAGGCAAAGCCTGCAGAAAGAACAGAACCGGATGGACACACTGCGTCAACGGCGTGAGCTTCTCCGAGCCAAAATCGCACAAAAGACGAATGATGTCGAAGCTCTGGAGGCACATTGTCAGGCCGTCGCGAAGGAGATCTGCCAATACGGTAGGTCCTTTGGATTGTGGACCAAGAGCACCGAGTCAGTACCCAGGGTCTGGGAGAATGCTGACCCACAATGGTGGCGGCCATACAGAGTCCCAATTAGCCAAATCCAAGACCACACTGGCTCTGAGGCGTCGGCAGCAGATGTTGGATCAGGCCCACGCCAAACTCTCGTCGCAGCAGATTCATGCCCAAAACGAATATCCGGCAATCATCAAGGGAGTCCTGTCAGACAGACTGGAGAGGTAGGCCGATTGAGCCGCCGGCCCCACCAGCTACCCACTTCAAGCAGCTCACAGGTCCTCGATCGCACCATTACTGCATCTGAACAGATCGCATCAGGCGCAGTTTGGCTCTGCCGATCCTCAGTCCGACAAGGCCTTGGTAAGCCCTTGAGCCCGAAGCGCTGCCTCTCCATTTTCTCTCCTGGACATGTCGATTGCATTTCATTCGGCTCACATGCGCTCCACCCCTATCCTGGTTCCGTGCAGGACGACGTCAATGAGGCTGTTGAAGGGATATACGCATACCTCTCAAACACGATCGGAAGGTAGCCACAGCGACTGCTAGCCGCACCACATGAGCCCGTTCGTCGTGCACATCCACATCCACCCTAACTCTGCGGTGCTTCAGCGGCACATCATCACCAGACTTGGAGCGCTTGGAAGAATACATGAAGGCCAGGGTGAGGATTTCGCGCATGTCGAGCGAGCAGCTGCAAAGTGCTCCACGGCGCTACGGACATAAGCGACATAAGCGACAGCCGGCCTCACTATAATGCTGAGTCATCTCGATTCCGCAGAAACGACTCTCGAAGGTGCCTTGTGCCTTCTTCCTGAGATGTCTCCTCTCGAACGCCGTGGAGATTCGCAGCAAGATCACCCGAGCGACGTACGTAGCTTCTTTGGTCTCCAAGCCATGATTTCTCTGTTCCTCAAGTCGGTCGCACTGACATCTCTTGGTTGCGGGTTCGCGCCTGCAACTTTTAGCCCGAACGCAACTCTCAGCGACTCTGAACACAAAAAACGCATTCATGACGCCGTTACGGTAAATCCTGGGTCATGCTGCAGCCATGGGAAGCAGCAATTCAATTGAAGTCGACAACGGTCATCCGGAGGATACTTATCCTCGTTTTCGCTCCACAGCAACTCTCGGACGGCCATGTCTCGCGACATATGGAATCGGAGCAGCATCTCAATGCCGTGCACCACGTTGCCAGTGAGATTCAAATCCACATTGGCAAGTTTAAGGAGCTGGTGACTCAAAAAGGGCTGATCCAGGAAGACGCTGTCGACTCGGTCGTGTAGGTGGAGTCAATCATAAGCATATATTGGGGCTGGCTATTTACAGGCGTACAGCCCCCTTTGACTTGATCGGCTGGCGCATCGAAGGAGCCTCAGTCGCTCTGCTATGCAGAGGAAGGATGTTCAACGCAAGACTCAGCTGTATGTCTCATCGTGTCTGCTGCGATAAAACAGCGGCCTCTATCTCAAGAAAGCTGAGCGATCTGGCAAGCAGGCTGTACTCCAGCACCTGGAGGAATACTGCAAGCAGCTCGAGAGCAGCGTCGATCAGAGTGAGCTCAAGTGGGCCAAACTCAAGGAAACCAAGGCCGATATCACTGCAGCCGAGAAGCGAATCGTAAGCCACACTGCAGCCCCGTCGACTGGGTGTCGATTTGGCAACATCGAGATTCAGCAGCCCTTTGCTTGAATGCAAAACCTCTGCCTGGATACATGCCTCTGTCGTACTGGCTGACCCTCTGTCGGCTCCACAGGGCCGCGAGCGAAAGATTATCGAGTACGTTGCTATAACGGCGCGATCCCTTCTCCAAAACATGTATCCTCGGATCCAACAGGTATCCTATAGAGCTCATGTCGCTAGTTTTGCTGGCATCGGGAACGGTGCGCTCGCCTGCTGCCTCGATCGCGCATTCGGCGCAGACTAACGCCGTGCTGTCGATGCTGCACTCAGAATCAAGACCAAGCGTATTCGAGTCTTACGTCGTTGTATCCCAGAATCCAAAACCTTGATCAATATCTGATCGGAAACGTACTGAGAGAGTACAAGGAGTTTCACCGCACCGATATCCTGAAGATGGAGCGAATCTTCATTAACGGGTAAGCAGTGAGGTCGTCGACAACGTGGCTACGGCTCCACCGACACCACACGGACTGTCACTCCTCCTCTCACTCGCGCACAAACTCTTCCAACAGACAATCTCGCTATCTAGCGCAATCGACGCCACGCCGGGGAGTATTTGATCCAATAGCCCAGAACCTTGGCAGAATCCTCCGCCTTCCGCCTGGCCGGGTGAGTAGTCAGCAATCGCTCTGGCGATGTCGTTGCCTTGATTGAGCATTGCTATGATCAGCGATCTTGTGTGCTCGCGCGGGTGGGGGGGGTCGCGAACTAACCCAACGACGGGCTTGTGACTGACCTCGATATCCCTCGCTGCCGGTTCTGATCAGTCGTTGGAGAGCATCGGTCACCATATTCGTTCGCTCGACGAGAGAAGTAAGTTGCCCACAGTTGCGCGGTTGAAGAGCATATACGAGTCCGAAGCGATAGCTCTAACTTTGATCGTACCTCCAAGCATCCCAAATGGAATCGCTGGTATTACTGTTCCGAGAACGAGACCAACGCTTGCTCGATCATGGTATGGAGACTGTCATGCCGTTGCTCCGAGCCGAGCCTCCACAGTCGACGCTAATGTGTCCCGTTACTGCACGATTTCCAGCGCGAGCCGTGCAGCGCAAGAGCGGAAACCCCGATGTAGCGCTGCGGTCGATCGGCTCCTTTTTGGAGAGACAGATTCAAATGCTCTCAGGTGAGCGCTCCGCCTTGAGTCCCTGCAGCCCAGCGCTGCGGCTCGATGACGACATTCGGATAGTGATGCAGAGTGTGCTCGGGCTGTTGATTTGTATGGAATGCATCAACATCGCAGTTGATGCACATGAACATGGCCGATTTGACACATGCGGCGCTTTGCAATGCAGGCTCCCTCAAAGACCAAGACAGCCGCTATCACGGCAAGATCATCCCGCAGCTGAGAGCCATTTGTGCCCGAGCCGACGAATCGCACTTGCTGTTTTGCCAAATCATGGAGCTGGCTGAGGAATGGTATGCGTCGCTGCGATTCAAACAGCAAACGTGACACAGTTCGTTGCCGAAGCCCCATACTCATTCTCGTCCCTTTGGTTACGAACGCAACTTGGCACAGGGGCCACATCGAAAACGACCAGTTGGTGGATCCCGCATGGCCAATGAGCTCGCTGCATGAACTTTGGCTGATGACCATTTCGAAACACTAAAGCCGTATGATCCCAGGACGTATGCAGCAATAAGACCCGCGTGGTGCCTGTCATACTTGTGCCAATCGCGGGGAGTGTGCAAGAATGGGATTTGTGTATTGAGCGAAGCGCCACGGCTCACTTCTTCTTCTTGAGACCGCCCTCGAATCCTGGCCGCTTCTTGCCCTTTGCTCCCTTGGCTTTCGTGCCCTCCATCCGTGCTTTGATGTTCTGCTCGCGCTTGGCGATTTTGTCAGATTGCTGTTTCCGGACCGTGGACTTGCGCTCTCCCCATTGCTTGGTAGACTTTGTCTTTTGCTTCTCGATGCGCTTGATGGTTTTCTTGAGCAGGGTGGGATCGTCCTTGAGCTTCTGTCCTTGTGCTAGTTGGTTTAGCCGCTTCCATTTTTCGGTCTCTTGGACTTGCTCTGCCTTTGAGGGATCGGCCTCTTTGAGCTGTTCAAGCTTCGCCTTCTTGTTCTCGATCTGCTCGGCCGGCAGTATTCAAGATAGCAGAGTAGAACGATACGTGGGTTAGCAATAGAGCTCGAAGTCTGGGACAGCGGACAGTCTGGGACTGGCGTGCTGGCGACATCGCGCCGACGACATTGCTCTGTGTAATATCGGTAGATAAAACCCAGCGACTGCCCAGTCTGCCCAATCCAGCCTTCAAACGCCTAAGAGACGGCCAATGAGGCACCGACGTCGCTCGCGCAACTGTAAACAACATCCAGAGCCAGTAGAGCAACCACACAAACTGCAATGGCACCCACGCTCCGCGAGAGCAACGTGCTAGTTTCCAGATACAGACCCTCTTCAGCTGGCTGAAGACATCTGCGTTCTGCTTCTTGCTGTTGCCATCGCCAAACTCCAGCGTGCCAAACGAAAGCTGCTCCTTGAGTCCACCCTTCTTTGATTTCTCGGCCGGTTCGGTGCTCTCGACCCGCATGCCCTGGGTAATTACATGTCTCGTCAGTCAGGACATCCCAAGAGTGTCGCCATATCCACAATGAGGGCAAAGGACATTTGGCTGGGACCACATCGTGATCTCGCGGCACAATTTTGCGACCGCGTGCTGATCGGTACTTACAACTGTATCCTGTGGCTTCTTCTGGGAATCCTTTTTAGAGGCCTCTTCTTTCTCGCGTTTTCGCTTGGTTCGCCGCTCCAGCACTTCGAGCCGCCCCTTGGCTATGGTGCCATCCGGCAGAGGCTCGCTCGGGGGTGCCTTTCGGTTTGCACGCAGCTCAGCGATGCGTGACTGCAGCTTGCTCTTGAGCTCCGCAATTCCAATCCGGGCCATAGGTTTCATGTCTTACAGCAAGAAGGGTGGCCCCAACCCGAGTGAGAAACTGCCAGGAAAACTAACCGACACCACCCGCCACATAACGGAGCCGACAATATGGCCGCCATCTATGCGCCAAGACAGGACAGGGCCAGCAATAGAAACCAAACAGAACTATGTACCTTGACTATGACGGATATTGGTGGTCTCATCTTCGCCCTCGTCGTCCTCCTGACCTTCCTCCTGGTCTTCATCGCCATCGTCGTCCTCGTCATGGTCATCGTCCTCATCATCATCATCATCATCATCATCATCCAGAGCATTTTCGGACTCGGCCTGTTGTCGGGCTGCGCGCGCCTTTTGAGCTTGCTCCATCGATACTTGGTTGTCGGGATCGAGCTTGCCGGTTATAACGATGGGTCTGGTCAGTCGACAGGCTGCAGCCACTTGACCACCAAATGGAGAATAATGGACGAAATCGCGCCTCCTGTCCAAGCCTGTCGGCAACATCCACCGCACTGCTCATGCATATACCTTGAGCTTCTTTGCCTTCTTGGTGGCCTCCTTTACAGCCTGCTTTGGGGCCTTGCCTTTCTTGTTGTGCATGAATTTTGACTCCTGAAACGGCAACAAGATATCGGCACAGATCATATGTGTCAACAGCGGCATTCCCATCGATCTCTATCGCATTTGGGGCCGGAACGCAGCCATCCAGGGTCGACGGAGCGTGTGCTGCCGGAAACGATTGCCGAGGGCAGATCGCGATGGTGGTGCGGCGAGAAGTGCATTCCGACACTCACAACTTCATTGTCTGTCGGGTGGATGTAATACTGTGCTGGAATGAGCTCGACGAGGCTGTTGATGGAGGTTTCGTATCGCTCAAGGCGATCCTGGAGATCGAAGTGCAGACACACAGAATCCCAATCGGCACAGGCGGCGTTGGCCATTGAGTGTGAGCGGGGCAAGCGAGATCATCGTCAGACAAAGCGCCTCGACAAAGCGGCGCACTGTATGCGAGCATGGGTAGCCAGTGCTGCTCTGGAGGCTTTCGCCTGGGGCTGCCGGATTTCGGCCTTGGTGTCGACCGCCCGAGATGCCCCCGACGGATTCGGGACATGCTGCACCCAGCCGTGATGCACTGGAGACCGAGCAAGCCGTGGCTCTTCGCACAAGAGCGGTGGCAGTGGCAGCGGCATACCGAGAGACCGTCGATCGTGTAAAGCATATTCGCAGGCGCAGTGGCTGTGGTTGCCTGGGACGGACGGGCGGCTTGACGGCGTTGGTGCTGGCCGAATGTTGCTGGGTGGGCGAGCACGACTCGAAGAAACCAAAAAGAAAAACTGCTGCGCGTGTGTCGCTGATGTCACGAGGCACAGAAAAAAAGGAGTGCGACCGAGGACAGGGCGAGAGCGCGGCGAGAGCGCAGCGAGGACCCGGCGAGGGCAGGCGCGTCCGCCCTTGGATGATCAAAATCCAACGCTGCTCGCCAGACACCAGGACCCAGCCAGGCTCAATCTGTCCGCTTGCCTGTCTGCCGGCTGCGTCTCCCGATCTGCACGATGGCTCCTCCGAAAGTGATCGTTTCCACCAAGGCCGCGGTGCAGCCCTTTGGTATGGCAGAGTCCCACGGTCCTGCAGCCGCGCCGAGGTGCTTTTGCATCGAGCCGGCCAAGCGTCTGGATGATATTGCCGCCTTTGGATGATTGATTGCTGACCCAACATCGCTGCTGCTTTCTCAGCCATCCTGGCCGCCGCCAGCTACATCAACAGCACCGTGAATTCAAATGCCATTTCGCTGTCCTATGACCACACCGAGGGCAAGGAAGCTGTTCTGCTTGCTGACCGGTAAGCCAACCGCAGCACCCGGCATTCTCCAACCCAGATCAGCATCCGGCGCAGCGAGTTCGACCAACCATGCGAAGGATACCGCTAGAGCGCACACGACTAAAGATGAGACCACTGCTCCGAAGCGGCCATGCGGACTCGCGCCTCAGCGAATTGCCTCGACATCGTCGTCCACATCGCGCCGTAGATCGCCTATATGGCAGCATTGCTGATGCCGATTCTTGCCTTTAGCGAGGAATTTGTCGGCACAAACAAGATCATTCGGTTCCTCGGCCGTACTTTCCCCAAGAGCAAGCTCTACGCGAACGACCCTGCCAACGCTGCGCAGGTAGAGTGCGTGCCGCATATGCGCTGGATCGCCGCTCTGTTTGATTATCGGCACCCTTCCTCCCCGAGCCTCGCGCAAGTGACTCAATTTACAATTCCAACCCGCTTTGGACAGGTCGACTTCTGGCTTGATCTGGTTCAGGACACGCTCTACACCAACGATTTCAAGCAGCTCGGCCCCATTTTGGAACGCCTCAACCACCACCTGAAGCTCCGATCGTTCTTTGTTGGATACAGCGTCACCCTGGCTGATATTGCTGTCTGGGGCGCTTTGCGAGGTACAGCTTTGGCGCGAGATGATGCGCTTCGCTGTATGTGAATCTGCCAACGCTCTCTGACACTGCAAGCCCGACGCCAATCGCTTGATCGCACCCGATCGTTATCATTGATTTGGCATGATCGATTCGTGAAACCCACAGGCAACGTCATCTTTGCTCGCCAAGTCAAGACCGGCAAAGATGTGGGCGAGTACCTTGGCCGATGGTACCAATTTATCTCCTCTCTGCCCTGGATCCAGGATGGTGTGAACGATCTCAACAAGTCCAAGGATGCTGGCAAGACCAAGAAAGCTGATCAGGGCTCCTTTGACATTGACCTTCCTGGGGCTGCTCCCGGCAAGGTGGTCACCCGCTTTCCTCCCGAGCCCAGTGGTTATCTCCACATTGGCCACGCCAAGGCCGCTCTTCTGAACGAGTATTTTGCGCGTTTGTACAATGGCAAGCTGCTGTTGCGCTTCGATGACACCAACCCCTCCAAGGAAAAGGTATGCCGGCCGGCCTTCATTCGCGCTCTGTGTCCTGTGCGTGGCCTTTGAAAAGGCGGTGCAAATGCCGACAGTATTTGTCAGACACGTATATTGATTGGGCTTTCTTTTGCTGCATGTGATCTGGAACGGCGCATCGCACCGATCCAGTCTGAGTTCGAGGAGAGCATCAAGGAGGACTTGTCTCTGCTTGAGATCACCCCAGACCAAGTCAGCCATACCTCGGACCACTTCCAAAGAATGTATGAACTAGCTATTGACCTGATCAAGAGCGGGAAAGCCTACGTCGACGATACGCCCCAGGAACAGGTATTTGTCGGAACGAGCCGAGCATTGCACCGCCCCTCCTCTGCGTCTGGGCTGCAGCCTAATTGCCACTCTGCATTGAAAAGATGCGCAACGAGAGAATGAGCGGCACCGAGTCCAAGAACCGGAACAACCCTGTTGAGACCAACCTCCAGCGCTTCGAGGAAATGCGCCAAGCCACTGAATACGTGAGTTGCCACGATTATCATGCAGATGACTTGTTTGACGGGGAGTATTTCCCAGATTATCGTGCTATCGTGCTATCGTGCTATCGTGCTATCGTGCTATATCGACCACCTTCCCAACGACACGGAGTCTGATTGATCCATCACACGCTGCCCCAGGGACTCCAATGCTGCCTCCGCGCCAAGATCGACATGAAGGCCAAGAACAAGGCACTGTGTGATCCTGTCATCTACCGCTGCAACCTGACCCCGCATCACTACACGGGCACCAAGTGGAAGATTTACCCGACCTACGACTTTGCCTGCCCGATTGTCGATGCCATTGAGGGTGTTACCCATGCTCTCCGTACCACCGAGTACCGTGACCGCAATGCCCAGTACGAATGGTTCCTGAAGGCCTTGAACCTGCGCAAGGTCCACATCTGGGAGTTTAGGTAAGTAAGGTGCCTCCCATCTGCACGCCGTGGTCCCAATTTTTGGTCGCGCAACACAACACAGGTGCCATACATGCTATAAACACGGATATTGGTGGCGCCATCCCAACATTCCTTTACCACTTGACGATGCTCGTAGCCGAATCAACTTTATCTACACCCTGCTGTCCAAGCGCAAGCTCACTTGGTTCGTCAACAACGGCCTCGTCGCCGGATGGGACGACCCTCGCTTCCCCACCATCCGTGGTGTTCGTCGTCGCGGCATGACCGTGGAAGCTCTTCGCAACTATATCCTGATGCAAGGCGCCTCCCAGAAGGATATGCTCTTGGAATGGGACAAGATCTGGTCCACCAACAAAAAGGCCATCGACCCCGTTGCCCCCAGGCATACGGCCCTCGATCGCCTGCGAATGTACGTGGCCGGTTTGAGCACGTGCCAATAACCTCTTCTTGCGCTCTGGCGAGAATCTCGTCATTTTTAGCGATGTCGACACGGTGGAACTCGGCGACAGGCCATTGAGTCCAGATACGCCACTGCGCCAACAGCGACACACTGCCGCACACTGCCGCACACTGCCGCACTAACCGCGGGTCCCTGACCATATAATCCAGCGCCAAATGCCAGATCATCGATAAACGATTTGATCCTCACGCAAAGGAACTGCCCAAGCACAAGAAGAACCCCGATGTGGGCGTTAAGCAGACAGTTTTCTCGCCCGAGATTTACCTCGAATGGGACGATGCCAAGGATCTCGAAGTCGGAGAGGAGGTAGGCATACTGTCCAACACCCGACTCCGAGCGCCGTAGCACCGCTATGTGGTACCTGGAGTTGATGGCGAATGATACCTTCATTGCGCTCCAACCACTCCAAGCTTCAAGCCAATCACGCTGACCGATCCATCCGACATCCACCCACACCTAGGTCACTCTCATGGACTGGGGCAACGCGATTGTTGAGAAGATCACCTGGAGTCTGGATGGATCCAGCTTCATTGCCATGATTGATCTCAAGCTCAACCTCGAAGGCGACTTCCGCAAGACCAAGAAGAAGCTCACTTGGCTGGCCCGTCCCCCATCAGACCCCCGCACTCCCCACGATGCTGAGACGGCGCCGATCCGCCTCACCCTGATTGAGTACACCTACTTGATCAACAAAAAGAAGCTCGAGGAAGATGATGAAGTCACCGACTGCCTGACCCCTGTCTCGATGTTCACCAAGGCCGCTTGGGGTGATGGAAACCTTCGCCATCTCAAGAAGGGTGAGGCTTTCTCATGTTGCTCTGCGCACCACTGCTGCGATGGAGACCCGGCTTTCCAAAAATAGGCCTTTCCCGCACGGATACGGACGGATACGGATACGGATACGGATATAAGGCCTCCTCCCCAGCACAGCAGATGTCGTCCAAAAGCAAGTTGGTACCACACTCAGCCGCAACCCCGTACTTATCTGCGTAATTTGTCGTTGTACAGGTGATATCATCCAGCTTGAGCGCAAGGGCTACTACATTTGCGACAAGGCGTATGACGCCGAGAAGCCGTTCTCGTCGGTAGATCTGATTCTTATTCCGGACGGCAAAGCGGCCAGCTTGAGCATCAAATCCGATGAGGCCCCTGCTTCCAAAGAGAAGGCTGCACCCAGCAAGGATGTCACACCACCCAAGGCCGCAAGCACCAAGGAGGTCGTAACCCCGAATGCAGGCGCCAAGCCAGTTGTGGCCGAGGCCCCCAAGTCCAAGCCCATGTACCATATCCCTCCGATTTACGGTACCAACGTTCAGCTGCCCGAGCCTAACTCCCTGCCCATGTACATCATCCCCAACATCTACGGACCAGGTGAGAACTGCATGATGCTAACAGCGCGATCCCCTGCGAAAGACAATTGTCCATGAAAGTGTTTGCTTGGGGTGCCGATTTGACCTACTCTGCGATGTACATATTGAGTTGCATAGATTCTATAACTCACCATGATCATACCATTGCCATCGCCACGCAGCCGAGATTGCGTCTGTCGAATCTGCTCCCGCTGCGGTTGTCGAGCCAGTGGAGGCACCAACCAAGATCAAAGCCTCCTCTAAGGAGGAGACCACCAAGGAGGTCGCCGCTGCGGCGCCTCAGGGCGAAGCCTCCCCAATCACCAAGCTCGACATCGTTGTTGGACACATTATTGATGTCAAGAAGCATCCTGACGCTGACTCCCTGTACGTTGAGCAGATCGATGTCGGTGAAGACAAACCCAGAGAGGTTGTTAGCGGCCTGGTCAAGTTCATGACTGAGGACGAAGTGCGAGTAAGTAAACTCACTCATGCAACGCAGCTGACACTGGTCTCCGGTCGAACTGTACTCTCGCATCGGTACCGCGGACAAGGACACGACCACCACCTCGCCTCCTTGATCGATAGCTGCTTATACGACCTGTTGGTCATGTTCGTAGGGCAAAACTATCCTGGTGCTCAAGAATATGAAACCCGCCAAGATGCGTGGCATCACGTCGTATGCGATGGTTCTTTGTGCCTCAAATGAGGACCACAGCAAGGTCGAGTTCCTGGTTCCTCCCGCCGGCAGCAAGCCAGGTGACAAAGTGTACTTTGAAGGATATCAAGGCGAGCCTGAAGCACAGCTCAATCCCAAAAAGAAGGTCTTTGAGACTGTTCAGCCCGACTTCACAACTCGTGACGACCTGGTCGCAACCTGGAACGGCATTCCCTTCAGGACCGCCAAGGGCGTCGTCAAAGCCAAATCCCTGAAGGCAGCCCATATCAAGTGAGCGGCATGACGGATACTCCTTGGGAACCCCGAATTCGGATGTCTGACATCAATACATATCGTGCTCACATTGTCCCGTTCAAGCGGAGCAATCAATATCTGGACTCTCCTGGCGACAAGCGGGGGAGCAGGCGACACAGGGAGAGAGAGCTGGGGAGGGGAGGGGGCGACGGGCGGATCAAACCGACATGGGGCGCTGAGCAGACAAAGAGAAACCGTTGCTTCGGACAAAAGCACGTCATAGTCGGATCATGCCGCACACTCGACTACCGACGGCCAAGTGGGTCAAGTTACCCTCGCGGGTACCCGTCCCATGGAGTCCGTCCGTCCCATGGAGCCCATCCGTATGGAGCCCATCCGTCCCATGGAGCCAGCCCATGACTCCAATATCTCATCGGCCGAGCCTGTCGCACCAGTGCGAGCGCCGATCGACGTCATTCGGCCAGATAAACGATCGAAAACACTCGCTCCACAAGCTGCTCGCGTGTTGAAGTGACCAGTTTCGATGTGAGCACGACATCGAGCAAGAACGGCGCAGAGGATAGTATGATGATGCGATTCAGGGATTAGAAAGGGCAAAAAAATGCCTTCTACCAGAATTGAACTGGTGACCTTCTGCTTACTAGAAGGACGCTCTGCCAACTGAGCCAAGAAGGCATGGATTCCGCATCGGGGAATCGAACCCCGGCCACCTCGGTGAAAGCGAGGGATCCTAGCCACTGGACCAATGCGGATCGACGTAAATTTTATCCAGTGCAAACTTGACCCCTAGAACATTCCACATCATCCGCATCCTCCCCGTCCCCTCCGACATGAGCGCTGCTGCCCTCGTAAACGGCACAACATCCCGACCTTATTGGCTGGAGATCGGATTACTGAAAGTGTCGGTGGACGAGCTCGGCAAAACTTGACATCGCCGTCCCTCCGCAAATAAGTCCTTTCGGGATAGAGAGCCGCGGCGAGGATTGTAAAATATCCTGGATCGCAAGGCCAGCACCAGTCCCACAGCCCAAAAGGGACGCTAAGGCAAAGTCTGAATAAAGACCCATCTATCGACTGCCTGGATCAATGCGGGCTTGCGGGTGGATTTCGCGGAAGCATATGCTGAATCCATTGGGACTTTATGGTGTTGGTCTTTACCCCTGGCTCCCTGGCTCACTGGCCTCCTGTCGACAATCAGCCGCCGTCCAACCCTCATGCTCCGTGAGTCATGGACATGGCCATCATATCTTGGACTCGCTTGTCATTATGTGCAAAAAATATCATCATCGAGTACTGTCACAGATCGCTCTTGTTTAATCATCGTCCGATCATCGATGTAGCCGAACCAAGTACCATTGTGTATCGCCACAGATGATTCAGAACATCAAAGTCAACCTGAACACACATTTTCATTATCTTTCCATTTTCAACCGAGAGAGCTTCCTCATTTTTCAAGCCGGGACTATTCTACTAATGGCAGGCCAAGCTTCTCAGTGCTCGTCCAGCCCCTCACCACTTTGCAGTCTCGACCATCCATAACCCAGGGACCGCTCACTAGTCTCTGAATTCAACGGACACAATCGAAAACAGTGGACCGAGGGCGTTGCTGAGCAGCTGTAGGAACTGTGGCGTTTCATGCGATCTGCTCAGAACGACTCGCCTGATCTGGCTCATGAATGGAAGCTGTGTGAGGGACCGCAGGCCCGTGGAACTCGACAAGTCAAGGGTGTGGATGCTTGGCATTGTTGCAGGGAGCCCTTCGAGTGTGTGGATCAGTGGAGGCAGGATCAGCACCTCGAGATGGTCCAGGTCCCGCAGCCCATGGAGACTCCCAAGATTGCGACAGAGGCGCAGATCCAAGAGGCGGAGGCGTGGGAATCGGGTACCGATGCCGTCAAGACTGAGGATGGTGTGCGGTAGATGGAGATTCCGCAGTCTCTCCAGGGTTGGAAGAGGTCGCAAGTCGTTCATGGCTGTGCTTGGGATGCTGGTGGTTTGCATGATCCGGAGGGTCACCACGTTCCGGAGTTCGTTGGGATGGCTCTGCAGGATGTTGGCAGCAAAGCCGCCAACCAGGGTGAGACTGATGTTGGTGAGGCGCTGCAAATAGAAGCGCTCGAACCCGAGCAGGGTGTTTCGTGGGATTCCAAAGGGCTGGTTGAGAAAGCGAACGACAAAGAGCCGATGGCTGGTCTCGCCGGATCTTGCGCGAGACTCGAAGGTGCTATCGAGAATGTTAGCCTCGTCGAGGAACCGGAATCGTTCAGCGGGCTCCAGGCGATCGAGAAAGTCAAAGTCAAGCCGAGCTGCGTTGGGTATGGATGTCCATGGATAGCTGACCAGGCTGTTGCACTGTTGAAGCAAGTGCTGGATCGACTCTCGTCGGGCCGAGTCACCACTCAGCTGCGACCACAACGGTTGCTCACGATTGTATTCGGTGATGGAGGCTGGAAGGAAAGGCGGCACTCGGCTGAGGAATTGGAGCAGGCCTTCGAGTATCTCGGGTGGAGGAGTGTCCGATCCGAAGTGTAAGCGGAAAGTGGCTTCGCTGATGCCAAGGTTCAGACAGATGTGTTGGATGAGCTCGCCTTGGCCGCTGCCTGGGTCTGGGCTTGGGTGGCCACGGCTCTGCAGCGACGATACTGGAGAGGCGTAAGGAGGCAGCTGGTCGCTGCGACTGGGTATGGGAGTCGGTGTCGAGAGACCTCTTGGGCTGGTCGTCGAGTATGAGGGCGAGGCTCTGGCTGTATCGTATCGCCTGTCGATGGCTGACCGTGGAGTGGCAAATACACGATCGGGATGGAGAGCCGACAGCGTTTGTCCGCACAGATCCGAGGGAGTTGCCCGGTGTGCCACGGACGATGCAATCGAATGTGCGGTGCTGGATTTCGATCGGGCTGATGAGACGGAAGAGGGGCTTCGATACAGTTGACTGGATGCCGAAGAGCCAAGGCGAGACAGCGAGACGGTACTTGCCCTGGAAGATGAGCGCAAGGGACTCTGCTGGACATGCAAGTGGCGACAACAGATTCTGGCATTTGTGCAGTGGGGGCAATCGACAGTGGGGCATTGGTCGCAAGGATTGAGGCACTTGGGCCTGTGGCAGTTGTTGCAGTGGTGATCGCACCTGGTGCGGTTGTTGGGGCTCTGACGACGAGGGCTGAACTCACCATCGCCGATATCGCCATCGTCGCCTCGCTTTCGCTTGGCCAGACCCTCAGCCACCGTCTCCGAGGCGGCGCTGACAAGGCCAATAATTCCCCTTGCAAGAGTTTTGGCAATGTTATCAACGAGCGACATTGCGGCCACCAAGCGTGATGCTGTGGGAAAGTGCGAGTGAGACTGAGGCGGGCGGAGGTTGCGGATGCAGGCCGGAACAGCAACGAAACGAACACAGCTCAATCGGACAGCGAGCAATTGCGGGAGGAGATGGGGGAGGAAAGTATCTTATAGCAGCAGTATGGCATCGGGCGAGTAGCTCTGTTGTCAATCAGGGGTAGTGCCAAAGGCGACTGCCATTGTCGAGGCGGTGGAGTGATTGCGTCGATCACAATCAAAGGCGACCACGATCCCAATCAAAGTGCTGCACTCGACCAAAAGTCAACGACAGCACCTCATCCAATCCACTTGAACAGCTGCGTCTGCTGCTTGATTGTTCTTCTCGAAGAGAAATCTTGCTCGCCGAGCCCTTGTTGCCACTGCAAAGTTGTTGTCAATTATGGCGACACATTCAGATGGAGGAGACAGCATGCAGCGAATGCTGTTGACTGCCTGCAGCGCATAGCCCCGCGCGAGCATCAAGCTGACGGGTGGCATAGGACTCTAGCAGATTCTGCCACAGTCTGACCTTCATCCTTGCCCCGAGCATTTGCAGGGCGTGGTCCTGAGTGTAAGCGAAGTGATATTCGACATCAAATACCATCCTATCCTATCGAATCAAATGTCAGCCTTTGTGCATGTCTTGCCTGATGTGGCTCCAGAGCAAATACATCAAAACAGCCTGTGAGTAGCATTTACCCACCTCGACCCAGGGATATATTAATTCGATGCAATGTTGGTAGCCCACAGCGGGTGGTCGTAGCAGTCGAGCGTCAGAAACAACAGGCAGTGAGACAGTTGCTGCGAGCATCCCATCGTCCGAGGTATGGGACAGCCAGCAGATGCAATGGCTGGGTTATTGTGATAGCGGGCTATTGTGATAGCGGGTTATTGTGATGGCTGGGCACTCTCAACCTTCCTCGCCGCATCAATGGACTCATTGCGCTGAATCCGTTCATTGATCGGGTTGTTTCGAGGACGCTTCTCGGGCCAATCTCGCCGGGCTCGAATCAGAGCATTGTGCCAATCAGCATTTCCAGACGTGGGCATGATTGGATTGAGACAGACACCTGTCTCATCCCCACCACCATCACATCCTTATATTCAACAGCTCTTGCCCCTGCAGCTCAGAGTCTCGACCTTGTACCCTCATCCTTCGCACTTTGCTCCTTGTCAGCCGGGAGATACGCTCCAGGATGTTGCGCTCTATGCTATCGAATGTGTTCATATACTTTGCGTTCACTCAAGCGACATCGGAGCTGCTGAGGCTATCAATTGGGTCTTGCAGCAACCCAGCACGCTCTGGCCAATGCACGCCACTCGGCGCTTGGCTCGCTGGGATGCTCTGGTCCGCGGCTCTTGTTGCTGTCAATGTCCTGGTCATCCGCATAGTGGTCTCCACGGCTGATGAAAGTATGTCGGTGTGCTTTTGCGCTGCCGATGGGTTGCAGAACGCACCAACTCTGCACCGATCCAATCTCACCATTCGCTTCCGTATTCTGGACTTGCCCAGTTCTCTTCAAAACCACAGGGCATCGATTTGTTATGGTCTATCGCCAACTGTGTAGGCGGTTGAGTTTTGTCGTGAGTCCCAACGAGCTCTATGAGATGGGTCGGGAGTGCGAGCAGCCATCCGAACGAAGCCATGTGTCTGCCTTCCATCTGTACCTCAAAGCTGCTCGACGAGGCCACCGCGAGGCGCAATTCCAGGTCGGACTGTGCTATTACTTTGGGCTCGGCATCGATCGAAGCGTCTCCAGGGCTGTCCGCTGGTTCTCCGAGGCCGACAGGGGCAACCACGCCTACGCAAAGTACTATCTCGGCCACATCTTCATGATCGGGGATGGCGTCAGCATCAACTACCTCACCGCGCAGAGATATCTGGCCGAGGCCAAGAGACAAGGCGTTGTCGAGGCTTGCTATGACCATGCCGAATGCTGCCGGCTCGGCCGGGGCCGCAGTGTCAGCAAGATCGAGGCCCTAGATGGATACCGCAGGGCAGCCGCACAGGGCCATGTGGCAGCCCAGTTCCGTCTCGGCGAGCACTATATCAACGACAGCAGTTCCGAGAACCGCAGCCGCGCCGTATCCTGGCTCGAGCAGGCCGCCGGCAACCAGCATCCAGAAGCCCAATACGCCCTTGCCCTGGCCTGCCTCAAAGGAAGCGCTGTCGAGCAAGATGACGAGCGAGCCTTTCGATTGCTTGAGGAGTGCGTCGAGCACTGGCCCGCTCCAGAGGTCCACTTCCAACTGGCCGAATGCCACCTCAACGGCCGTGGTACCAGCATCGACCACGCAGCGGCCATCGACCACTACAGGCTTGCCGTCGAGGAGGGCCACATCACGGCTCATCTCAGACTCGGCGAGCTTTATCATGACGGGGTCGGAATGCACTGCGATCACCACTGTGCTTTTGAACTCTTCCAGGTGCCTGCAAACCACGGTATCGCCGATGCACAATTCCGTGTGGGCGAATGCTACCGCCTTGGACTCGGGGTGGATCAGAGCGACAGTGATGCTTTTCAATGGTATCGACTGGCAGCCGACCAGAGACACCGCGAAGCCAAGTTTCAGTGCGCCGAGTGTCTCTACCACGGCCGCGGCACCACCCGCAACCTCGGCCGGGCCTGTGGCATCTACAAAGATCTGGCCGACACAGAGCCCTTTCATGCCGGCGCGGCGTTCATGGCTGGTCAATGTCTGATGACCGGCCGTGGAGTGCTCCGCAACGAGGAGGAGGGATTCAGGTACATCGAGGCAGCAGCCGAGCACGGAGATGACACTGCTCAATTCCAAATGGGCAGCTACAGGTCTACAGGGGTGTTTGTTGGACGGGACACACACGAGGCCCTTCGCTGGTTCACACAGGCAGCAAGCCAAGGCCACCTCGAAGCGCAGTTCAGGCTTGGAGAGATGTACTCGAATGGCATTGGCACCACGGCCGACCGGGTGATTGCGGCCCAGTGGATCCTTCAATCGGCCAGAGGAGGATATGAGCCAGCCATGGTTGCGTACGCTCGGCTTCTCATCAACGCTCACGACGCTACCGAAGCCGATATCGAGGAGGCAACGGCCTGGCTGGAGAAGGCGGCAAATGACCATGGCTCGTCAGAGGCCCGAAGCGAACTACAGGGTCTCTTGGGCCGTCGTAATTCAGCATAGGGCGGGCCGTGGGTATGAGGCGCATGCACCGATGTCGCTGTTGTTCAGAGCATACTCGATCTTTGCCACAGCACACTGACTATTGTCCAGAGCGACATTGTTGTCTGGATCACTGTCACCGCCCCGAATGCCAACAATACGATAAACAGCCCTGAAATACTGCTTGAATATTCTGGTGTGCAGGCAGTCCTACTCCATGAAAGTGCAACGGCATGATAAAGGAATTCGCATGAAACGCCACAGTTCCTACAGCTGCTCAGCAACGCCCTCGGTCCACTGTTTTCGATTGTGTCCGTTGAATTCAGAGACTAGTGAGCGGTCCCTGGGTTATGGATGGTCGAGACTGCAAAGTGGTGAGGGGCTGGACGAGCACTGAGAAGCTTGGCCTGCCATTAGTAGAATAGTCCCGGCTTGAAAAATGAGGAAGCTCTCTCGGTTGAAAATGGAAAGATAATGAAAATGTGTGTTCAGGTTGACTTTGATGTTCTGAATCATCTGTGGCGATACACAATGGTACTTGGTTCGGCTACATCGATGATCGGACGATGATTAAACAAGAGCGATCTGTGACAGTACTCGATGATGATATTTTTTGCACATAATGACAAGCGAGTCCAAGATATGATGGCCATGTCCATGACTCACGGAGCATGAGGGTTGGACGGCGGCTGATTGTCGACAGGAGGCCAGTGAGCCAGGGAGCCAGGGGTAAAGACCAACACCATAAAGTCCCAATGGATTCAGCATATGCTTCCGCGAAATCCACCCGCAAGCCCGCATTGATCCAGGCAGTCGATAGATGGGTCTTTATTCAGACTTTGCCTTAGCGTCCCTTTTGGGCTGTGGGACTGGTGCTGGCCTTGCGATCCAGGATATTTTACAATCCTCGCCGCGGCTCTCTATCCCGAAAGGACTTATTTGCGGAGGGACGGCGATGTCAAGTTTTGCCGAGCTCGTCCACCGACACTTTCAGTAATCCGATCTCCAGCCAATAAGGTCGGGATGTTGTGCCGTTTACGAGGGCAGCAGCGCTCATGTCGGAGGGGACGGGGAGGATGCGGATGATGTGGAATGTTCTAGGGGTCAAGTTTGCACTGGATAAAATTTACGTCGATCCGCATTGGTCCAGTGGCTAGGATCCCTCGCTTTCACCGAGGTGGCCGGGGTTCGATTCCCCGATGCGGAATCCATGCCTTCTTGGCTCAGTTGGCAGAGCGTCCTTCTAGTAAGCAGAAGGTCACCAGTTCAATTCTGGTAGAAGGCATTTTTTTGCCCTTTCTAATCCCTGAATCGCATCATCATACTATCCTCTGCGCCGTTCTTGCTCGATGTCGTGCTCACATCGAAACTGGTCACTTCAACACGCGAGCAGCTTGTGGAGCGAGTGTTTTCGATCGTTTATCTGGCCGAATGACGTCGATCGGCGCTCGCACTGGTGCGACAGGCTCGGCCGATGAGATATTGGAGTCATGGGCTGGCTCCATGGGACGGATGGGCTCCATACGGATGGGCTCCATGGGACGGACGGACTCCATGGGACGGGTACCCGCGAGGGTAACTTGACCCACTTGGCCGTCGGTAGTCGAGTGTGCGGCATGATCCGACTATGACGTGCTTTTGTCCGAAGCAACGGTTTCTCTTTGTCTGCTCAGCGCCCCATGTCGGTTTGATCCGCCCGTCGCCCCCTCCCCTCCCCAGCTCTCTCTCCCTGTGTCGCCTGCTCCCCCGCTTGTCGCCAGGAGAGGCCAGTTCCTCCAAAACACTCGACTGCGAAACTGTGTTTCTCTCACTCCGTTGCAATTGCTTTGAGTCTTACTAATTCCATTCTTATCAGCCCATCTGGTCATGAGCTCACGACCCCACGATACCACGATTTTGCTGTTCGTACAGATATTAATACCATCTGCTTCTCCATCCACTCACGCTTCTCCGATTGTATTTTCTCATCAAAATGGCCCAAACTTGGCGCGATACGATGAGCGAGTGAATGAGCTCGATGCCAGCAATTTGACTCCTGCCTTGGAGTTTATTGTTATACAGCCAGATATACCCAGATTCGACAGACTGCATGTGCTGCTTCTCCAGAACAATGTCATCGAGGCCCTTCCAGATGAATTGTTTTCGTGCCTGCCAAATCTCATCGAGCTCAATGTTTCCAACAATCGGCTGCAATCCCTCTCCCCAAGGATCGGCGCACTGACTTTCCTACGCGAGCTTCGGATAGCCAACAACACGCTTCGTCAAGTGCCCCCATCGATCGCCCTTCTTGATCGATTGCACACCTTGGATCTGTCGAAAAATCAGCTCGAGTTTGTTCCATATGAAATGACACGCCTTCCCAGACTCTCCAAATTCTGGGTGCAGGGCAATCGCTTCAACGTGTTCAGCTTCGGTCAGCTCATTCTCAACGAACGAGAGCGCGGACTACCTGTGCTTTCGCTGACAGAAATTGCGCTTCAAAGGATGGGATCGTGTTTCTTCCTGAGTCCGCATTGCTATTGTCACCAGAGTCTTTCAGGACCAATGGAACCACCTAGACAACCTTGCACTCCGATTCTGTCTCCATCACAAACTGTATCCAACTCGGAGACGGTCTCAGTCGGATCTATCAAGTCAACTTTGGCCGTCAAGGCATGTGGATCGAATTGTACCGCCGAACGGGTGGCCGATTTCACGTTTGGTCGTCACTCAACATGGGCACGAAGTTGTGAAGCATGCGATATCGACTTTCCCGGACGGTGCACTCAATGCGGTATCATACTCCTTCAATACCGTATCACTCGCTCCTCGATTTCCATGATAGCTCATAAACCCACACCAACGATCTCTCGGTTTTGCAGCTATTCCTGCTTCAAAATCTCAAATACTCAGCATCCACCATCGATGAGAATCGAAACGCGTCCCAGTTATGATGGACAGTCCTAGTTTGTGGGGGTCTGCTTCCATAGCTTTCAAATGAAACAAACAAGATGTAGCTGGGGACAGTAACCACTCCGTTATGGACATCAATACACGCACTTATCGCCAATGGTTCAATTCACCACCTTCAGTTTCTATGCTGCAGCGCTACTACGCTTTGATCCACAGCCCGAACAGGGCTGCTCCGATTGTCGACAGCCCATGGGACTCTTCATCGCCCATATTGTTCACTCCATCAAGTAGTACATCACAGTCCGGAACAAGGATATCAACTCGGCCGGGAACATGACTGCAGTGTAGAGGTCGATCATCGGTTATGGAAATCAGCTGCCTATACCCAATATCATGCTTCCCAAGGCGAGCTGAATGTCGATGATTCGATGCAGTAACTTCGTAGCAACTCGATTGGCTCGTACTGATGAGCTGCTCAGCCACTCGGAATGTGTGCTGGAACAAGCGGGTCGCTTCGTTCCTTCAGTAGAGTGTTTACTATGCGCCTCGACTCGAGGTCAATTCGCGTGGCTCGCAAGCTAAAGAAGCATCGTATGCGTCGTCATCGCTCATCCCGATGAAAGCTTTGATGTACTCCTGAATCTCTGGAATTGGAGTGAGTGCATAGCTTGTTTGCTGATATATCTGAAAGGATAGAGCTGAGTTCGTTGAATGGCCTCTCTATGATGGTCGCCTCATGCAGTCGCCTTCAGGTTGATTCTCAAGGGAGTGACTTCCGCCACTCGCCTCATGTGTGCTGAGTACCTGAATCTCGCGTACATATTGAAACACCTTAAGATGCTTCACAAAGTTGATGTTTCCGTCGCTTGGTGCCGATTTATTCGTGGTATCTAGAAACACCTATGATGGTTGCCCAAGACACAGTGAGCCTCGAAACGCCGGGCCGATTTCATTGGCGGGGTTTTCTGTGCTTGCCACACCCACTCTGTACGCTCCGTTTCCTTCGAGCAGAGGCAAATCGGCTGTTTCTCTGAGTCTCGTGGTCGGTGAGCCACAAGCTTACTCAGGCGAGCCCCGTGCTTCTGCAACTTACCAGATCGCCTTGGTATATACCTGGAAATGGAATCACCGGCGGCTCTGCAGCGTGAATTCTTGATCTCAAGCTTTTGTAATTCAGCTCACTGGATATCATCCGCTGAAGCTCCTCAACGACCTTGATGTACTTTCCAGCCACACTCTAAGTCGAAGGAGCCATTTGCGATGAATTCGCTTCATATTCACACAGTCGACGCCGCTTTGCTGTCCAAATAGCCACAACAACATCCTCGACAAAGATGCTGGACTTGAAGATCAAGCAATGGATCGTATCGTTCCAAGGTTGGGTTTGTACACATACCGCCTTTGTTTTGCGAAGCCGGTAAACCGAAGATGATTGCAGTGCCGCCACGCATTCTTTGACGCCGTTGAAGTTGTTTAGCACGGCCAAATGCTGATATAGTGCGGTCATATCGTTCATGCACTTGTAAGTATTAAGCTAGTATCTCAATTATTCTGTCTATTGTGAATCTCAGCAACAGTGACGCCGCCAAACACCAGTGTTCAGCATTCCATTCAGCAGCATTCGCCACCTTTGCTACCCGGGCTACCCTTTCATAGGCGGCCGCACGGATTTTGGGTTGATCTTTGATCGTTACAATTTCGGTAATCAGCCAGCGAACCACATGGTTTGACCAGCGTGCCATTTTCATGATGTTTGGTGCCAGCTTCTCCTTGTCATCCTTCATCCATGCCAAATCCAGAAACTCTCGTGGCTGTACGGTTATGGTCGATAAACTTATGATATCAGCGACGCATCGATCATGCAGGGAGAGATATGTGCGGCAGCACTGGGATTTTTCTGAACCTAAATCAAGTGGTTCGCCAAAGTATAGACAGACTCATCCGCGGTGGCGTCTGGCGAGGTGCTTCATGCTCGCGACGGACAATGTGTCGATGAAAACGTGCCGCTCTCAGACACGCCGGAATAGTGCACAATCAAAACTCAAACGACTTTACCTTTATCGCGGAAAACAATTCGAATTCAATCAATGTGATTTGGCGTGCTACCTCAAGTGGGTCAAAATCTGCAAACAGCCACCTTGGCTTGGGTTCCCTGCTTAGAGAGGTTATATCGGACAGACTACCACCAAGCTCTTGGCTCAGACGTGGTGGAGTCTGGGCCATTTGGAGGCTCCTGTCTCTGATGTCGATGCGCTCTGGGATGATGATCGTAGCGAGTCCCGCATTGACTTTGTAGACGGTTCCTTCAGGCTCGTATCGTTTCTGAAGACCTTTTGGCAGAATTGGCTTGGGACACGGTCGATCGGTGCTCTTGCGAATATGGCTTGTTGTTGCTTGCAGCTTGGGAGTCAGCAGACATGTGATCCAACTCAGTCGCTGTATGTCGCCATGAAATTTCGTCCAACTCTTCCAATAGTGTGATCAAATACAGCACGGCCACAAGCAGACTTCCCAGCACGGAAGAACTCGGCTCACCTTCCGCGATGTGATGTTTCGCACCATATTGACAAGATCAGGGTCGGTTTTGCTCAATATATCCATCGTCTCGGTCAGATCAGCTAGGAGCTGGCCATCTTCCTGAAAGTCGCTCCAGTAGTTCTCAATCCAGTACTTGAGCGTGTTGATGGTTCTGGATGGAGTTGCTATGCTTCAGTCGATTGATACATACTTGTCATCCGAAACTTGGTAACGTACCTGAGAAGCCGTGGACTGGATGTCGATGCTGTTGATGCATTTCCCAGGGCGGCTTTCGAAAGCTCGCGCATCAGCTCTTGGCTTCTCATGAACGACTTGTGCGTGAGAATGAAGGCATGCACAAACTCGGCATCTATCAGGCCCCAGTTAGATCATTGATTTTGTGCCCGCGACGCAGGAAGGAATCTATCCCATCCCAATTTACTACATTCAATTTCAACCAAACGCACCATGAGTTTGTGGATCCGTAAGCCGATCTATCAGCACTTGGACTGGCACAGCCTTGAGTTGCATCGAGTTTCGGGGGACAGCCTCCAGAGCTACGGCACCGGAGCGTGCATCGAAATTGAGCCTCTCCTGGCGATCTGGTTTCTCAGAAGCCTGGCGGATCACTGAATCTCATTAGTTCGGGCATACAAGTTCGGGCATGCCTCGACGAACGACGGAGGCAGAAGGCTTGTCAAGGTCATCTCACAGACCTTTTGTGTCAGGGATTCTCGCAGCTGCTTCAAGTCCTCGCGAAGTACCGCGTTTTCTTTCTCCTTCAAATCCAATAGTTTCTCGGAAAGCTGGCGGTGGCACGCTGTAAGTAGGCGAAGGATTATGCTCGTTTGAATTGTGAATTCACGATGTAGGCGCTCTGCTCACCTTCAAGCGCTCTTCAAGTGCCGAGTTTTGGCTGGTACAAGACAGTAGCTCTTCTTGCAGCACCACGACTTCCGAGTTCAGACTCTCGACTGTCTGAATGAATCAAATGGCTGTTACTGTGGGAATTTTCTCGAGCAACTTATCGTAGAAGCTAGCTTTGCCATTCTCCCACCTTCTGAGCTTGCCTCTGTGAAATGGATTTGCGCATGTCTACGAGTTTCGAGGTTTGAGTTTCAGTGTAGATTTTTTGAAGATCCTGGACCGGTTTGGATGCAGAGCGGCGGTCCAGCAAAGCTGATATGAGTGTTGTGCTGATGTCGCTTCACCGCTATGCCATCCAAGGGTGGTCTCTACGAACCTGGAGTGCCCTCTGTGTTTCTTCGTGCTTTTCCAGGACGCTCGAGAGCTGAAGCGCGTGCTCTTTGGACATCTGGCCAAGCTGCAGTCTACTCTGCTCGATTTGCTCATGAATATTCGTCTCTTTCTCCTGAAGCCGCAGCTAAAGGTCGTTTTCAGGTATATTTTTCAATCCTGAGGGCATCGATGGCTCCGCATCAAGTGCTCTTCCAGAGCCGACATCTAGTGCAACGGACAGCAAGCTTTGATCGCCAAGCGGGTCTCTGAACTCATTGGTCTGAAACAAGCAGATAAATTGGCAGGCCGCTACCTTGAGATACGTAATTGTGGCTTGATTCCGCTCATTTTCGTCCTGCCAGTACTGGAGCTGCTCGATGTAACGAGTGCTTGTATCTTTGTCCTTGATCCCGATTGCTTCCTGTGAAATAATGCGAGGTGTCGTTCCAGCTTCCACAGCTACGACAGAGCGATGGTGCTATTCTCTCGGGGCAGTTTGATCTCTTTGTTTACCTCCATCAACCTGTTTTTGTGGGCCAAAATGTGCTTCTCCTCAACAAGCTGGTATATGATTTCCTGTATGTCAACGGAACTTGGCCAAGTCAATTTGCTTATTGCATGTTCCACGAGAACTCTCCAAGTGCAGCTCATCAACGCACCCGGCAGCGATTCTCAAATTTGGCCTGCTTTTGAACCAGATCCAAGGCAAAGATCTTGAGAATGTTGACATCACTCGGCAGGGCATGCTGGAGCTGAGCGAGCTCTGGTCCGATTGCCGAATAGTACTCTGCGGAATATTTCTTTTGAACAGCAAGAGTTTGAGCTGGTGCTGACTATGCAAAGCAATTCATTCTTGCCATGGAGCCACCTTGTTGAGGCAGCATGGCTCACCTGCGATGGATCTGAGTCGTCGCACGGCGTTGCTGCTCGCTTGTTAGTGATGCTCTGACAGAAACTCGGGTGTTTGAGCCCTCTTGGGCGGTCGCTTGGATCGACTCACCATTGAGTGTGTCGTTCATTTCCTTGCTCTTCACGATATCTCTGGGTCTGAAGTCGGCCCACAGAGTTAGACAACGCGACACGGTGGTTCTGGAACTTTTCTCCAGAACGATCCTCCCAACTGGCAAAGTCTCCAGCCTTGCGCCTCCGGCTTACTTTTCGCCACGTATATTTTTGACAGTCTTGTCTGAGCCGGCGTCGATGAGGAGTTTTGCCATTTCTATATCGTTGTTTTCGACGGCAAAATGCAGTGCGGTGTTTCCGTTTTGATCCTGCGCATTGAGGTCCACGCCACTCTGCCATTGGACAGTGGTGGGGAGTCAGGCAAACTCGCCAACTTGAATCTATCCAGATCTTCCAACAGTATATGCAATTTAGCAATCCCGGCGACCTTCTGGACCTGCCTGCTGTGTGAGAAAGTGCACGAGTATATGCTTCCCGGCAATTGTGCCCATATGAAGCGGCGTCCGACCAAGGTTGACGTTTGAGGTTTGGTTGATGCTGCCTGGGGACCGCCGGAGTATGGCCTGGACATCGGCGATCGACCCATTCATGATAGCGTAGAAGATGTTGTCCATGGTGGTCTATCGGTAGCGCTCCTGCGGGTCAGTGGCTCATTGCCCCGAAAGAAGGATCCCAAGTTTGTTCCAAGCAAAGCTTGGGTGCTCAGGAGCGGCAGTCTTTGGGCAGATGATTGGCCATTTCCCGGCCATTGTGTTGATGACGACGATAGATGCTGTCGTCCATTGTTCATATCTGTCTCGGCTCGACGTTCCAACGGCTTGCCTCTTTCCAGGCCGTGCATCCATCGTCCATGAGGTCTGGTTGGCTTTGGCGCGACGATCATTCTCACGTCCTTGAGTCGGCCCGTTATCGAGCACACCGGTTATTGCATCAGCATCAGCATCAGCATCAGCATCAGCATCAGCATCAGCATCAGCATCAGCATCAGCATCAGCATCAGCATCAGCATCAGCATCAGCATCAGCATCAGCATCAGCATCAGCATCAGCATCAGCATCAGCGCCGACAATTCAATCACTTGACCCAGAGCCGACCGAAGCGACATGAGCATCATTCAAGACAGCGAATTCCCACGAATGTCTCTCGGGTCCGCATCTAGCGATGGATTGCCTCGGACTCTCGCTCGGTCGCGTCCGGGCTCTCGACCATTTTCAAGTTCCTCGCACCTGTACGTTCGCCAAGCCCAGGCTCAAAGTCCTCGCGACAAATATCCAATTAGGGAGCAGCTGCCGCCTGTTCGCACGGCAGGAAAGCCCTTGGTGCCAACATGCTCCTCTTCCGTGTTTCTCCAAATCTCCCGCACATGGGACAAGGTGTGCAGCGCGATCGTAATCCAGGGACGCAACAGCATTCTGCCCAGCGACCCGTCTTCCCAAGAGACGGCTTCGAGGACGGCTCAGTGGCTAATGCGCCAAAATACCATTTCCAGGGCAACCGCCATGTGCGAGAAAAGATCCTCTGCGATTTTGTTGCCAACAATCGACACAAAACCGGCCCGCAACTCGAGCGAGAGTTTGGCAACGGCGCGAGTCTCTTTCTCAACCGTGTGACGTCTTGGCTAAGGCTTACGTGAGTTAATATGGACGACTGATCCGGCGGTACCCATGCACGCAGAACGCATTATTATTCACACGGGGCTTCGATCAGGTACTTGCTCGGATACAACTTGGCCCTTCAGCTGCAGGCAGTGTCGATATTTGTATCCGCATCGAGTGGCCATCGGTTTCTCTCCGAGTTTCTTGAAGTCGGTGGCGTGATGACCGTCCTCGAAATCATTGGTCTTCCCCAGATTAAAGAGGTCAGCGTCGCATTGGCCTATATTGGGCGCATGGACATTCGATATTGATGTGTTGGATGGTCGAATAATGCTGCGTTTCTTTACAGGCCGAGAAGGCAGAGGGTCTACGCCTTCTGCTTCACATTGCATCCGCCGGACGCAAGTACAAAGAGTTTATCTGCGAAAGCTACGGTGCGTGCTGACTCGCAGATATCCTACGACCGAAATCGGCCTCAATGATGCACACTCATCAGTGACTAAAACGAGCAGCGCTGTTCATTTCGCCCTGACAGGTGTCCGATCAGTGACCGATTGCCTGGCTCGTTCAAAATCAGAGGTCACCCAGGACTATGCCCGGAACTTGCTCTACCAACTTGGCTTGGTAGGACTGCTGCGTCACGACAGCGTTATGCCGGGTTTCCGTTTCTACCCATGGTGATGGATAGTGTTCGCACAGCCAGGAGGGAGGATCAAAGTGCAACGAATGCCATGCATCGACCAAGTGAAACCTATTGGATAGGAGAGAAAGTTACTTGAGCGTTTAAGCTTGCTGGAACATCATATTGAGATACTCAAGGGGCTGTCTTCTGCAGGGCAATCCGCGATTTCTCGTTCAAGTATACAAATCGCTTCTCGGGCTGCTCACATCGGGGACCCCAACCCCAACCGCCCAGCAGATGGCCGGACAAGCTGTCCGCATGCTTCTGGTACGTTCATGATACACCCTTTTGTTGTCATATATTTGCCAGCGTGTGCACGACTGATATGATTCTACAGAGCTTGATGTTGAAGCGTCGTGGCTTTGATGCTCCCGTAGCCACATATCCAAACTGTTCATCCGTCGGTCGTCGAGATCACAATTGGATTGCTCAAAAGCATCAACATCCAAGTTCAATACGAAGGTAGAGTGTGGATCTAGTCCACTATGAAGTCGCGGTGTCTATTTTCCCAAGCCTATGTTTATGAACAATGGTTATCTGCCTGCAGGATATGAGATTTTGCGATCGCTCAGCGAGCGATCAGCGCTACAGGATGTTGTGATTCAGCAGCTGATAGCTATCTTGAAGATTTCTGTCGATGACTACATAGAAGACATGAATGAGGGTATGTCTGGCAAAACAGCGGCGCAGAGCGAGGAGTCGTGCTGCATGATATCTTGTGGACTCATTCACGGCCGCCGATAACCGGACAGCTCGTGGGCGCCGTCAGAAGGGGCAGCAAGAAGGGGCAGGTGGAGGTGCAAGCTGGCAAGGGATGCTCACAAAGTCCGAGGAAACGGCCAAGAAGCAGAACGATGCCTTGATGTCGACCTATGTGCAGCAAGCTTATGCAGCAAAGCTCCTCGGGTAACCTGCTTCGTGTTCGGTCGTTGCTCTGCCAATGCCGGTAGTAGTGTTCCATTTGCACTGACATGCCTACTTGGCTTCTAGAATCATGGCTGCGGGATCGAAAGAAATTGCAGAGCGCCAGATTCAGCTTCAAATCATCAGCGGACTCTTGAACGTGATTGCCAATCTAGGGCACCCCGAGAGTCAAAAGTATGCCGCCAGTGCCTTGATTGTAAGTGTACTATCACCGAGCCAGGCCTCCCTTCGTCGGCGGGCCATTTGCGATCGGATTCATACTGAACTCATTCGTGTTGTCCGCAGTATCTTGTGGAAACCTTCGACTATGTTGGTTTCGCGCTGCAAGAAACCATGGGACAAAACTTTTTCGAGTTGTTGGAGGTAATTGCACGTGGGATCCACCGATCTGGAGACTCACGGTTCAATTCTGAATTGGGCCAGCTTCCGAGTTGCTTGCGTTCATATCGACACTGAGAGCTAGAGCAATTAAACCTGTGCCTCCTCCCACGACGTCCTAGTTCAAACCCGATACGTTCTTCAAAGAGCTCACGCGCGAGCAAGTTCGCTATCTCCGCCGCAACAACGTCAAGATCGTGAGTGCCGAGAGCACTAGCTCGCTTATCGAGGATGATTCGAGCTCTGTGAGCTCAGGAGAGGCAGAGGAGAGGTAAGCCGTCAGCCCCGACCAGGAAACCCATCATCGCCAACCATATGGTCTCTGCCACTTGCTTCCGAAAGCTGAATATGCCACGGGTCTGCGTGCCTCTTCTCCTCCAGCTCACGTCCGACAACTCGATCTGCAAGATCGGCTGAAAGAAAGCCGAAATCTTCAGGAATGGAGTTCCCATCGTCTCGGTAAGTTATACAGACAAAACCACGGGCATCGGGGGACACATTCGATTTGAAACTAACGCGGTCACTTCTTCCACGAAACAGCGAGGGAGACATGTAAGCTGACTTCACGATGGCCGGCGCATGAATGGCATTGCACCCCGCTATCATTAATCGTCCTTTTCTTATCGATACTCCGAATCAGGGTCTTTGGAGAGAAGAAGGGCGAGGGCGAAAAGTCCCGCGATATCGAGCCGGTCCAGCAAAAGACACAAGACGAGGTTCTCTCGGCATACGAAAAGTTGGCGGATGTAAGATTGAGCTGCTCCCGACGAAATCCTGCCGGCTTCGGCGGTAGACCAGTCGACTGACTGATCGGCATTCGATGCCCAACAGCAACAAAACCAGGCTGCGCCAAATGTTCAGGAGATGTATCTTCCTTACAACCTGGGTCCCGCAACCGCCACGTTCTCCGTAAGTCTGGCTTCGCTCGCTTGCACGGGTGTATCATGCCAGATCCAGTCCGGAGGATTGTGTCGTATCGATAAGACAGGCCTAATATGTCTGTGGAAATGCCCTACTTCGCTCATCAAGAGCAACAAGTTCGAACCCGTCTCAAAAAAGAGCGCTGACGACAGCTTCGAGCTCGAAATGCATATGTTCCGGTAAGTTGTTGCTATGATATTGCGGTGAATGCATTGCTGCAGGAGCAGATTGGGACTGCTTGCCTGACACCCCTTGATCGTATTCGCAGGGCCAGAAATGCTGAAAAATCGATACAGACCAAGAAACGCGAATTCGATGTCCTGGAAAAGGACCCGGAGATGATGGAGAAGCTGAACAGCCTGCGGGGCAGTCCGGACCTCTTCAAGAAGAACATCCCGCTCAAAGTAGATGACCAGGATGTGACGGCCACACGCATCGTACCAGAGAACGCCTCTGGCAGCGAGCAAGCCCCTCGTTAAAGTCCCGGCTCGTTCCGGGCCAGAGCCGTTTGTGTTCCGGATCCAGAATACACCCCCGTCATGCCCACGCGGTGTGTCCAAGTACACTCGAGGCCGAGAGACTCGTTCGATCCGACTCTTGGCGTCGAGAAGCCATCCTTCGTTCGGAGATGCCCAAACAGCCGAGTTCATGCACCACGCTCGCACATGGCGACACGGCCCCAGCCACGCCCTGTTCCCAGCGCAGCCCGTCACGTCAGGGTCACATGCGCAGCCCACGTGGTCGGTGGATCAGGCGCGCCGCCGGCCTTCCTGGACATCCTCCCAATCCTCGCCGTCGCTCTCCCAATCGCACCGCTCCCGCCTCTCCTCTGCTGTGTCCTCGACTGCCGCTGCTCATGGCGTTTGGTCGCATCCTTGGACGCCGGACATCGTCCATTGACGAGGGTCCGCTGAATTCGCCTGGCCGGAATCAGCTGGGCATGTTTTCGTTCCTATCATCCTCGCCATCTCGAACAACCCCAACCCAGTTGGAGCGGTACGGCTGTGTTTTGCATCTCCTCTCCGCCTTGTTGCCCTGGTCCTTCTTTGCTGCTGGTGTTGATGCGGGTGCTGGTGGTTGGTACTGCCACCGGTGCTGTCTGTCGGCGTTGGCGCCGGTGCTCTCTTCTACGGTCCCTTGGGGGTATCCAGGGCAGCCCGTCGGCCGCACCCGTACATGATAATCCTGGCGTCGCTATGACGCCATGACGCTATGCTGCTATCTCTCTGATTCGACTCAACCTAATCCTCGATTTCGCAGCATCATCGACGAGGAAGCGAAGATGGGGGACCGTGCATTCATGCGCATTCTTGTCTGCCAAGACACGGGCGACAAGCCCAAGATGCCGCTCTATGACTCCATCCACGAAGGCCAGGCGAGTCCGATATCTCGAGAGTCTCGGGAGTTTGGCATGGCCTCGCACCAAACACATCGAGGCTCCAGCCAACCAGCGGCCTCGCGCTCGGGTTTCGGAACCAGCTGGACCGATTCGGCGAGCCATGCCCAGCATGGCCGCCTGTCTCAAGTGCCGTTGCTACAGGAAATGGACTCGACTCGCTCTTACGCCAGTGGGCAGTCAAATCGCACGATTCGCCGCAGGGTACTCCCGACGCTCCGTTCTTAACCTGTTCTGTGGCTGCACTGCGACTGTGGTGTGTTACAATCGGTTATCCGCAGCTGCCTGATGTGTCTTCACTTTGCATGCTGCATCCGCTTGATGACCAGGTCTCTGCGAACAATACCGACCTTCTCGGCGAAATGATGTTTGGATCGTCGTCCGCAATCGCCGCCAAGTCTGTTGTCACCAAGACGCACCATCTCACCACGCCCCAGCCCCAAATCATGCTGACGAAGTTGTTTTCACTTGCTGCCGACGCCGACGACGATGACGACGATGTGGATTATCCTCATGCGCACCGGCCGCGGTCGTCCAGCTCATCCTCGGTCTTCTCTGAAAACAGCGAATCGACCAACTCTATTGGCGATCTGCGGCCGCCTAACTCGGCGTATGGCTCATACTCTCGCAGCTACACGCCCTCGAGCTCATATCAGCACCGACACTGGCTTGCGTCCTCGGACTTTTCCCCGATGGGATCGCCGTCGCAATCCTCCTCCCCACTTCTCCCGGACAGCTACGGATATCGCCGGAAAAAGGCCCAGCGCTTCAGCCTCAACCAAAACAGCTCGTATGCAGACGAGCATCTCCTGGGCCGCTCGTCTAGTGGACTGAAGGTATGCCAATATCCAAGATAGCGCAACGGCGGGCTGGCATCGAGCACTTTTACGCACTGTCGCTCAGTGGTTTGCAGAGCCGATGCCAATCGATGACGACGACTAAGTGCCTTTCTCTCTCCAGCGCCGACCTCGCAAGCGCCATTCATATGCACTCGGTGTCATTTTCAACATCGACGTCCTTCCCGAGCTCAAGGACATCTACTTTACCCATTTTGCCATAATCGACCGACATGTGCAACATTTCCAGCGCAGAGTCTCGAAGGCCATTGTGTCTGCTCTTGAGGGCCTTGTTCGGTCGTCAAACGCGGTAGGATTCTCCCAAGCTGGTGCTTCTGGAACGCATCGAGGATGTGCCATCGGGGCTGATCGTTATCGCAGCTGATGATGCTGCTTGCGTTGCGGCTCGGTGGACGGGGAACTTGGACAACTAGCGCTGATACCTGTGTTGGCGTGGGACGTGCTGGGATCCAGGACAGGCGCTGGCAATTGTTTCATGGCGATCAGACTCTTGATGCTGACCCTCGTATTCGTTCATGGTCCACAGCGCGATCCAGACTATTTAGTGTATTCTCGAGGGCCGCTGCCGTATCATTTTCTGAATGCCGATCGGTCATTTTGCGAAGAAGCCGAAAAACTTCGGATCGCCCTGCTCAATCTGGCCGTCTTTCCGCGGATTGATGTAGGTCGCCCCTGACACTGTGGGTTGCGATGGGTGTCCATTGAAGCAAGCTTTCTGACGTTCTCTTGCTCGGCAGCCCCCGCTTTGGTTGAATATGCTGACTTTCCCGCAAACGCGGACGAGCGGCTGTGAGTCGCTGGTCTCGGACCTGTGCTTTTTGACCGGCAAGCACAATCCACGACATAAACAGCTGTATGTATAGCGCTGCACTTGCCGCCGCTCTGTGCTGCTTATCGGCTCTCAAGCGCCTGATGCAGCCGTACGTCAAGTGCACTCGGCGCTGACGAATCTGCTTATCTGTTCCACCGCCAGATTCATGTCGTCGCTCGTCACCTTGGTGCTATCGCTTCATCTGGCGTGGACCGGAACCGTCGCATCGGTGATCCGCCGAGAGTCTGCCGCCGACCCAAAGGCCAATGATAAGGATTCCGATCCTCGAGACTCTGAGGATGACCTCAGCCAGCCGTACAACATCTACATGGCGCAACTGAGCGATCTGCATGGCTCGATCGGCGCACCCGCGATAGCGTCGCGAACCCTTATCGTTGGGGAAAACAACAAGGACGCCGTTCGCCGGATTCTAAACGTGCTCAGCTACTTCATTCGATCCGGGGAGCTTGTTGAGCGTATCCAAGTAGCCGAAGTGCCTGTGCCTCCTCCAGCCGTCCCAGCACCAGCACCAGCACCAGCTCCAGCACCTGAAGATGGAGCTGCTGCCTCGACGAAAGTCACCGCTGTTTCAACAAAGCCTATGCCCATCACAGCAGCCGGCCCAGGGGGCGAGGCAGCTCCAGCCTCCCTATCAACTGTCTCGCAAAGCACCGACAGAACGCCAAAGGCACATACCCAGTCGAGCGACGAAGAGCTATCTCCTGTGACACCCTCGTCCTCGGCCTCTGCGGACACTGCATTTTTGAAGTCGACTCCTGTTTCTTCGTCCTTGAGCGGGGTGCATCGCCCACTGCACAGCCATTCATCACAATCACCCTCATCTCTGACGCATCTCTTGGATAACACAAAGGCCAAAGGCGAGCCCGCAGCCGGGCTCGAGTCTGAGCCTGGGCCTGGGCCTGGGCCTGGACCTGAGAAAGTGAACGAACATGATGGCACCGCAGAGCTACCTCCGGGCTCTATAAGCGTCGAGGCAGGCAATAGTCCGGCACAGCACTTCCCTGGCTTTAGTCAATACCCTCTACCCTCGTGAGTGAAGCTGTTTTGTCGCTGTACCATGCCGTGCCATGCCATACCGCACTTGCACGCAACCCGAACCAATCCTGGGGCCTTGATGCAATCCGTTCGGGCCGTGGACGCATCGCTTGTGTTTCGCTGCCGCTGCATAGCTGTTCGGTTCCGCCGAGACTCATCATGCGCACGCTTCAATCACGCAGAACCAAAGTCATTCGTGTTATTCCGGACAGCTCCAAGTTCGAGGAGCCGGGGCTCAAGATGTCGCTTCTCTCGCCCTCCAGGTCGCTGCTCGGCGGATATGGATCATCGTACTACAGTGGCTGCGATTTTGTGCTCATGGGCGTTCGAAACATTCAACACAACATCATGGACATCAAGGCTGATTTGTGGCAAGACTGCGAGGTAATGTGCAGCAACTAAATGCCACGCTGGTTCCTCGGGGCAGCTGTGGCAAGAGCAGCGCATGTTTGCTTGACAGCCTTTCTGGATGCAGAGATCACGGAGCCCGCGTAGAGACAGATCTACCTGTGCCTGCAAAATGGGCCAAGGGGCAGTGCTGCTGGTATCACATCAGCGCAATTGTTGGTGCGGTTGCTCTAATGCCGAGTTCTTGATACTGCCAGTATTTCGATGCTGCCTGTGCCATCATTGCCAACACGGACACGTGGGACTGCGAGGTGATGGAGTGTGTCTCGGCCAATTCGACAATCACCATTCCTGCGACCATCTCGACAAAGGCGCCCAACAACACCGCTAGCTACTGGGCATCAAATGGCATCCAAGCAACCTTCAGTCGCAACTACATGACCGCGACCACGGCCCGCTCGGGAATGGCTTCCGGCACTATGGCCAGCTCTGGCCTTCCGACTGCTATGCCGTCCTCCGGCTCAACTTTGTCCAATCTGTCGCACCTCCAGGCCGACTCTCTGCCTGACGACCCGGATGATCGTGAGAATGAAGATAAGCCTCTGTACACCGTCTCGGGCTCCAAAAGCTCGGCCAGTCTTGTCGACAACATGATCAAGACCCTCAACGGCCTGTGGAACCATGGAATGCCTGCAGAAACGGTACAGACTCTGTGATTTGATTTGGTGGTCGCTAGCGATGCCTTCGTTTGACATTGCTTGTCCCTCGAGGAGGTAGCGCGATATGCATTGGTGCCGAGCGACTCACGGCTTTCCGCACCGCCTAATTGTGGAAAACAGTGCGTCATGTTCATCGAAGATCAGCTGCAAGAGTTCTATAACAAGGCTGTGCTGTTGTCGCTGGCTCTGCAAAAGAGCTCCCTGATCGACTTTGTGCAGCTTGCATCGATGTTGCGGTACGTAGATGGGCAACGACCGATTTCTCTTCGCAGCTGTGCGCTTCGAGATGCAGGGTGCCCTTTGAGCAAAGCCCCTTGGTCTTGTGCGAGATGCTCTGTGAGGAGCTTCTCTAACACTTACTCCGTGATGATGTCCTGTGGGGCATGGGCCCGATGGGACTAACCTATAGGGTGGAGCTCTCGGACTTGCCGCTGCTGATCTCGATTGCATCGACGTTTGATGAAACTGTGAGCATGAAGCTGGGCAGCAACCGGATCGCTGCGGCCGCTCTTGCCTCGCAACGATCAGCCATGACCTTCCGGATGTACACCTAGCCTCAATGGTCAGCCTGGTTCATCCTTGCGAACCGTCGATGCTCTTGTCGCTGCGTCCATAATCGATCGCGTTCCAGAATATAAATGGGACGCTGTCCCATTCGATGTGGGCATGTAGTATGAGGTAACTGGAGTCTAACAAAGCCATATGCAATAAAAGCTGTTGGCAACCTCCGTATGAAGATCATCAGTCGCTCTCCGGTTCCCACGATTGCCATCGCGATTTCACACTCGATGGCAGCTGGGACTGCAGTATCGCTGCGTGGCCATGGATGAGTGGGCTCAGGACCCAGCAAAGTGACACCCCTGACTCAAAACAGGACGCGAATCGATGCGAGATGCGCTCTTGGGATGATGTGAACATGCTTTTATTGAGAAAGCAGCCAGCCGCTTGGAACCGAGGAAGGGAGAGATAGAGAGGCTTGGCTGGGCAGCGCGGCTGATATGGGAGGCAAAAGCAACCAGATGGACCAAAATGAAGCGAAAGGAGGATGGGGTGGGAAATGTGTTCAAATCAAGCTCTTCTTCTCGTCGGCGTCCTGGTTCGGGGCCGGATCGGAGCCTGGGTTGGCCTTGGCCGCTGTCGGTACGAATCGTTCGTATGCAGGCTCGTAGACAGGCGGGGCGATGGCCTCTTGTTTGCTCCGGACGAGGGCCTCGTAGGTGTGCAGACACTCATAGAGCCGGGCGGCGATGGCGGGTGGCGGCAGCAGGCCCTTGATGATGCCGGTGCCGTCGATGCTGTATCCGTAGAAGGCTTGGTTGGCGGCGTGTGAGGTGTTGATGACGGCTCCCTCGAGTGAAAGGCCAAAGTACAGACCCTTGGATCGAGCAAAGGAGATGATGGAGCCCGAGTTGGTTGAGAGTGCTCCGGACACGCTGGCTGATCCACCAGCGGCTCCGAGCGAGCCGGAAAGCTCGCCGCCGATAGTGAAGTTGCCGCCGCTGGTAAAGGCTTGCACGGCCTCGTCACTGTTGAGGATGACGAGGATCTCGGAGGACTCAATGCCGAGCTAAAGAGTACAGATGCGACAAAGGAGGCTGTTAGTTTCACAGCGCACGATGCTGGGCAGCGATTCGGTCAACGGATTGAATGCTATGAGAGAGCGTGGGGGGATGGGGTTGTGTCCGGCCTTGACCCAATCGGCGGAGTACTTACCACAAATCCCATGCCGATGCCCGTGCAATCGACTGCACAGGGAGCCGACCACGAGTTGTCGGGGAGACGGGCAACAACGATGCCCGATCCTGTCCGGAAGGACATGTGGGCGAAACCAAGCTGGCCGACTTGGAGGATGGCGAGGCCCTTGGCATTGAGAATGTGGCTGGGCGAGATGCCCTTATCGATATCGGGGTGCTGGAGGAAGTATTCCAGGGTCAGGGCGGAGCGGTGGCAGAGATCGGCGAGTCTGGACATGCTGCGGGGGAGGGTGGGTGTCGAAACGAGCGGATGGGTGTCGAAACGAGCAGGTGGGGTTGGGTGCGATGCAGAGGATCGTTCTGGTTCTGGGCAGATGCAGCCGCTGGAGACAGGGCATTTGTACCCTGGGATTCCTTGGCATCCGCCTCGGCGCCAAGCCCAACGTGGCACTGAGAATGCCGGGTCTTGGCGGTCATGCCTTGGCTGGCGAGGCCGTCTTGGCGAGCAAGGTTGCCCCTTGCCAACCAAATGCCGGTCACAAGCACATCCGAAGGACCTCGAAGCCACCGGAGCGATCGTGCTGGATGATACCACCGTGGACAAGACACACGGCATTCAAAAATGCAGTGCTCGCATAGAGATCCGGCTCGTCAGCACACGCCATGGAGGGCCAGCCCGGCTCTGCCACCGACCACGACCGAGACACACCTTTGCAGCCCCCACACACCCGGGATGGTGTCGATGCACGATCCAAGCCGGACGAGGCTCGCCGTTGGATGAGGCAGGCTCCAGCAGGGTCTATGGATTGTGATGCGCCAAAGTCGATGAGGCCAGGCGAGGGTTCCAGCGGGGCTAGTTGGGATAGAAGTTTTCGGTAGGGGTGCGGGTGGGAACAAACAAGAAAGCTCAAAACCAAAGGGAGACACCATATAAACGGACAGACACCAGTGGGATGCGTACGAAAGGAATCTAGTGGGTGGCGGTCGGGGGCCATGAGAACAAATGGAGTGATGGAGGCGTGTGGCCGGCGGATGGAACGCACCCGGTCAGCGGTCATGGTGTGTGGCGGTCTACATGCTGACTTCGCCCATGAGCCGTCTCAGTTTGTCATTGGCGCTATCCAGAGAGGACGAGAGCTCTTGAACCTTTTGCTTTTCGTGCCGGAGTAGCGAGCTGTAGTGTGTGCGCACGTTTTCGATCTCTGCAGAGTGCGAAACATAGATGTCGTTTTTGTGGTCGGCCAGGAGCGGATTGAGTCTCCAGAAGCGGAAGATGACGAATAGCGATGCAATCAGCGACTCGCGGAGCGGGAGCGCGGCCTTGAGCACCAACGGGGCAACGACCAAGATCAAGTCGAGCCAGTTGAAGATTTGGGCAAAGTCTATACGAAGCAGGCGCCGGAGCAAGCGCAGCGAAGGGGGGGGCGAGGAGGGGGGGGCGAGGAGGGGGAGGGCTCGCTGGTTAGGACACTATCATCTCTGGCGGGTGATCATTTCTTGCGGAGGAGGGCTCAGTGCCCAGCAAGAAGAGCACGCTTACACTTGCGAGGGGTGGCGCCCCAGATTCGTACGGCGAGTTCCAGAACGAACAGGGATTTCAAAACCATGGAGACAGAGAAGAAGACGATGCGGATGATGGTCCACTGCTGGGCGTCGGTGTACAGGTTGATGGCGGCGGGGCTCCGCGAGTCCAGAGCGGGGTGGGATTGATCATACAGACTGAGGAACAGGTCGGTCTCTGGGGAAGATGGGTGCCGTTGGGTCGGGTCGAGTGGGTCGGGTGCCGTTGGGTCGGGTGGAGGATTCGAGGCAATAGACAATGGCCCAGGAGGCAGTAGCAAATGGCCCAGGAGTCAGCGGTTGGGACGGCGCTGGGAGGTGGCCCGACTGGACTCATACCAGAGCTCCCACACTGATAAAGGCAGGCCCAGGTGGCCAGTGCCCACAGAGACGCAGGGCGGACAACATGAGGACTGACCGGCACCGCTCCGTCAGCCCCGTACAGAAGCGACGACACTTACGGCAGATCACGTAGTCGGCCATCACCAACGACAGAATGATGTAGGTTGCCCTTCGGCTTTCGATGGCTGCACCCGACGACAGTTGGCACGGAGTCGGGGAGTTGTTGAGGCAGAGCGCATCAGCATGGTGCGTTGTCTTGGCTTGGGTTTCTGACCGAGGGGGGCGATGCGGGGCTCCGATGATGCTTACCTCTGTAGAGCGGAGAGGGGTTGACTTCCGACTCGATTGTTTCGATCTCCATTTCCTGAACGGTCGCGGAGGTCATGGCTGGCAGCAGAGGCGAGGCACAGGTAAAGGCAGAGGCAGAGGCAATCGCAGAGGCAGAGGCAATCGCAGAAGCAGAAGCAGACACAGAGAGCCGGCCGAGTCAAGAGCAGACGGATGAAGAGGACCGACCGGCGCGGGCTCAGAGCGAAAAGGGCGGCTGAATAAGGGGAAGGCACACGGCCACCGCGGCTGTGTGGCACAATGGCCGCACTGTGGCTGCCCTTCCGGCGCGGTCCACGTGCACACCCGCACACTCGATCCACGCACTCGATCCGGCTGCTGGTTCCATAACGTCCCGTTTTGGAAGGCGGTGCTCTCGCCCGCCGAGAACTCCCTCGGGGTCAGGGCATCCCAATCCCGCCTCAACCCCATCTCGGCCCGTCCCAACCCGTCCCTCCTGGCGACTGGCTCTGCATCTCCCTGCAGCCACCCACCCGTACGCTCTCTTGGATCGGCCTCGGCGAAGCACTCATCTGCTCCTCGCATTCGCTCGATCGACTGCTGCGGCAACCACCACCACAACAACACCACCGCCACAACAACACCACCACCGCCGCCGCCGCCGTCATGGAAGCCTCGGTCTGCCATCCGCGCATGCTGGTGCATCTTCATGGCCCCGCCTCGAATTCCGTTTTTGGGCACACCCGCCAATCGTTCAAGCTGCGTATGTGCATCGCTCCTCCCCGCTCGAGATCGCTATCGTCGTTGCTGCGCTGCGATGCGCCTTGATGTGCATCGATAGCGTGTCAGTTGTCTTTTGTCGCTTACCAACACGGCCGATTCGCCCGTAACATCTCATCTGCTTCAAACACATTCAGCCGCAAGTGTGTCTCCGTCGACGGGAGAAAGGTACTCGATCCATACGCTGGAGCAAGCTCAATATTGTGCAGCGATCACTGCTCGAGCAGCCGGACCGGAGCCCACCGCTAGGTCCATGCGCTCCATTCGATTCTGGCATGTCGCTGACGCCTCTTGACGACCCCACACTTCGTTCTCGGCAACGGCTCTTGATCCAGACACATTGCCGTCGACCAGTGCCTGGACTCGTCAGCAACCTGCGCTGGATTCGTCCAGGAGTCGCAGCTAGATTCACTCGCTCTGGAGGCCGTCAATGGTATTGGTCGCACGCCCGTCCTCATCAGTAGCTGATCCCGCTGGGTTGCGATGACTCTGGAGATTCTCTAATGGCTTCCTGATCTCCAATAGGAAGAGTCGTTGGGCTATTTTCCTCATCCCTCGGGTATGGTCTCGCTCATGCTTCTCAATCAAACAACCCGGCAGAGCACCGCAATCGGCTTGACCAGAGCGATCTCCACCACAAGTCCTGCCATCCGACGTGGTTTGCGGATCTCCAAGCAGCGGGACGGCCGTCCAATCCCCCCTCCAGCTGTCTTGCGTGTCCTCACCATGCTAATCACGTTTCCGTATCGTATCCTCCCTCTTGATTCTGTCGCTCCAGCCACCACTTTGACTACCAAAGGTATTGATCGCGGTCGCTCTCTACATGGATCCGGGGCGGAGGATTACCCGATTGCATGATTTACCTTTCTATTGGGCACCAGCTCGTCGATCTTCATGCAGATTGTTGAGGAGCTGAGTCGGATCACTACTTCAAGCCAAGATATTGCTGTTTCGTTTTGGTAGGCAAGGGTCGCGCACTTGGTCGTCGTCAGGCCATGCATTGCATACGAAAGCCGACCCGTACTCATTGCGCCACCGACTTGCCTGTAGCTACCTGCTTGCCACCGATACCAAGTGCTTTGATCTTCTGGCACAAAAGAATGTGGATGGTCAGTTCATGGTTGATGCCTGTCTCCGCCAGCAAAGTCTCGCCTGGTCCAGATCAACTCGACGGGCGCATTCGGCCTATTCTTGCATTGGCTGGGTCGACGATGAGCTTTTCCATCGAACTGATGGTGCAACACTCTTTTCCATGCCATCCAACCAGTGCCAGCGCACGTGCCAACCAACTTTCACGGGCTTTTCTCAAAGACGGACAACTCCTTGGCTGCGGTAAAGGAGGTTCTGGCTCAAGGATGCTCCTCACCATTTGTGCTGGGCATCCGTCTCGAATGCAAGCAATCGGTCTATCGCACCTACGGATCGCTCTATCTGGTACTATATTCCTGCACTCAAACGATTGGCGCATTTCCTACGCTGTGCGAATGGTGTTGACAGCCGATGCTAACGGGTCCCGCCTGGTGCAGGTGGAGCTTGGGTATCCTCTGTTCAAGGGCGACCTCTCTATGGCTAGCCAGGCTCCTAACGCGCTCTTCAAGACCATCAAAGTCATGAGTACGTGCATGCCATGCGCGTGTTGTTTCAGTCGTGGGCAGCCATTTGACCATACCGACAGGCGCGAGCGTGTACGCATGGTATCTCTGTGCTGTGGCTGCTCCATTTGCATTCACTAATGTTGCATCCATCCAGCCAAAATCGGTTCGATGCTCTCGGGTACCGGGAACCTGCCCTACGAGGAATCGGCGCTGACGACAATCACATCCGGTGAGTCGCTCGAGCCAGACTGACAGTAAAAATCCGGGGCTTTTGCTCGTGTACACAACTTTGCTATGCTTGGTTGCGGTGAGCTCACCCCCGCGCACCGTCCACTGTGCACATCTGTGTTTTCGTTCTCGTTTGCGCGTGTAATTAGAGCTGCTCGGCGGGAGTGGTAAAGCAACGTTTCTCTTTCACATCGATGTAAGTCCCGCTGCTGTCGGTGCATCCAAGCGGTTGCGTTTCCAGAGGATCGATCGGTTCGGCAGTACATCTGCTGTTGCTTGGGCTGGTGCTCTGTCACTGACTTCAGCCACTTGACGGGTCCAGGCAACCGAAGCGTCGCCCAACGTTGCGACCATGGCTGACTTCATCGAGATCTGGAAGAAAGTCAAGATACGCCAGGTAAATGTCCTCGGGCTTGGTTCACATGCCCGTCTCATGCCACCCGCATATGTCCACAGCCACAGGCCTCAGTTGTTCCGGTTTGTTGCGGTCCCATCAGCGCGGGTAGTCCACCGATCCGTATGGCGATGTAACGGGCTCTGACTAACTGTGCTGAATTGCGGCGTTGCAGAGAGTCTCTTTCCGTGACCCTCGGGTCCGGTACTTGGAAGAACTCTCGAGCACACGCGAGGAACAAAGCTGGCAGCTCCACCAGAAAATCAGCGCGCAATTAGCCCAAACGATGGAGGTGGAGAGCCAACTTTCAGAGCGGAACGAGTTTATCGAGAAACTTGAACACCAGCTCCAGCACTGCGAGATGCAGGTGCAATCCAGCCAAACACTGGCTGAGTCGCTCAGGTCCGAGCTTCAGCAAAAGGAGAGTGCCTGGCGTGCTAAATTCCAAGATTATCGGTCCAAGCGCTCGAGCGAGCTCAAAGAACTCTCTGTCAAGGCCGAGACGACCGAGTGGGGCTGGAAGCAAGACGTGGCTATTCTCGAGGCCTGTCTGAAGGATCGCAACACTCGTCGCAGGCTCGATGCGGACGACAATCGAAGGGTGTGCTTTATATTTCCTGCTTGCAGCCGTTTAGAGAGTTTCACGAGATGGCGCTGATCTCGATCTTCAGAATCCATATTGACGCGACACATGTCCGTTGCCTAGCTTATTCTCGAAGCCAACGTCTGGATCAGCAACTCCCAGCGTAAAACCGAGGAGTGGAAGCTGCTGTATGCGAATCTTCATAATCTCTTCAGTAAGGCATCTTGCTCCGCTGCTATGGCTTGGACTGGAGAATTTGACTCGGATCGGGCTAGGTAGCACGATCGTCCTTGGATTGAGTTGGGCTGAGAATTGTACATCTGACCAAGCCGCGACTTTCTCATTGTAAGACCTCAAGTCCGATGAGCTTATCGAGTCGCAGTCCCAGTTGGACGAGTATAGGGCTGAAATCACCCGTCTTGAGGTAAATTTCTGTCGTGAACCCACTTGCTATTGCGACTGGATCGGTGCTGATGCCACTACCTCGATCTCTGTCGCATTTGTGCAGACATCACTCAGCAACTCCGAGGTGCGATGGCTGGACCGATGCACTACTCTGGAGGGGCAGATTCAGCATATCCGCCACGAGCATGCCCGCGATATCCACAATCATCAGCAGAGCTTCCGGAAGACGCTGGGCGACACGAAGGAAGCGTTGGGTCGCCAATGGGCTGAGAAAATGGACAGACTAGCGGCCGAGGAGGAGCAGAAGCGCCAGGCCCTCCAAGACGAGATCGAGCTTCTTGATCAGGCCAGCCGAGACCAAAACATGGCACACAAAATCCAGACCGAAGACGCACAGGCTCGCCACCAGCAAGAAATCAGCCAGCTGCACGACGAAAAGCGCAAGTGCAAATCCGACATGGAGGCTGAGCTCCACAAAATGATCACCGAGCACCAGGCCGAGCTTGTCAAGACGCACAGCCAGCACCAAGCCGATCTCGAGAGTGCCCACAACGAGCACGAACAGCATATCCAGCAGCTCGAGCAGAGCCACATGAACGTGAGCCAGCGGCTGCAGGCCCTGGTGGATCAACAAAACGAAAAGCTGAAAGATCTCGAGCGGCAGCAGGCTCGCAGCCGAGGCGAAGCCGCCGACTTGCGTCAGCAGGTCCAGCAACTCAACCAGGCCAACGAGGAAAAGCGCATCATCATCACCGACCTTGAAGTTCAGATCAGCACCTTCAAGAAGGAGAGTCAAGTGTGGGTCCAAAAGCTGATTGAGTCGGAAGCGCTGCGTCTGGAGGAGAAGACCAAGCGGTTTGAGTCGGAGCGCCAGCTCAAGGAGTGCCAAATTGAACTCGAAGTCGCACGGGTATGCGCGGGCGCACTCCTATCTGCGGCACGGCATCGGTTTTGTGATGCAAATACCGCAGGACGACGAAGCATCGGCTGTGTCGAGCATGTGCTGGCGACGGCGAGTGGGTCGTGAGTGCCTTTACAAAACTGACGGTGTGCTTTCTGCTCCTTTTGGCCCCTCGGTCCTGCTCGGTCCTGCTCGGTCCTCTTGTGACTCTAAAATCGCAGGTCCAGAGATCCAGCGACTCTTCCGTCTCGACGCAATCCCTCGAGAACCTGAAGAGCATGCATGATATCGAACGAAAGGCGATGAATGTGTGTGTCTACTTTGATCGCTGGCCTGACATCCCAGCTTTCCCGCTGGCGTCGTTTGTGTCGGGGTCTTTGTCTGTGGTTCCAAGCATCTGGTTGCGCTAACGCCTCTGTTTTGGGTACAGGACCAGATTCGAAACCTCGAGCACGGCTCGCGTCAGGCCCTCAAGCTCCGCGAGGACGCCTTTTCCATGGAGAGGCAGCGCCTCCAGACCCGCATTGATCAGCTAGAGAAGGCAAATCAAGAGTTGCTGCTGGAAAACACCCAGAGGACCGAGTCAGTTGATGCCCGGGCTGCTCGTCCCAAGGCCACAAAGCGGACGCAGCCAAAGACCCAACCTTTGGAGAGCATCCGAGAGGACAGTGAGAGTGCAAGCCCTTCTGTAAGCGCAAGCGAGTCGAACGGACGATCTGGATCAGGATCTGGATCTCGGACAGGGCCGGCGGCTGGCAGCAAATCGTCGCTGTCCAAGAAACGTTCGGCCGCGCATCTGGACTCGGATCGCACGAGCGTTGTCACCGCCGCGGTTCCGGAAAGCACCCTCACCTCTGTGGCTGCATCAGTGCTTAACAAGAAGAACATTGCTCTGATGAAGAAGCGGTCGAATCAGCCCCTCGAACCCAGCTCTGGCACCACCAGCACCGTCGAAAAGGCAGTCGATGGTGGCCGGAAACCTGGCAGCAGCATTTTCCCGATTGTGGATAGCGACCAGGACGATCCCGACGCCCCGTCGCCACTGCGTGATCGCCTCAACGTCGAGACAGCGCGATCGGGCACTGAAAAGCCCAAGCGAAGTGGGGCCAAGCAAAGCGCCAAAGACCTGCTTGCAGCTCGTGCTGCACTGAACACATCATCCGACGACACCTCCGCTCGTCTTGGGGGTGCGAGCCAGAGCAACGGCTCCGCTGCGGACCACCGCCCGCGACGCCGGGCAGCGCCAACCGCGCAGATGCTCCACGTCGACGATGATGATGATGACAGTTACTCGACCAGCGATATGGTGGAGTACCATGTGCGCAACCGCAAGTCCATGGCCGTCTCTGCCTCGACTTTGTCCACGACCCACGACAGCGGCATCGCTGAGCCAGAGCCAGAGCCGGAGCCGAGCTCTGATGTGGCTGTCAACCCGCTCACTTCCAAAGAGGCGGATGCAGCCCAAAAACGCAGCCCAGCAGATGGCGACTTTACCTTCCGTGCCCCAGCTCCAGCCCCCAGCGTGCAGACCAAGAAAAAGCGCCGGCTCAATCCCAGAAAATCGATCGACAAGGTCCGTATGGATGCTGTTTGTGCGGGGCTTGAGGAGAGAGAGATGATTTGGCTGTCTCCATGGCTGTGCCTGGCGTTTATCGTTGCGTAGTGCTGGTTACCGTTGCTCATCGTTGCCTGTTTGATTTCCATCCATACTCCCTCTCCACCTCCCGGATCTCATGCTGCGCGAATCTCGGGGCCGCCTCGGACTCAGCCCGCGGCCGATTCCGATGCCGGCTCAGCACCAGAACAGGCATCTGCACCGAGCGGCTCGAGCGCGACAGCCTCCTCCAGCTCCGCGGCGAGGGAGCGGTCAGGTGCATCCGCGGCCACATTCAAGACCATGATGAGCAGCATCTGGAAGAGCCAAAGCAGCGCGCGACGGGCGAACCTGATCCTTGCTGGAGCATCATCGGCAGCACAGTCATCCGCGAATGTATAGAACTGCCTCCGCCTCTTGGCCATGGATCGGGCGCGCTGCCACCCACCACTGAATATATCGCCATCGACCGATACCGCGCACGGCATATCCAGGACGTTGTGCGTCCGCCGCGAGGAGCGATGGTGGCGAATGCGTATGCTCATTGTTGACCACAAAGAGACAAGACAGCGCCGTTGGCAGAGCTCAAAGATGTCGCGTTTCATTCGGATCAAGCTGTGATTGCAAGGGTGGCGGCAGACGCAGTGGTGGACAGATCGAGCAAAATTGCGGAAAGGATTGAAGCGGGCGGGCGTGGCGGTAACTCGGTGGCTGGAAGAGCTGCAATTCAACTCATGGGTGCTTGAGCAAGTGTAAAATGGGTCACGACTTGACTTGCTTGGGCTGTGATGCCCAAGAAGCTCCAGGTCAAGGGGGAAAGGGTACTCTCCTCGTCTGTCCCTCTCTGTTGAGATCGGCTTAGTTGGCGGCTTGTCGACCAAAGGTGGCCAGAGCCTTCTTGACAGCCTCGGGATCGCCTTGGTACTTGCCAACGTCGTCGCTGAGCTTGACGACGTATTCTCCATCGACCTGGTAGAGCTTGATGACGATGTTGACAGCTTTGCTCTTCTGGCCCTCGAGCCGCTTTCCCGTGGCTTGGTCGACTCGATCAAAGTCGTTGGTCAGGAAGGTGCCAATGCCAAAGAGGGCCTTGATGCCCTCGCCATTCTCCCGGATCAAGCGCGCGAGCTCGATGCATTTTGCAGTGTTGAGCGAGTCTGAAAACACCAGAGCCTTGCCCGCGGGACTGATGCCGAGCTTGCGGTAGTGGTTCATGGCAAGATCGAAAAAGACCTTGGGGTCGCCCGAGTCCTGGCGCAGCCCGTCAAAGCCGTTTGCCAGGGCGGCATCAAAGTCCTCAAAGAAGACCTGGGTTCCGAAGGTGTCTGTAAGAGCGGTTTTGAAGTGTCTTGGATAGGCCTCGAGCCATTTGCGGAGGGCATTCCTGTTGGCGTGGAGCAAGTCCCTCTCCAGGACTGCATCAGCGGCAGCAAAAGAAGATCGAGCCGGGAATGATGAGATTTGTGAGAGCGACACGGGATCGCAGAGAGGGAGAGCGAGGGAGAGCGAGAAGGAAAGCGAGAGCGATCGATTTTGCGTCTGTTGGGCGCTTTCTGCATGAGGGGGGCAACGGCGGCAGTGAATCCGTACCAGAGACAGCCATGGTCCATTCGTGGGCGACGGTGCCGATGGGCGGCACGCCGTACTTCATCGCAAGATAGACGTTGCTGGTTCCCGTGAATTGGCCTGAGCCTTGGAGCTGGCCGCTTTGGGAGCCCTCGACGAGGGCCCTTACGACGGTGTCTTGGGTCTTGAAGGACCGGCGCCGGCGGGTGCCAAAGTCGGAGAAGACGCAGCCGTTGCCGACAAGCAGCTGCAGCTTCTCGTATGCCCGCTCGAACTGGCCCTTGCTGGTCCAGTTGCGGTCCATGTGGGCAAAATACACCTCCGAGACGAGCGCCAGAACGGGCACCTCGAAGAGGATGACCTCGCTCCATTTGCCGCTGATCTCGATCTGGACCTGGCCCGTGGTGTCGTCGAGCTGGCAGCTCACGGCGTCGGGATCGAAGCGGAACCGATCGAGATACTCGATGTACTCGGGCTCGAAGTACGGGCATTTGTTGGTCAGGTACGCCTTTTCGTCCAAAGTCAGGCGCAGGTTGGCGAATCCTGGTGGGCGGGTGCAAGTGGTTGGTCAGAGTGAACATGGTAGCGAGCGGTTCAGCAAGTCACCCTCAGCAGTGCGCATCGGCACAGGATGGAGATGGGGATACCTTTGATGGAGGCAACGAGCTGCTCAAAGCCAGGCCGGTCGAACCTCATAGAAGGGTCGCGGTTTTTGAAGCGATAGACAACATGGGCGTTTGGATACAGCTTCAAGACGGCCTGCTGCATGCCAAACTTGTATAGATCGTTGTCAAGGATAGAGACGAGAGCGACGGACATGGCGGCTGATGGGAAAGCGGGAGATGCGATGGAGGGAGCAGAGGTGGGAGGCGAAAGGGGCGGACGAAATGGAACGAAAGAAGCCCGCTGTCGAGGGGACGAGGCCGCGCTTTATTTCAGTACCATCAGCCACCCAACCACCCACACAGCCCCTCTCACCGCGGGCCGCCAGCCTTCATGCCCGCTTGATGAAGCTCCTGTGGAGATTGCTGGATTCCTGTGCTTCGCGTACAGCAGAGAGATCTGACCACCCACCGACGGAAGCGTGAACATCCAACGTTAGTTGTATGGACAGCGGAATACATACATCCATGCAAGAGGCTCTACTTACAATCGCTCAAGCGCGGCGACCCCGGATGGGACGGGAGATATGGGTTGATTGGCCGGAACTGCATGGACGAATCGATAGCTCCCAAGACGGCGCTGTTGCGCTTGTGACTTGGACCCGAGCGGGCGTCTTCGTTTGGAGGCGATGGAAGCAGCTGGCCCTGGGCGGCAGAAGGCGCTGCATAGGGCACGGATCGAGACGTCTGCTGGACTGCCAAGAACGGGCCTTGGGGAGCAGGGCGGTCCTTTCCCGAGGGACGAAGGCCCTGGGCAAGCATTCGCGGGTTGAGCTGCTGCAGAAAGTCGTAAGGAGAAACCGGAAGGGCCCGAGGCCCAGGCGGAACAGACGCCTGGGTCTGGACGAAAGCATGATCGGCGTCGTTATCTGTTGCGTGGCATAGCAAGCAACGCAGGACGGAAACGGTGTTAGCCTGGATGATCGGACAGACGCAGGCACAGCAGCCACGCAGCTGGTGTCGTTGCAGAGAGCTTTTTGAGAGCGGGACGGACTCGAAGCAGCGCAAGCGGGTTGGCAAGGACATGGATGGGCTCCGTCGTCCGCGTCGTCCGGACCATGCGTCTGCGGGTGCCTACCGAAGGAATGATAGATCGACGTGTCTGGGCCTGGCGAGCGTGCCGGGTCAACCATCGAGTCAGAGACCACGTCGGCGTCGATAGAGCCAAGGCTAAACTCGCTGCAGATGGATTTGTGCTTATTTGAAGAGAATATCATGCTCTGGTTAAACGAAAGCTGGTCATCGGAGCGATGGCCGTTGAGGTTGCGAAACGAATCGTTGCCGGGGGCCACCAGGCCATGCAGCCGCTGGTCGGGCACGATGCCGGTGTGATGTCTTGGGATGCCCGGATCGGCCTGCAGCAGCTCCGGAGGCAGAAACCGAAGCGGCATGGCTCGAGGGGGCGGGGAGGGCTGGGGCGACAACGGCCGGGGTTCCTGGGCCTGGACTTGGTTTGGTAGTGAGTGATGGGCAACCACCGGGGCTGCAGGATGGACAAGGTCGAGCAGGTCCTTGGCCTTCCCGAGTATGTATGAAAACCCATGATGACCCCTACTAAAGTGGACCGAGTCGTCGTGCGAGTCAAGGGTGGCATTCAGGAAGTGCGAGGCACCGGTGCGATCGAGCGAGCCCAGATCGCCCAACACACCGCCGGACAAGCGGGTGTGGTCGCTATCGGCTCTTGTGTCCTGGGCTGTGGAGAATCTCTTGTCGGCAGAGATGTAGGTCGTCGGGGCAGTGGGTTCTGGTGCGTTGGAGACAAAGCAATTGCGGCAGGCAGTTTGGGACGAAAGCGAGTGTTGGGGTCAGAGAGACAGTTGAAGAAGGCAGGACGAAGCGAGACGCTGCGATTGAGCGACAGCAGCTCTGTCGACGAGGACGCAACGATCTGTCCCAGCCGTGCTTTCGATGCTGGACATCATACCTCGGTTTGGAGGCTTGATCGAGACCTTCAGTCTGGCGTCCCCAACCGCATAATGGCCATCGGCCCGAGAGGAGTTTAGCCACGGCAGCTGGCTCGTGCGCGGTGACGTTGCCGTGCTTCTGACGGGCGATGGAGAACGAGCCCTGGACTTGGCGAGGGTCACAACATCCTTTGGCGAATCATCTTCGTCCCAGACCTCGCTGGGATCTTGCGGCTCATATAAACCGGTGTGCTTGCGCCCGGTGACATTCTGGAGAGGTGGCGGCTCGATCGACGATGGGTGATAGATGCTCACGGGTATGACGAGTTTGATGTCTCTGGCAAAGCAGCCGATGAAGAACGCAGTAAAATGATTAGTCGGCTTTCAATAGACATTCAGCGAGCTTGGTGAGAGGTTGACCATGCGGTGGCAGCCACCCATTATCGCTGGTATACCTGAAATAGCCAATGTGAAGAGCCACGGTGATATAGCACGTCACGGTCGCCAAGTTGGTATTTTCGACAGTGAACACCTGGGGCTGGAGGAGAAAAGGTAGGGGGGGGGAGCAAACCAATGGATTAATAGTGCATTTTGATGATGGACCGCAATGTCAGCGAGTGCACTGCTCAACCCAACCAAGGCTTTGCATACGAGATCAGGCGTGCTGCCAGCCATATTGCTCCAGATATACTGACCGGCACGTGAAGGGTGATGATTTTTGTCCTCTCCTCATAGGGATCGACGGTGAAGTCCTTGGGCACAATCTCGGAGGAAACCGCCTCATCTGTATATGACTTTGATGGGCCGTTGCTTTTCTCCTCGCAATCATCGACCAGAAGTGTCAATTTGCGCTCCAGGGTGGCGCGGAAGCCGAGAGCCTATGTCCATGGTTCGAGACATATCATGGCACATCAATTGTGCGATGGGGTATGGAGACAGCCAGCTATTAGCTCGACGATCGCTGACGCCGTCGAGATGACACCGCTACCAGAGTTGTAGTGCACCGCCGAGGCCCCATGGCATACCTTCTGCCTCTTGGTGTCGTTTCGGACACCGACTTGCAGGTTGATCTCGCCGCCAGCCTTAACGACCTGGTTCGCTATCACTCCTTTAAGTATAAAGCCCTGTTCTTCTCGCTGGTCGAACAGGGCCGGAGATCCAATAGCGAGAGGGTGTGAAGGGATGGCAGGTCCAGCACTGGCAACAAAGGCTTCAACAGTTTGCAGGATGGTGTCACTTCGCCCGTTCTGGCAAAATTCGACAACACTGGTGATCAAGGTCGAACAGAGGACATGTCAGCGAAGCTACGGCAGTCATGTGGGCATCGGACAGGTGCTGGTGCTGGTGCTGGTGCTGGTGCTGGTGCTGGTGCTGGTGCTGGTGCTGGTGCTGGTGCTGGTGCTGGTGCCGGTGCCGGTGCCGGTCGGCTGGGCCGATAATCCAAGCCAAGCGCTGCCCGTTGGCAATCCACTCCCACGAAAATACAAAAAGTACAATCATGGCGAGGAATCCTACCCAGTGACGACATATCGCAGGGCCGCCAGGTTGGTGGATTTGTAGAGCAGGGGATCCTTGTACTTGAATGAGCCGGGGGAGTCGGCAGGCAACTTGAAGGCGAACACAAAGGTCGTCTTGCCCTTATTTGCGGTCCACATGCCGTTCTGGAGCGGACCATGCACGGCCGGTGAAGGGGGCGTGTCCAGCGATTGAAAGACCTCGCGAGCAGTCAGGAAGGACGAGCTCTGGGTATAGTCTTTGTCGTTGAGTTCTGGTTTTGGAGAGATCAAGTGAGATTGGCAGGAATCGAGTGAGATTGGCAGGCGCTCGGTTCGGATTGGCAGGTATCGAGCGAGGTTGGCAGGTCCTCGATTCGCGCCAACAAAGGAGAGCCGCACGGCGTATCCAGCCAGACCATGGGTATAGTTGTGCGCCGCACTCACCTTCGTATCCCATGAGCTCCACGGCGATGGTTCCAAGACGCAGGCTGCGCGAGGTGGAAGAGGTAACATCGAGGCTTCCATAGATCATGCTCCCGGCGACAAAGATCTCCGAGTCAAGACTGATGTTGACCTTGAGTTTGTTGGATCTGCCGGGCGTGGTTGGCAATGGGTTGAAGTCCAGCGGATCGCGTGATAGCCTGTGGCCGGCCGACCGGGCAGTCTCAAACACAGACATGGTTCGGATTGGCGACTTGACGGGTTTGATAGTCTCGGTGGACTCGGTCGGAGAGAGTAGATAGGGGGCCCAATCACGGATGCTGGCCGAGCAGGCACGAGAGGCGATCTTGGCGAGACGGAGGCGGAAAAGGAGAAAGACACCGCAGGGAATCGGGCAGGGGACAGCGGGAATATATACCTGTGCTGGTGCAGGTGTTAATACGGGGCGGGGCGGGAGCTCGCTCCGACAGACCGATCAAGCGGCTCGGGCCAGGGAGCGATGGAGGCCGCCGAGGGGAACATGGAGGAGGAAGGGTCGGGCGGAGCGGCCAAACTCCGCCGCCAGCGCGCGTGTGTGTGTGCGGCTGTACCACCGCCGTGACCTGCCAGAGCTGTGTGTGTGTGTTGTGCCACAGGCGACTCGTTCTCGCTCGGGTGTCCTCGGCTGCTCTCGCCAGCGACCTCGGTCTGGCAGAGAGGACGGGGGATGTTGGCTCAGTCGCGGCTGGCGGCTGGCACATGAGACAGCGCGGCAGGCAGCCTTGTGTGACGACGGTCTAAATATGGGTGCACCGGCAAGCGCAGGCAGGCGGGTGTGTGGGCGGAGCAGCGGCCCTGTGCGAGTCGGACGCGCACGAATGATACATGTGTGCGACCGAGAGTGTGACAGAAGGCAAAGCGCTGCTGCATTGGGGCAGTGGAGCAGTGGAGCAGTGCCGCATGGCTCCGCGGCCACGACACAGTCCCACGCAGTCCCACACAGTCCCACACAGACACACGCTCTCTCTCGCGCCGTCTCGCTCGCCGCCTCGCTCGCCCTCGTCCTCGTCTCCTGTCTTGGTTCCCAAAAAAGCACACAGCCCTGCCAGTCCTTTTTTTCGGTCTCCTGGTCGGCATTGCCCTGAATTGCATCCTCCCACGGTTGTCTTCGTTGCCGTCTGGTCTCCAGAACGCATCCCCTCGCTCGCCTTCCTCCTCCCGCTCTGCCTGCATCTGCCCGGCCTCGGTCTTCTCAAGCATGCCCGGATTCAACCTCTTTGGCTCCTCGTCAGCCGCCCCGTCCTCTCCGTCCTCCCCCGCCGGCAGCTCGACGAAATCCCTCCGAAAGCAGCAGCAGCAGCAGCCCTCCTCCGCCGACGCCTCGACCCTGATTGCCGGCTCTTCCGACATCGATATGGCCCACTCGCTCCACCAGCTCTCCCCGGTCGCATCGCCATCAGCTGCCTCCTTCCCGTTCCCGGGCCAGCATCCCAATCCCATCGCCCCTCTCACCACCCCCCCTCCCACGGACTCGTACGAATGCGCCCAGCTCGCCCAGGAGAAGTACGCATATGCCGAGCGATTACTGTTTGGTCGGAACGGCGTCGCCAGGAACGAGGTGCTTGCTGTCGTCTATCTCAAGGAGGCTACATACAAGCACGAGAGTCACTCGATGGCCCAGGTGTGTTGCCGACCCTCGCTTTCTCGCTCGCGCTACCATCCGGTTGGCAGGCCGTTTGCATCCTATATCGCATTCATCCGACCGGAAGGGCAGTGTTCGTGCCAACGAGTCATCGATGGAGCTTATTGACGGCACTCGACGACGGGACCGACTGGATGGGGCCGTGTCCATGAGCCCTGCTGCCGGAGCCGGTCCAGTTATCCACCATCCCCGGGATCCACTCCAGAGGCTTTGTGATCCGTCCATTGGGGACTGATCGTCTCCCTGAGCCGGTTACTTCGTTGGCGCTGACCCCCACGCTGTCTCCCACAGGCCGTCCTGGGATTCTGCACCGAATTCGGTCTCGGGATCGAGCAGGATTTCAAAGCATCAGAGAACCTGTACATTTGCGCAGCACTCAAGGGCAACGGTAGGATACTGTCGATGCTGCCTTTTGGTCGCAGTCTTCTTGAATATTGCTCGCCCGATGTTTCTGTGCAGCTGGATATCCTCTCGATCGGCGACACTCCCCTCGACAGATGGCCTCCTCTCCCTCCTCATGGACGACAGCAATGGCTGTTCCGATCACGGAGGGGGTGGCGCTAGTCCCATCGACGATCCAACCGTACCGTCATCCTGGCTGTGCTGGCTGTGCTTCTGTGCTAGCTGTTGGCCCTGCCTTGCTTACCCTGTCGGACTGCCCGCCGTGCATATGTGATCGCCCCAGGTCTGGCGCAGGCTCGCCTCGCCTTTCTGAGGCGATACGGCCGTCCTTCTGTCAAAATCGATCGAGTGGAGGCCGAAGACTGGATCCGCCGCGTGAACGAGCAAGGCCCAGATGCAATCTCTTGGCTCTTCAAGGCTGCTAATGAGGACAACCATCCTGCTGGTGAGCGTGCTCTTCACCACCCGCCCGCCTACCCACGATCCCGAGTGTCATTGCAATCATTGGGCCGTTTTACTGTCGCCGGCACGGATCCCTCTGTTCTCTCGCATTTTCTGTCCGCGCTTGCTTCCTCGAACAACTGTTTCGATGGCTCGGCACCTGCCCTAACCCTCGGTGCAATTCCAGCAAACTATGCCCTCGGTGTCTGCTACCACGATGGCGTTGGCGTCAACAAGGATCCCGCGACCGCTGTCTACTACTACAAGCGGTCGGCTGCTGCTGGCCAGCCCCGCGGTGAAGGTCTGTAGCATCGGCAGCATCGGCAGCATCGGCAGCATCGGCAGCATCGGCAGCATCGGCAGCATCGGCAGCATCGGCACGGAGCTTGCTGGGAAGGTCTGCCGTCCCTCCGAATGGACGCGCCTCCCACGGGCATTCCATCGGAGAATCGTTTCTGACATTGCTGGCTTCTCAATCGCTCCAGGCATCCTTGGCTACTGCTACGGCGAGGGCTTCGGTGTGGAAAAGGATGAGAAGAAGGCATTCGAGCTGTATTACAAAGCTGCTAATAGCCGCGAGTCCGTGTCGATGTACAACGTGGCTCACTGCTACGAGGAGGGTGTCGGCGTGACTCGCGATCTCGCGGAGGTGAGCTGTCCGTCTCTGTGCTCATCGTGTCCCGGATCTACCGATCGTCAATGATCTGGGCTTTGCAGTTCATATCCGCTGATACTGACTCATCGATGGCGCGTCTTCATCGTTTCCCAGGCGATCAAATGGTATACCCAGTCGGCCATCTTGGGCAACTGCTACGCCCAGAATAGCTTGGGCTACATGTACGAAGAAGGGCTCGGCGTCGAAAAGAATGAGGGACAGGTAAGCCGTCAGCGATATGGCTGCACGTGCAGCGGCGACATGATCATCGATGCTGGCAGAGCTGCAAGAGCGCACCCTCGATCCATCAGCCGCTCACCCTCAGTCTCGATGCTCGCTTTCATCGTCGCCAACAAGGCCGTGCACTGGTACAAGCTGTCCGGTAAGCTACTCACCTTGAGAGACCGGCTCCACACGGCGGCACTGACCGAAAGTGTCCTCAGCGACTGCCGTTTGAGAGCAAAGAGTGGTAGCTCCAGCCCTGCCCTCGTTCTCACCACTTGTTGCCTTACATGCCCACATTCTCCAGCCGAACAAGGATATCCTTGGGCACAGTGCAATCTGGGATTCTGTCTGCAGAATGGTATTGGTGTGCAGAAGGACGAGCGGCAAGGTGCCTACTGGTACCAGCAGGCCGCCATTCAAGGCCACTCGCGGTAAGCACCACATCCAGTCGGACGTCAGCATGTCTGGCTGGCTGCGAGCCGATCTGACTGACGACTTGCCTAGTTCAGCGCGTGCTGTAGCGTTTCTCGCCAATGGGAATGGGCATTGCAGCTGACACCTGGACTTTGATCCTTGCGACCAGCGCCCAGCACAATCTGGGACACGCCTACCAGTACGGCATCGGCGTCGAACAGAACGAAGCCCTTGGCGTGGAGTGGTACAGGCGATCGGCAGCCGCAGGAAACTCCTTTGCCTTGCATTCTCTGGGGTACTGCTACCAGTATGGCATCGGAACGCCTATTGACGAGCGCATGGCCGTGAGGCTCTACACCGAGTCTGCCAAACTGGGACATGCTCCTGGTAAGTTGATTGATCACCCACCGGCAGTGAATCTCGACCCGCTACATCAGGCCTGCAGAGGTCTTTGCTAACAGTCCTTTGAATCCGTTTGTAGCCCAGCTCAGTCTCGGATGCTGCTATCGCAACGCCATCGGCGTCGAGATGAATCATCAGGAAGCCTTCAAATGGATCTACAGAAGTGCTCGCGGGCGCAATGATCTGGCACAAAACACGCTTGGCCACCTCTACGAAGGTATGCCCGGTCTTGGCTGGGACTGTGGCTGTGACTGTGGCTGTAGGCCCAGTTTGGCTCACTCTGTTGCTGTTCTCGTTATCGCCTTGATCGGCAATAGATGGAATCGGCGTCAAGAAGGACATGAAAAAGGCCGTCTACTGGTATACTGTCAGCGCCAAGCAGGGCAACGTCTGGGCTCTGACAAATCTGGCAGTGCTCTACGCCGAAGGCAAGGGCGTCCGAAAAAATCTCAAAGAGTCAGTGCGTCTGTTGCGCCTGGCAGCCAATGCAGGTGGGTATCTGCGCCTTACTATCGCGTGCTTCTCCTTGCATATGCTGAGCTGCTTCTGGAGCGCCTCTCTCTCCAACGGAAGTGGCTGGGCGACATGTGTATGTCCTTGGTGCTGGTGCTCGATGCTTGACCCGTCACTCACCAAGCACAACCCTAATCGCTCGCTCCAGGCCACACCCGCGCCCAGACAAGGCTTGCTCTTCATTTGATGAATGGAGAAGGATGCAATGTCAATCGCGAAGAGGCTGTTGCCTGGTATGAAAAGGCCGCCAACAACGGTATGTACAATGCCATTAGCATCATTAGCATTATCAGCATCATCAGCATCATTAGCATCGTTAGCATCATCAGCATCATTAGCATCATTAGCACCATTAGCATCACTGTCATCACTGTCATCATTGCTATCCTTGTCGCTCACCTTTGGCTCCTCCCTGCACAGGCTCTGTGACTGCAATGTCGGCTCTTGCGAGCTGCTATGAGCTCGGCATTGGATGCACCCGGAACATCGAAACGGCCATCCATTGGTACGAAAAGGCTGCTGCCTGGGGCGACCATGCTGCCTCGGAGCGCCTGGTCGTGCTGATCGCCAACCCCTCTCTGGCAGATAGCCTGTTCCAGTACGGCTACGTCGCCCCTGCCGCCTGATACTTCCCAGTCCATCTCTGGCTGCGTCTGCTGGGTTGCTGGCCGTTTGGTGGCGACGTCCTCTGTGTCCAAGGGCAGCAACGACCCTGGTTCCTGCTCCTTGCCGCAGCCGTCGTCTCTGTGCTGTTTGATTAGACAGTATGATGGCCCCCGCCAACCTGCAGAACAGAGACACCGGTTGGACGCATTGTCTTTATTTTTCACCTTCTCTTTCTTGACTTTGCTATTCTCTCTGCATTTGTTTTCGTCTCGAAGCGAATGCGCTGTCTGGCGGGCCTCCATGTCTCTGCTCGCTCGTTAATTGCTGATGTGTCGCAGCGCTGTCACTGCCATCCTGGTCACTTGTTTGATTCCTTTGTCTCCTCTCTCCTCTCTCTCTCTCTCTCTGTCTGTCTTGATTATCTTTTTGGTCACCATCTTGCCCTTGCTCTCTTTCTCTCTCTCGCTCGCTCACTCTATCTCGCTGTCTATTCTCGAATCGCTCCTGTCTATCATTATTTTGCATGCGTGCGTCTCCTCTCAGCTGGAGACGTTTGTCTCAACCGTCCCTCCCATCCTCCTCTCGCTCCAACGAACGTCCTCCCTCTCTTTACCACTATCATTTTGCTCGGTTCCACTTGCAGAACATAGAAATTGGAGCACAACAGCACCGCCCGATCTCGGATGACCCTCAATAGCACTTCCGCGACTCACTTGTCTGACCCGCCATGTTTTGATGCTGGCGCAAACGGGTGTGGATGACATGGGCAGCGAACGCCGGTCCCAGAATCATGTCCAAGTGGCACTGACTGTCCCCGTGTTCGTGTTTCGTTGGTTTATCCGCTATTGTGCTTTGCTTCTCACCAAACTACTCTGCTGGTACTCTCTGTGCCAAGGCTTGAGGCGATCAAGAGCCCGGCAGCAGGCCGGTGGAGCCTCCTATGCGACAACGCTTGCGCTCTTTTCTGGCCGCGATGGATCGGCTGCAAAGGCAAGAGCTGCCATGAGTGCACAAAACCAAACACGAACATGTCTGTCGGTCCAAAACACTGCTTTCCACAAAACTGGGCGAATGGCACTGCTTGTGGAGACTAACCTTGGACCAGAATATCGGAATCCGTCGCAAAGTAATACGAAAAGTCTTCCATCGCCATGAGACCACGATAGAGATATCCCCGACTGGATCCGGAAAGTCAGCACCATCAATCAGCACCAGGCAAAGGAGTAACGGTGGTGTGTGGGAGGACTATCTTCCTTTGTCTGCAGCCAGCTCCATACCTTTCGCCACGCTTCAAATACGAGATGGCATCCTTCGGGGTCAGTTGCAGCACTCTGGTGTAGTCGTCTTCGGCTCTTTGATACTCCGCTGGATCGAGGCGACCAGAAAGACATCACTACAACAGTGCAGGTCCGGTCTTTGCTCCTGGCGGGATAGCCAGCCCGCTCGCTCACCCCCATCGATATCGGCACATGCTCACCCATGGACTGGTAGACGTTGGCACGGTTGAAGTAAATCTCGGGCATGTTGGGGGCAAACTTGAGCGCCAGGGACAGATCCTTGATTGAGTTCTCAAAGTCTGCGAGATAACATGAGCCGCGATGACGTTGTGCAAATTATTTGAGCAGATGAGACGGCAGGTTCGCGAAAGCCGTCCGAGCCCGCAAACACGACTCCTCTGCGACGGCCCTGATGCGCTCCTGTCGCCGAGCATGCTGTCCACAGCCAAATCTCAGATGGCTATGGCATGCGCCTCGCTTGTCCAATCACGCTCCGCTTTCAGTGATACAGAGCCATTACCTTTCAGCATCGCATATGTTATGCCACGATTGAGGATCGCCGGTACATCGGCTTTGTTGAGCTTGATAGCCTGGCAGTTGACACATGCATCAGGAACACGCAATTGGGCATTGATTTTTGATGCCAGTGCCAGTGCCAATGCCAGCGCCAGTGCCGAGCTCGTACCTCGGTGTACATGTCGCGCGCCTGCTCCCATCTGCGCTGGTTAAAGTAGAGATTTGCGGCGTTGAAATACGCCAACGCATACTCTTTGTCGCATTTGATGGCCATCTGATAGAAAAGTTAAGCCCGTTCGCCCAGTTAGAATGCCCCACAGTGATCATGAGCCGCGCTGAGGATATCGCTGTGACCGCCTTCGCCCACCTACCTTGTAGTTTTGCAGTGACGATACTTTGTCGTTCAGCGCTTGGTAGATCACGCCTCGGTTCGTCAGGTATTCAGCCTTGTTGGGACAGATTTCGATGGCCTTGCATATGTCCAGGAGCGCGCCAAAGTAGTTCTTCATGGTAAAGTGGACTACCGATCGTCCCTCGAGCGCCGAGGTACAGTTCGCGTCGATGGTCAGAGCCATGGTGAAGAGTTGCCATGCCTGGAATCACCAAAGTCAATATGGTGACCAATTGAAATCGACACCACTGCCGCCCTCAGTCGGGTCCAGCCAGATCTACTGACCTTCTTGTATTTGCCTTCGAGTTGCATTGTGTACGCCATGTTCACGATGGCTGCTGTGCAGTTCGGATACATGTGGATGACCCGTCCGTAGTCTCGTCTGTGCGCACGCAGCGGGGGGGGGTCGCGGTTTGATATACTCAGTATGTCGCTTCGAGGCGACAGTGATCCACTCTGCTCCAGGCGGACAATGCCTGGCTCAGGCTCGACAGAGATCCCTGATTTGGGGTTTGGCTTACCTGGCCAACTTGGTCTCCGATATGGATGCATACACATTTCCACGTCCGAGATACGCCTCGATCATATATGGGCTTACGTGCATAGCCTGTGCACGCCGATGGAGGGGATGGGTCACCTCTACACATTTACCATCCATGCAGCACAGCCACTTGCATCCCACACAGATGGTACGCCGTTGATTGTTGGCCCCAGCATGTGGTCGTTGCGACTTACCGATGTGAAAGCCTCGATGGACTCTTTGATGTAGCCAACTTTTTGCAAGCATAGCGCCAGCAGACCGTGAAGCCGCGCGTCTTGTGGGAAGGTGTTTCGGGCTGCGTAAAGATCTTGGAGAGCATTTTCTGTGTCGCCTTGCTTCCAGTATATGAGTCCCCGGTTACGATAGGCATTCTATACGTGTACCGAAGACAAACTTCCGTCAATCCTGCAGGCATCGCTGATGCATCGCGACTTTGGCCACTTGGACACTTGGCCACCAGACTTACAAAGTCTTCGAAGAGCAGAAGCACAATGCTGTAGTCTTTTATGGCAGATTCATGTGCACCGAGTAGCTGATAGGTCACTGCTCTGTTGTAGAAAGCAAACCGACAAGCCTGGATACGGAGGCATGAGAAAAGAGCAACGGCTTGCTGGCTTAGTCTCATTCTCTCGCACAAATACCCGTGAGGCTGCAACGCCACTGTTTGATCGCACATCCAACCACAGGCCTTCATTCATCTGACATTGTGCGCCATCTGCGAGTTGCATTACCCTATCGAGCTGCGTCGCTCGCGTAAAGTCTTGAATTCCAGCGCTATGCTGATTCAGCTTGCATTTGCATGCGCCGCGCAGCAAAAACGCCCGGATGCTTGTTGGCTCCAGCTTCAAGGCTTCGTTGCAGTCGTCGATGCTGAGATTGTAATCCCCTAGAGTTGCCGACAAAGTGAAGGTGATACACGATGAGTATGCGCACAAGTGCACCAGCCATCCAGAGATGGGTCAGGAACCAGAGCGCGCTCGTTGCTTCGTGGCGGCGACACGCCCACTTTCTGTCGCTCTCATAGCGGTGAGTTCCATATCGGACCGGACCTTTGGAGTGGTAGTACGATGCACGAGTGAGATAGGCCTCAAAGAACTGTGGGTCGTGCTTCAGTGCTCTGTCCAGGTCTGCGACACCGCGTGGGTTGTTTTCGTGGATTTTGCATATGCCTCTGTGGTGATAGGCCTGGACATCGAGCAAGCTGTCAGTAGGCGGCAGCAGCCGTTTGCCATACATGCCGTGCAATCGATCAGTTGATGGCACGGATGTCCGCACCCATACCTTGGCGTATGTTGGGTTCAGCACCAGGCACTTGCTGAACTCTTGCGAGGCGCTGGCCCAGTCTTTGAGATTTTCGTAGCATATACCGCGCTGCAGGTAGATCTGCGGCTCTTTGCGGTTGTACTCCGCGGCCTTGGCAAGGTCCTGCAGGGCACCTGAAATGAAGAACAACGTGAGCACGAGCCATTGTAAGCCACTGCAGATGCAGCCCTGGTCCTGCGCAAGCCAAGCTGCGATCACGATCCAATGGAATGGCTGGTCGCTACCCCATGATGTTGGGGGAGAGCGGCGACTGTTCCTCACAGTTTACCTTCGTTGTCATTGCACTTGACCTTCGCCTTGGCGATCAACATGTAGAGCGCCGGATCGTCGATGTTCCCGATCTTGCAGCGGATGTTGAACTCGTCGATGATTTGCTGGTATTTTCGCTGGAACGACAAAACCAGCGCCCTCTGATCATCGGTGATTCGTCACTTTTGTTCAGTACGGCGTGTGCCTGGACTATTGTCCTCCAAACAATATGCTCGACGTGGCTGGGCTGCATCGTGCCCCGCAGTATCCGGGACACCGGTCGTCGTACCTGAACAAATGTCTGTGCAATTCCCGAGTTGAGCTCGAATGCGGCGCGAAAGTCGTGCGTGGCCTCTTTCATGTGGCTGCCAGTAGGTATGCAGGAGAGTTCGTCAGAAATGCGCAGGTGTTGAGCGCGCATTGCGGCGGAGGCTCATCACCAGTCCATAGACATTGCTTCAGAGCGGGCCTATGCACATCGACGGCATTGATGTTCTTTCCCTTTACCTCATTTTTAAGAGCAAGCGTCCCCGGTAGAGATACAGCAGATAGTTGTTTGGACACAAGTGAATTGCTCTGGAGTAGTCCTTGATTGCCCTGTCGATAAAGTTCATATTCATCTTTCGCTTGATACGCTTCTCGATCAGCATGACGTCTGTGATCTCTCCAAGTGATTTATGATAGAGCATCTGGTACAGGTCTCCGCGGCACAGATACGCCGGAAGCTTGACGGGATCGTACTGGATCGCCTTGATGAAGCAGTCGAGTGCCTCGCCGTAGTCGTGGAAATACTTCAACTGAATCAGACCCAGACTGAGGTATGCCGATGAGCTTGTCGAGTCCAGATCCAACACTGAACCGGTGTCATAGCGAGGCGGGGCAGCATAGAGCTATTAGTTCCGGCTCGTGAGTCCGGGAGACGGCACGGCCGGACTGGATCGCTTTCCTACCTGAGGTGTAATCGGCAGCGGCAAGCTCGTACTTGCCAAGCTTGTAGTAAAGCACAGCTAGTACCCATTCCAGCAGAATAACGTCGCAATATCAGTGCCGGGCCCAGTAATTGTGCGTCGCCAAATAATATACCCTGATCATCACCATGCGTTGCCGGCGATTATGCAGCGCAAATAGATGCAAAACTTGGTCGTGTTGTGGGCTTTGGAGCGCGTGTTACCTCTCTGATAGAACGCCTGTGCGTTCGCGTGGCTGTCGTCGAGTAGGATAGAGATGCTAAAGTCATCGATGGCGCGGCGCCTGTTCCTCTCACGCAACAGACACCCACGGTGAAAGAATATGTCGGCTTGATCCGGTGCCATTTGCACAGCAGTTGTGAGGTCCTGTGATTGTATAGATGTGTGGTGGTTAGTTGGCGTCAAGTGAATGTGGTGTATAGAAACGCTGGTCGTTTCCTTGGTTAGAATGACAACGACTACACGTAGCAACCGCCCTGGGGGGACCCAACGCGACTGAAAATACCACACATGCACCGCTTTGGCGATACGACTTCCCACCTCAAGCGCATCGTCCCACTTGGAGAGGGCCGCGTACGCTCGTCCCCGGAAAGCATACGCGGGTCCGTTCTCTGGATTGAGCCTGAGCAGCTTCGTGAAAGCCACTATTGAGTCGTCCCAGAGCTGCCTCCGAAAGCTGTAGGCGGCCAGGTTGTAGATGGCGTGCTCGTTGAATGGGTCGAGCTTACGGACCATCTTGAAGTCCTCGTTGGCATATACGTTTTCCTGAGCCACCGCACATCCGCATGAGGTTCCGCATGAATGATCGGCGATAGTCGAGGAAGGCCAGAATCCAGCAGCACATCTTATCTATCGCATTCTAGCAACCCACGCCGGCTCCAAAATTGCCGACAGCCTTGCCGTCGCTGTTACTGCTGCTCTTACGTGCTCAGAATCAAATAGGCAAGCTCGGTGATAGTATCCATCTGGATCTTCAGGTTTGAGCTTGATGACCTGAGAGTAGTTGACGATCGCCAACCGGATTTGCCCTGATTATCGAACGAACCCTCGATAAATCAGCATGCGTCATTGCCGCCATAATGGGGGAATAGTCTGAGCTATGTTCAAACACAGCCCTCATATGACAGGTACATTGGCTCCCACTGACTTGCACTCCACTCGAGTATGAGCTAAAGCTCGGCGATACCAGCGATACCAACGATACCAGCGATACCAGCGATACCAGCGATACCAACGATACCAGCGGCTCATACGGTGTCAGCACCTGGCGACGTACCAATCTCCTCGTATATGCGCGCCTTAGTCTGGAATGCCGCAAAGTGCTGCTTGTTGTTTTCGGTGATAGAGTCCAGGTCCTTGAGGGCGTACTCGACATTGTTGCGCTTCAAATAAAGTTGGTGCCGATACCAAAAGGCATCCGAATTGAAGGGATCTAGTATCCCAGAGGATCAGCATCACAGCGGCCACCAGCCGGATGAAACAGAGTGTATGCACACCGCCGGCCACGTCGTGCGGGATCATGAATGTGTGAAGATTCACCCATGACCATAGCTGTAGCAGCGCAGATATCACCTCCAACCCTGAATTGAGGGTCCGATACTGACCATACTGAATCGATTTGGACAGATCATCCAGCGCATCGTCATAGTCGCCCCTTCGACTGCACAGGATGCCTCGGCGCCGCAGATACGCCGGAATCGGGACACTGGACATATCGATGAGCCCCGTCAGCTTGTTGATTTCATCCTCCAGCTCGTTGTCGTCCATGGCGCTGCTCTCGTTGATGGCGGGATACCGAGCCATTTCCTCCAGAGTCAGGGTGCTGCGCCGCTTGACACTGTGGATAATGTCGTACATGGTTGCGCCATTGGGTGGGTTCACGGTACCGGCGTTGGCGTTGTAGACATTCGCAAGCCGGCCGATGGTAATGTTTTCTTCGGGCGACCACTTGGGCCGCCGTATCGCCGGGTGCTCGTCGATGATGTCCGATATAGCGTCACTGGGTTCTCCCGAGTCAGCGACGCTGGATCTGTTTGTAGTCGTGTTGGCGGTCGATGCACGCGGGGCGGTGTTGGCTGTCGAGGCTCTGGTTGCGGTGTTGGTCGAGGATCTCATTGCACTTGTGCCCGAAGTGTTTGCCGTTTTGGCTGTATTTGCGGTCGAGACTCGGGTTTCGGGAGCATCTTCTTTGGGCTGGGTTTCGTCCTCAGGGGCCATATCTTGAACCGAATCGGGCTTTGCGGAATCTTCGGTCGAGGCCACCTCGGCACTGGCTGAGTAGCGGGCACTCTGTTGTCGCGAACTAACAAACGACGAGCCTTGCGATTCGTACTCGGCAGTGAAAGCAGAGACGGGTCTGGACGACGAAGCCTCGCTTGACCCTGATGCCTGTAACCTCCGCAAGGGATGGCTGGCGCTGGATCGCTTCCGCCGCCGGTAGAAGGAGATTGGGTCTTCGCGTGGCTCGTGGTGCAGATCAGACTTTTGTCGTGAAACAGGGCGTCGGCGAGACGAAGTCCTCTGCAGCGGAGTCGGGGGCTTGGTGGCCGGCTCCGAGTGGGTCGTGGCGCTGTTTTTGCGCCTGGCCTCGCCCGATGATGTCTCGGACTTGTGCTGAGCAAGCAGTCCGTGGGATGTTCGTCTCGATGAGGGTGGTTCTATGGGATGAGTTTGGATCCGCGAGCTCGATCTCGATACACTGGCGGTAGGGAACTCGATGCTCACAGTCGGGGCAGAGTGAGGACCACTTCCACCGCTTGACTCCCCGTGTTTTGGCTTTGGTGTTGAGGCGCTACCTCCATCTTCCTCGCGAATGACCTGGAACTCATCGTTCTCGGACATGGCTCCGTCGTCGACCATTGACATGGCGGTCATATCGTCCAGCTCCACAAGATTGCCGAAGCCATCGCGATCTTGGGACAGAGGCTCGACCACGTCCTCAGCCTCCTCGACATCCATAGCATCGCTTTGGGCATATGCTTTCCCCTCGGCCTCGGCTTCCGGTGAGCCGCTGGGAGCAACGGGCTCGTAGTGCGCATGGACCTTGCCTGCATCTGCAGTCGTTGAGTCCCAGGGTGTGGGTGCAAACAGCATCTCGGGTCCAATCCACGGCGCAAATGAGGTCGCCTGGCCTCGCACGCCGCTCGAGCTGGCGTGTGCTGGAAGCGATAGATCGACAACGCTCTCAACCTCCATGCTGGGCTGCTGCTCTTCCAGTGGCTCGCGCTCAGAGTCAGCTGGGTAGATGTCCATCTCTTTGTGGAAATCGGACACTGCCAGTCCTTCAGCGTCGTCCTGTTCGTCTGGTACGATTGGGGAGTCGGAGATTTCGGACCCGTCGATGTTCTGGAAGCGCAAGAGAGGCATGTCAGAGCCAGTATATGCCAACACGAGCAGGCATCGGCAGACAGGAAACCACAGGAATAACCATCAGCAGGTGTGAGCAGACACGGCGGAGCAACAGACTGCGTCATGGGACCTGTTCCACAGATCCGTACCATCCCGGGATCGGCGTTTGCGTCCGCACTCGGTTTGGGACTGGGACTGTTTGGAATCGAATGGGTGTGTTGGTAAAACTGCACGGGCAGGGCTAGTCTGTCGGCTGCTGGAACCCAGTTCATGCCGAGCGAAGTGGAGCCGTGGCCGATCTGGAGTGGCTCCATTGGCACAGTCTTTCCATCGATCTGTCAACAAGATCAGCCATGAAACAGTTACAAAGGTGAATATCGGAGCGGCAGGGGCGAAAACAGTCTTGGCTTGACGGGAAGGGATCGGGTACTATTGTGGTAAACATGGACACCACAACAACAGCGCATGAAGCTCACCACCAGCTTGGCTACTCGAGGGGGCTGTCGACTCGCTCCTTTGGTAGGGTAATATGGAGCATGTTTCAGCGAGTCCGAGGATGACGCACGAGCCAGGTAGTCTGCCTCTGGGTCCCACGGGTATTGCTCATAATCATGTGGGAAGATCTTGTGGATATCGTCACTATGAGTGGATCGATGTCGAGGGCGATCAGCGAGAGTCGCGGAGCATATTCTCAGTATCACAGCTTGACTCGGTCGGTATCAGCGCATTCACAGTGGCTTGATGCTACAATCCATTCGCTATGCAAACGCGGAGACCCCAATGGCCTCACAGACAAGCGAGCCGGAGGACTCCCTGTGGACATAGGCAGCATAGCCCCTGTGCTTTGCCCACCTACATTCTAGTATCGGGCTCCGGTGGCAGCTCCTTGGTGTTCTCCTCGCCGACAGCAGCGCGATGTGGCTCATGAGTGCGCGGTTGATAGTTGGCAAGGAACTCGTCGGGCATGTAAAGTTTGCCAAAGGGCAACTCGGGCATTTCACCCGTGCCAAAGACGGACTTGTGTGCTTTCATCGGTCTCATCGATGCAGCATCGCGCAGCTGCCGCTTCCGATTGGCAACAATGCTCTTCAGCGAGGTGACGATCATCGTTTTGCGCACCATCGATAACGAGTCTGATATGGATCCCGAGAGACACATACGCCCGGGGTTAGTGTCGTTGGTCCTGGGATGTGCTTGCTGATTATGGCATGCGATTGCAAACATTATATCATGCAGTAGCGAGAAGCATACCTTCAGAGGTTTGCGAGTCCCGCGATATGCTTTGTCGCTTTGACGTGGGATCCTCGTCCTCTGCTGGGCCCGCGACTGCGACGACAACAACGGGATCACGCGGGGAAGGCTGGTCTGGCGCCAAAGCCTGCTCTTGATTCCAAGGCGAGACATCGGGATTGAGGGTGGACTCGACCTGGCTTCGGCCTTCTCCGCCACTCTCGTCGAGTGCATCGGAGGAATGGAGCTGCAGGGCTTCGGTCGAAAAGGTGACTGTTTTGTTCGGGGCCGCGGAGGCAGCACCGTTGCTTGTTTCGGCCGGACTGGTGCGGATCGAAAATGGATCAATCTCTGGATAGTCGCCTCGGCTCTCAAGAGGATGCAATTCGCCGTCAGGACCACCCGGAATGCTCTTGAGATAAGACTCGACAATGTGGTCGTTGATATCGATACGCAGGGGCTGGTCGTCAGGGTCGCGCATATCCTCCCGGTCATACTCGCCCTCGTGGAAGATGACCTGGACGATGCGGTCGGGCGGCTCGGCCCGGGAAGGATTTGGCTCCTCACTTGCTGAGTTGGCAGCGATGTCTTCGGCGCTTTCCTGGACGCTCGTCTCGCCCGAGGCTTGCTCCTGGTCTCGATTATCATCCAACCCAGCGTCTTGGCTGTTGGGCTCGCGCGGTGGGTCAGGCTCGCCACTTGCTTCGAGAAGCGGCAGGTTCTTGAGCCGGCGCTCCTTGGCTTCGATGGCAGCCATGTACTTTTTGATAACGTTGTCGACATCGTCGATGGTCTCAAAGTGGTAGATTTCGAGATCATCTTCATCGGGACCCTCGACAATCTGCGCATGCTCGCCATTGGCGGACGCAGTGCCTTCTTCATGGTTCGGCAGGAAGGAGCGTATGACGGTCGACCGACCGCTTTTCTTGGCCACCGATTCAGCGCGAGGCCCAGAGTCGTCCGGTGCCTCCTCAGGTACTTCGGATATGCGCTCTGGCCGCACACGCGAAGCCCGAGTGATGGTGCGTGGGGTGCGGGAGGCTTGGGTGGGCTTGGACTCTGGTGCACTGCCGGCAAAGGTCTGGCCGACGAGCAGGACCTGGAGAATCTGGTCTTGGCAAGGGTCTCGTTGGTGGGTGGTCGTGGGAACGTTCAGGCGGCCGGTGCTTGCTTGGCCAAAGGACCGATCGTGGCTGCACTTGCCGAGGCGCCAGGTCAGATCAGCCTGGATCGACCCGACTGGGCCTGTTGAGGGAGGACAGTCACTCAGATCTTCCAGCGAATCCTCGCTGTCGCCGGGAGAGAGCACCCTGGCATCCAGCAGCACAGTGTGCTGTCGGGGCGGCGGTGGCTTTGAGGCTGCATCCCTGGGAGTGACGGGGCCTCTCCGAGGCTCCAAGACGGTCGTATCCGCACGCACAGGCCTGCGCGTGGATTTGGGGACTGTGTCGAGCTGCTTGGTCGATCGGCGATTCTTCCAGGCCGACAGGACGTGCGATGCATCGCCGGCCTTGAGCTGGCTGATTTTCGGGATGATCGATGGGGCTGGAGTTGCCGGCGTTGTCGGCAGAGTACCGATGGCAGACGGAGGGCTGTCCGAACACGCCAGCGCAGTCGAGGGATAGGATCAGTCTCAGCTGCAACCGGGAATGCATTTGGGCAGAATGCTGCTGCTGTTGCTGCTGGAGTGTCTCTGTGTCTCTGTCTCTCTGTGGCGAGCGGCTGCTGTGGAAGGTTGGCCAGCAGACCGAACTTTGATAACACCGCCGTGTGGGTTTCTCACCAACCAACCAACCAACCAACCAACCAACCAACCAACCGACTGACGCACGCGATTCCGGCTTGCTCCCGCACCCCTCCCCGCCGCATTGTCCTCGCACTGGTCTCTGCTCAGGGCCTCTCTCGGAGTGCTTACGGTCTCTCATCGACAGAGCCCTCTGGCCTGGGCAGAGGCGGCAGGCTCTTGTGGTCGGGGAGCTGGAGGGCTGGCTGGAGGGTCGGCTGGGCCTCTGGCGACCGGCACGCGAGCCGGGCAGTATCGATGGCCTGGCCGATGATGGCCGAGATGTCCTTGCCGGCCTGGACAACATCCCTGGCATGAACGGCGGCGGTCAGCATGGAGAGGCTATCTGCGCCATATCGGGCCGGCTCGTGGCAGAAGCGCGACCGGGGGGCTTACTTTTTCTTGACGGGAGGATCCATGCGATCAAGGGGCTGCTCGCGTCGTGTGTTTGTGCTGGCTGCTGGGCGACCGCAGAGGCTTCTGGGGAGGAGGCGATCTGGCAGCGGAGGAACACTGGCTGGCTTGGCACAGCGCCGGCCATGGCAATCACAGTCCAGGCACACGTGCGGGGCGTGCGAAAGACCACCAGCAAGTGCTGCAGTCCGGAGCAGAGCGGCAGAGCAGCGCTGTGGACTGGAGGGAATGTCAGGCGATGTGTCCCATCAACCCACGCCGCATCCGTTCATGCACAGCGAGGTGCTTGCAGAGACATTGCAGTATCGGCAGCATCGGTCTGTCCCAGATGGCTTCTTCTGCAAGACTCGTCCGGGGCAGCGGGGGGGGGCATCGAGATGGCGGGCTGCCCTCTGGTGGCGTATGCTCTCTGGCCGTGCAACGCTCGTGTCGCCAGCGATAGCAGCCAGCGCTGATCCCACCGACGCTTCAGTGACGCTTGAGCGACGCGGCTGGTTGCAGCGACCATGCACCGGCGGGCGAGCGAGCGAGAGGGATAGCTTGGATTCCAGAGAGGCGGCCGCCGGCAGCAGCGTTGCGCTGTTGTTTGTCCACGGCACGATCATGGGCAGTAACAACAGCAGTAATAGCAGTAACAACAGCAGTAACAACAGCGGCATCGACACCAAGATCGGCAGCAGTGGGCCATCAACGCCTCCTCCCCCCATGCACACCCGGCAATGCCAGGCCACATCCAGGACCCGCCCAGGAATGCACTCGAACGTGCTGGCGCAGCCGCTCCGGGGCACAACGACAGTGGCCACAATGCTGCATGCACCAGCACCCGCAATAACACCCGCAATAACACCCGCAATAACACTTGCACTTGCACCCGCAATAACACTTGCACTTGCACTTGCAATCCGTCGACACAACAAGCAGCACCGGCACTCGCACTGTCAACAAACAGCAGTCCATCGACACCAACCCAACACCAAATCGGCACCCAATCGTCCAATTCGCAATGTCCTGTCTTGCCGTCCCTCCCCACCAAGCCCTGCGCTATCGCTTCGTCGCCGTATCGGCTTGCCTTGTCCTGTGGTTCCTCCGCGTTGCTTGATCGTGCCATCGTTCCCGTTGCTCCCCAGCACTCCCCCTCCTCAGCGTCCTCGCCGTCCGTCTTGATCTGCCTGCTCGTTTCGGTCGTCTGCCCTGGTCGTCTGCCCTGGTCCTTAGCCCTGGTCGCTGCCTTGCTCGTCTCCCTGTCGGCTGCCCGCCTGTCTCGCTGGTCCGTCCTGGTCCAATCCCCACAGCCACCTCCCCCGGGACCCCGCCTGCTCTCGTCCGCGTTATCGCCGATCCCAACAGCAATCCTCCTTCCGCCTGGACCACCCATTCGCTGCGGTTCGTTCGTCCGCACGCTGTCCATCGCTCTTGCCTTGCCCTGCTCTGCATCCTGCCCATCAGTTCAACCCCAGTTCAGCCTCGCGATCCCATCCATCTGCCAGCTTGTACTGACCTGCCATCCTCTCCAACAACAACAACAACAACGCCCCTGGCCAACAATACACCTACTTGGGTATCCTGGCCTCCACTCTGCCACGATTCCTTTGTCATCTCCAGCATTTGTCAAAGCCCTCGTCAAAGCCCGTCCACGCTGCCAAGACATTACATTCCGAGCTCTGACCCTATCGCAAGCCCTCGTACACAGTCGAATCGCAATCCAGTTCTCTTCGCCTCGGTCTGCCATCCCGCTCGTCCGCTCTCAACGATACCATGTCTCCGGCACCTCAGACCTCCCGAATCGTGGTGGTGACGCACTTGTTGCCACACACTTGCTACCTCTCCAGCAACGAATCGCTCGGGCCATACCATCGCACATCGTCCACGACCCAAAAGTCCGGTCTTCCTGCCGATTTCGCCCACGGCTCTCCTCCGAAATCCGCTGAGCTCAATGGCCTCCTCGACGGCTCCGGAGCGCCCAACTCGTCCGATCGCAAATGGAGATACGGCCAACGTCGCGGCCACACGGCTCTGTTCTCGGCCATCGGTTCCCTGAGCGAAGACCATGACGTCGTCACCATCGGCGGCACCGGCCTGTGCTTCGACGAGCACCAGGAGCCCCTTCGACCCTCGGACCTTCCCGCCGATCTCCTCGACGCTCTCTCGGAGGAGATGCTGCTGTCCAAGAAGTGTATACCCGTGTTCTTGAACGACAAGGAGAGCCAGGGCCACTATGAGGGCTACTGCAAGACGAACTTGTGGCCGCTCTTTCACTACCTGCTCCGCGATTCCGCCACCGACGGCACCAAGGAGAAGGACGACTTCAAGCACTACGAAAGCGTCAACCAAAAGTACGCCGATGCTCTGCTCAAGGCCTATCAGCCGGGCGATCTGATTCTCGTCCAGGACTACCACTTGTTGCTGGTTCCCTCCATGATCCGCAAGGCTCTGCCGCACGCCGCCATCGTGTTTTTCTTCCACGCTCCCTTCCCAAGCTCGGAGATCTTCAGATGCCTTCCTAGTAAGTACGCAGCATCGCTATTTGTCGTTGGCTGACCGACCGCTCTCGTTGGCCACTTGACCGTCGTCGTTAGCCGGCTCGTCTTGCCAGTTGTTTGCTGGATGGTTGGTAGAGTCCTTTGTTTTGCACTCTTCTTACTCTTCCGCTCCATTCATCTCTGCTTTGTGCCTCAGGACGCCAGGAGATCCTTTCCGGTGTGCTCGGCGCCAACCTCGTTGGCTTCCAAACCTACTCCTACGCCCGCCACTTCATCAGCAGCTGTACCCGTGTCTTGGGTCTTGAGTCCACCCAGCGCGGCGTTGAGTTCAACGGAGCCCAGGTCCACATCGGCGTCTTCCCCATCGGCATCGACTCCAACCGTGTCCTGGCCCGCCGGTGAGTCAGCTCAGCGTCGATTGTGATATGGCGGGGGACCCGACAGCGGCTGGGGCGCGCCTAACTTGGAGAGTCCATGTATCTGACCGTGATATCGGCTATGTTCCTGCAGAAACACCCAGCGCGTCAACGAAAAGATCGCCACCATCCGCGAGCTCTATGCCGACAAGATCATAATCTTTGGCCGCGACAAGCTCGACACTGTCAGCGATATCCACAATAAGCTCAATGCCTTTGAGAAGTTCCTGACGCTCTATCCCGAGTGGGAAAACAAGGCATGGATATGCCGGCGGCCCACCCTCATCGCCTGCAGCGCTCTTTGATCTGCGGGCTCTTTGATCTGCGTGCTCTTTGATCTGCGTGCCGTCGCTGGAGAAGGCTGTTAGCTGATGCCTGTCTGCATCTCTCAGGTTGTGCTCATCCAGGTCACGTCCCCAGCGCACAAGGACGGCCACAAGATCGAGGCCAAAATCTCGGAAGCAGTTGCCCGCATCAACGGCAACTTTGGGTCGCTCGAGTTCGCTCCCGTGCACCACCATATGCAGCACCTCGACCAGGACGACTACTACGCCTTGCTCAGCGTAGCTGATGTCGGTTTGATTACCTCTCTGCGAGATGGTGTGAACACAACCTCGCACGAGTTTGTGCTCTGCCAAAGCGAGAAGCACAGCCCGCTCATTCTCAGCGAGTTCACCGGAACGGCTGGGTCTCTGAGCTCAGCGATCCTGGTCAACCCATACGACTATACCGTAAGCGACTCGCTTCTCGCAGTGTCAGTCCGCATCGTCCTGCCCAAGCCGCGTGGCGGTGCAGCATGGCGGTACAGCATGGCGGTACATGCAACTGCCAATATCCATCGGATGGCGCTGTGCACTCGAATGCCATACATCTAACTCGCTTTGCATTCGCTGATCGCAGGGTGTCGCCAGTGCCCTCAACGATGCCCTGACCATGTCCCAGGATGAGAGAGAAACCAAGTACCAGGTATGTATCCAGGCTTGACTTCCCCTTCCTCTGTTTGCGTGCTGTCGCCGAGGCCGCTGCTGATACGCCCACGTCGTGCATCCGCAGCAACTCGCCGAGCACGTCAATCGCAATACCGCCAAGTACTGGGCGCAGTCGCTTGTCTCCGAGGCCGAAAAGATCATTAAGCTTCCGTCCCAAGCACTCCCGACGCCTTTCCTGGACTTTGACAGGGCGATCGAGTCCTATCGGAGTTCTACCAAGCGGCTGCTCATGTTCGACTATGATGTACGTGAGCCTGGCTTTGTCTCGTGCCAGTCCAGAGCGCTTATCGAGCAATCTGCCTGTCGCTGGCACGGTCTCCAGCGAGCTCTGTCTGCTCATCGCCAAAGGCCGTAGCCTGTGTCGACAAGCCCCGCACTAATGCCTCCCTCTATCCACAGGGCACCCTCACCCCAATCGTCAAGCTCCCCAAGGATGCGCTCCCGCCACCGGCAATGCTCAAGGCCATGGAGGTCATCGTGAGCGACCCCAAGAACTACTGCTTTGTTATCTCTGGCCGTGACCAAGCGTTTTTGGAGGAGCATCTCGGCCACTTGAAGGGGTTGGGTTTCAGGTAAGCTGGGGCGGCATGTCAAAGCGTCTGTTCTACGCCTGTGCTCGCTGGGGGGCGTCAAGCAAATACACCTATGCTGGAACTCTGGGGCTCGCATGTCCGAAAGCGAATCGTGTCTCACGGCTGTTCCTATTCCTTGACCATCGACGATCGCGACGGCAACAGCGCTGAGCATGGCAGCTTCGTGCGCTTCCCATTTACCAAAGAATGGAAGAACATGACCGAGAACCAGGACCTGTCGTGGAAGAAGCAGGTCACCGAGATCTTTGACTATTACACCGAACGCACCCAAGGTAAACCATTCAAGAGATCGCGTGGCACTGACTGATGAGCGCTGACCATGTGGACGGACAGCAGGACGACACATGCCTTTTCCCTCCGTCTCTGCCGCGCTAACGCTTTCTGGTGGCTCTGGCAGGAACCTTTGTCGAGCACAAAAAGAGCTCCATCACCTGGCACTATCGGCTTGCCGACCCTGACTACGGTATCTTCCAAGCCAAGGAGTGCCAAAACCATCTGGAGAACTCGGTCCTCCGCCAGCTCCCCGTTGAGATCCTGGTTGGCAAGAAAAACCTGGAGGTAAGCAGATTGCTGCTCGGTTTCAGTTGCGGATGGGGCGCCTCGTGTGATTGAGACGAATGAGCAAACCCAGAGCGGACAAAGCTCAGTTGCCAGCGCCCTGTCGGCTTGGTGTGTGTGTGATTGAAATCGTTGACCGGCAGTCTTGGATTGTCTGCTGACGATGCCGCAATTCTTTTGGCCCAGGTTCGCCCCGTGTCCGTCAACAAGGGCGAGATCGTCAAGAAGCTTCTGTCTATTCGCGATGGATCCGAGTTTGTGATCTGCGCCGGCGACGATCGCACCGACGAAGACATGTTCACTGCCCTCCGTCAACCCCACCTCGACCAATCCCACATCTACTCGACAACCGTGGGTCCCTCCACCAAGAAGACGATGGCGTCGTGGCACGTCCCGGACCCTGCCACCCTGATCGAGCTCATGGAGCACTTTGCCGAGGAGAGCCGCAAGGACATGGCCCCGCAGCCCGACCAGTGAGGGCGTTGCACCGCAGCCACGATTGCCTCGGCAGTGTCAATAGCCTTCAATGCATAGTCTGTAGATCAGGGCGAGCTCACATGCGCCGCAACTTTTGTCGCTCGGACAGGTCCTGGAGTCCCTTCTTCCCCCTCCCCAAGTTCTCCTTCATTCCCCCGCTTTGTTTCCTTCCTTTCCTTTGTTTCGCTTTTTAACTTTTGAATAGCCTGGCTCCTGTCTCTTTCCAAAGGAGAAGGACGCCTCCGAATGGGGTAATTTTTGAATCGCTCTTCCTGTCGTGGGCGATCCTCGCCGATTGTACGAGAATGGACATTGTTATATCTCCCGGGGATGCATCCGGGATCGACCGGCTCCCCTCCCTACTTCATCAACCGCTTCGTAATCCCTCCTTCCGCCTTCCCTCTTCCCTGTACTGCTATCGGCGCTTTGAATCTCCCTGAAAATACCGATGGATTGTTCCAAGTTTTAGATGAAGGCGCCAGCACCCATCTCCGTGCCGCCCTGGCCAGCGGTTGCTGCTGTCTGGACCCTGAATACACATGCAATTTACCGGAAACATGGCTCGGTCGCGGCGAATCCTGACACCGATAGAGACTTGCTTTGGATTGTCCTCGCAGCCCCGACAACTGCCAGGGATTCCGTTCTCCGCGGAGGTGTCTGCGCCATCCCTGTCATGCTCTGCGCCATCTCCGTCACCGTCTTCGCCGTCGCCGTCGCGTTGTCGCCCCTGCTTGGCCACAGACACACACACACCCGTTCTGGGCCTTTCCTCCATGCTGCGCGCTGCGCCACGCAATATGCCCCGATGTGGCGCACACGTGTCCCGCCGCTTCCGTGTCGTTCTGTGCAGCCGCCGCCACGCGCGCGTGTGTGTGTGCGCCAGATCAGAAAATTACGAGCATATATTTTCTCGGGTCGGGCCACCGCCAGGGCGGCTTTTTTTCTTCTCCACTCTCGGTAGTCTCTCTCCCTCTGGTCCTTCCTCATCGAGCCGACTTGCACACCATGGCCCCCTTTGGTGTAAGTGTGTCCTGTCTGCCGGTCTGCATGTGCTGCCGGGCCATGTTCCTCCCTCCGTCTGCTGCCTCGGGCCTTCTGCCTGATCCAGCGGCGTCGCGTCGCCGCCGTCGTTCTCAGACTTTACTCCTGGACTAAACGATCTCTCGTCCGATCGGCTGCTGCTGCTGCTGCTGCTGCTGCTGCTGCTGCCGTGGCCTCGACCCTGATGTCGCTGCTTTGGCCCTCCAGAAAATCTACTCCTGTAAGTTGTCGCTGCTATCCTCCGCTCAAGATCGTCGCGCATCAGTGACACAGCTTTTGGCCTGCCGCCTGAGATCTTGACAAAGCCCTCCCTGCTCCTTTTTCTTGGCCGCAGACCCCAACAACCCCCGTGTTGCCAAATCCCTCATTGCCGCCAAGTACAACGACATTGAGATCGAGCTCGCTCATGTCGATATTGGTGTGACCAACAAGGTCGGTCCGGCTGCCCATCCCCATCGATGGTCTTTGCCTTTGACTTTCGCTTTGCCTTGCGTCGGATGCTTACGCTTCGTCCCTCTGTCTGGTTCTAGACCCCCGAGTTCCTTGCCAAGTTCCCTCTCGGCAAGGTCCCCACGTTCGAGGCTGCCGATGGCTTCACTCTCTACGAGTCCAACGCCATTGCCTACTACGTTGCTGCCGCCAAGGAGGGCACCCAGCTCCTCGGCAAGAACAAGAAGGAGTACGCCAAGATCCAGCAGTGGATCCAGCTTGCCGACAACGAGCTCTCCCCTGCCCAGGCCACCTGGCTGTTCCCCATCCTCGGCTGGATCCCCAACGTCCCTGAGAACACCGCCAAGGCCATCGAGGACACCAAGAAGGTCATGGCTCTCCTCAACAACCACCTCCTGAACCACACCTACCTCGTTGGCGAGACCATCACCCTCGCCGATATCACCGTCCTCACTGCCCTCCTCAACTTCTACCGTCTTGTCTTTGACGCCCCCTTCCGCGCCCAGTACAAGAACGTCACCCGCTGGTTCGTCACCCTGATCAACCAGAAGAACTTCAAGTCGGTTCTTGGCGAGGTCCCTCTTGCCGAGAAGGTCGCCGTTGCTGGCTCGTACGTCGCCCCTCCCGCCCCCAAGGCTGCTGCCCCCGCCCCCGTTGCCGAGAAGAAGGCCGAGAAGAAGGAGGAGAAGAAGGCCGAGAAGAAGGCTGAGAAGAAGGCTGAGAAGAAGGAAGAGAAGAAGGAAGAGAAGAAGGAGGAGAAGAAGAAGGAGGAGAAGAAGAAGCCCAAGAAGGAGGAGGAGGAAGAGGAGGAGGAGAACTACGAGGACGAGGCCCCCAAGGGCAAGAACCCCCTGGATCTCCTCCCCAAGTCGTCCCTGAACCTCGAGGACTGGAAGCGCTTCTACTCCAACAACGACACCATCCCCACCGCCACCAACTGGTTCTGGGAGCACTTTGACGCCGAGGGCTACACCATCTACAAGGTTGCCTACAAGTACAACAGCGAGCTCACCCTCACCTTCATGTCTGCCAACCTCGTCGGCGGCTTCTTCCAGCGCCTCGAGAAGGCCCGCAAGTACGTCTTTGCCACCCTCCTCATCTGCGGTGAGGACAACAACAACGAGATCTTTGGTTACTTTGTCTGCCGCGGCAGCGAGGTCCCCGCCGAGGTCATCGATGCCCCCGACTACGAGTCCTACACCTTCGAGCGTGTTGATCACAACGACGCCGAGATCCGTGACGACTTCAACCACGTCATTGCCTGGGAGCCCAAGGGCAAGAAGTTCTGCGATGGCAAGACCTTCAAATAAGCAGGCCGCTGCGCCGTGCTTGCGCCGACTGCGTGCTTGATGGATACAGCCATACAAACCGAAATAGGAGCTCCCTTCCCTGTTTTCTGAGCGCGGACGGTGGCTTTTTTCTCTGGGTCCTGAATACACACCCATCCACCATGACCAGAAATACCGTTCATTCATCGCTATCGAGGGACAATCGTACAGTCCGCCCGTGATGATTGCATATGTCCCTCGCTGGGTTTGAAAGCAACGGTTGTTGTGCCAACAGCGCAAGCGGGCATTCTCCCGTCCCTTTCTGCATCCGAAACCGATGCATGTGTGCATTTTTGATGTCTTGTTCGATACCAAGCCCCAGCAGCGCAGATCAGCCACTTGTGCCTGTTGTCGCTGACCGGAGTGTCCTCCAGATTGGAGACACACCCCTTCCTTCGTCCGACGCGATGCCTGGCTGGGTCTCAATCATCCACGTCAGTTGCGTTGGCTTGCCGACATATTGCATTACCAGGGCAGGGCTGCCTTGAGCTGCATTTGCATTTTTCCAGGCATCCCGGCCTCGCCCGTCGTCCAGCGCTCTGCTTCACTCCCTTGGATGCCAAATCGCACGACCGGCTGCATCCCACAGCAAGCATGGACGCATCTTCCCACGCCAGCTTCCGGCCCGAGTCGCCAAAGCCCAATCCCAGAATCCACTGGCACCATGCCCGTCAGGCCTGGAAAGCAGAGGCTCTAACGGGTGGGCATCCGCTGTCTAGAGAGCTCATGCGTTGCTGGAGAATCGGCCGAGGCCCCAAAGTCGCTCTAACAATTGCTGTCGCTCTGGCCTGATAATCCCACCCCAACCGGATGATGCCCAACCGCATTCTGGCTGGATGGAAACCCCACTTCCCATGCTACACCCGGGGCCACGATGATGCTTCCAGCGGGCTTGCCCGAGCCCGACAAACCCGCGTACTTATTTGCTCCGACCTATCCCGAGGTCTGTTGCGGTTTCGGCCGGGTGCATTTCGAGAGCAGTGTGGCTGCCAGTCGGCAGAATAGTCGGCCGGGTCACGCTCGTGGTTCCGCCAAGACGGAGATTGTTTTGCAGGACTGTGCATGCGTCTCACTCTCGCCCATCTCTGTTCCAGCTCACCCATCCCATCCGGAGACCCGACATTCCTCTCAAGGGCCCTGGGCTTGCCTTCTGGTCGCACCCGCGGAGACGAGCCTTCTTGGCCGCCTTTCCCAAGCCCAAGCCAACCAGAGAGACCTGGGAGGTACTCAGCAGTCGCAAGCCGAAATCCGCTCCAACGCTCCCAGATGACTGCTTCGTAGGAAGAAAGCCGCCTCGTCCGATAGACCAGGAGCGGATCGCCAAGCTCAGGTATATAGCTGCACGGCCCAGCAGGCCTCTTGTCTCCGCCAGATGCCGATCCAGCGCTCGCTACTCCCATACCAACTGACGTCTGTGCTGCGTTGTGCTATGCTGCTGATACTGCCTTTTCGTAAACAACCGGGAAATGTCCCTCAGCACGCCGCGGCCTGTCCACTCTCGACCAGATCCACCGCCGGCCATTCCGGTAAAGTCGAGAAAGGACGACGAGCCGTGGAAGCCTCCTGGTCCCGAGTACTGGGAGCACCTCTCCCGACCGAGGTATGAGTGCCAAGCACACGTCTTGGGCAGTTGACACCGCTCTGTCCGAGCCATAGGTCCCTGACAAAGTTGATACCGGTGCTGGCTGATTTGTATGGCATGCAGGCGCCGCCGCTTTGAGGAAATCCCGAGCTCTATGCCTCCACCCAAGCCCGCTAGGCACATCTCGCCCGAAACCTGGGACCGGCTCAGCCACTCGAACCGCCGCGAAAGGATTCAGAGCATCGTCAATATCGAAAATGGCGAGCACGAACCGACCGAGCTTCCGGCCGTGGATGTCGAGGACGACGAACCAGATGCACAGATCGATCTCCGCACCGCCAAGGACGGCATCACCGCCAACGAGCCGTCTGATCCGTTCTTCTGGGAGAAACAGGGATATGAGTTTCCCGTACTTGGACACAAGGAGCGGAGCCTCAAGCCAGCCCATCGCAATTGGGCCAACTTCAGCGATCTTCATAGCGAGACCTGGAGGCATACCATACTGGGCCGAGAGTTACTGCACAGCGAATACGTGCTTCCAGATGACCAGACCTTCGAGCTCGTCATATATGTCTCATGCAATGCGATTGACACGACACTGGAAAGGTACTTGCTGCGCTTTGTGCATTTGATTGATGGCTTGAAGATCGGCTCTTCATCTTGGCTGTATTTGGTTCTGTTGCTGGCCATCCAATTACCCCTGCATTCGTGCCATCACTTACCCTTGTGTCTGCTTACCATGTGTCTCCTCTCTGGGCTACTATGCTTGTGCTGTCGCCGTCAATCGCAATGATGAACGAAGATCGGTGCTGATGAGCACTCTCGTCCCTGGTCTGCGAGCCGAGTGCCGAAACTTTGGTATTGATCTCCACTTTGTGGATATGCGATGGTATGGGAATCCGGGACCGCGAGGCTGTCCACCAGGGCGTGTACCTATGATCCCGTGGGATGACCCAGACAAACGTGCGTGGGCAAATCTTTGCTGTACAGCTTCAGTCGTCGCATGTCGATAAGCCATATCCTGTTTCACCAACACCAACTTTACTTGTGATCGCCAGGGGGGAGACAACCCAGTTCGTCTGTGAGCACCGGCTTATCGAGATATATACAAAGGAGCTGCTGCGATGTATCAAGGTACGTTGGCGACATGCATGCGTCTACAAAGCCGGCACGATGGATAGCAGCGCCCCTCCCGTGCTCGACCTGACGATTTTTTTTCTTCTGTGGCCCGCTTCACATCGATGCTCACACTTGATGGCGGCTCGACAGAGCTCTTGCGGCATGAGCATGCTCTCCATCATCGGAGATATGTATGGGCGATGCCATTTTCCGATCCAGATGGAGCAAGACCTCGGCGACCTGCTCTTTGACGAAATCGAGAACATGTCTCGGAAAGCCAGCGCGGGACTGACGATGCTGAAGAAATGGTTGGCACCAATTTTGCACGCATTGGTAGCGCATGACCTCTGACATTTGCCTCCTGCATCTCAGCCACCGAGGCGCAAAGGCTCGCATCACTGGCGGTGCTCTCCGTAGCGACGGCTCTGCCCGTTGTTTGAACGAGCGACTAACGACTGCCTCTGCGTTTACAGGTTCTGGCTTGATCGCAACACAAACCCTCCAAGATATGTTCTGCAGCCAATCACAACATATCTTCCAGGGTTCCTCATGCCCAGTGACCAACGACTCCACAAGCGGTCGATGTGGACTTGGTGGTAAGTGTAATCACCTTGGGAATCTGTCCACGCATACTACTCTGCTCAGTAGCAAGCTACTACTCAGCCGGACTGGTCGGATCGCTGGCGGCTGGCTGCTGGTGCGGTTTGAAAGTACCACTCGGCGTCGTGCGAAGGGCGCCAACGCTCAGCCGAAAGGCAATAGCACCGGGGCACAGCCGAAGCACCGCTGAGTAGGCTGACGGTGTGGATTATCGAAGGGCTGGTGTGTTCATCTGGCAAGACGACATGGGTCGGTCACCACGTCGAGCTGGCAAACCGCTTCGCAGATACGCAATCTTATCCAAACTCCCTGATGCCTCCAGGAACCGATGCTTCACCCCTATCAAGGAGGACCTGCAACACGCATCTCGAGCCCTGAGACTCCGTCGGCAAATCTCCAAGGACGTTCACCAGTATTTCCATGCATCTTTGATCGAGAAAGAGCTCCAACTATGGCTCCAGTATGCGGTCGGGGCCAGTCCAGATCCGACTGACGACTATTGCAGAGGCGTCGTCATCAACCGCAGGATCGAAAACATCATCGAAAGAGACTTCAACGCGCGCTTTTATATGGACACCCACGGCGAAGACTACGATACGCTCAAGCCCGTCAAGCACAACAAGCTGGGCATCAGATGCTTGGAACTTTTGATGGAATCGATCGAGCCGCAGCTGCATGTGGGGGACATATTCAAGCGAACGGTGAGCATGCACGAGCTAGTAACTAGAAGTTTACCCGGCCGGAGGGGAAGGGCGACTGTTGATAAATCCCAGAGTCGCTTGGGATACCGACGGCGACTGACTCGGCGCCGAAACCACAGGTTCCCTGGGACAGCGAGGGCATTGTATATGACAATCCAGCCCACCGCGAGTACGTTGATAATATGGTCCAATACGTTCACGACAAAGCTATCCAGTCTATCAAGAGCATTACAGAGGATTCTTTGCGGGATCCACTCTGTCAAGAAGCACTGGTACACCTCAAGCACTGTCGTGCCAAAGCGGCCGACTATATCGGACACATAGATATTCTGGAGCGTATTCTCCATCACCTTGCTCCTCCATTCAACCACAAGAGCCCTCCGCTCTTTGTCTCCGGAATCGACGGCGCTGGTAAATCCACAGTGGCTTGCCGCGCTCTCCAAAAGCTCGCTGTCGACGCAAAGCACGACGAAAGCACCCCGATGATCATAGTGCGCTTTGTCGGGCTCACTCCAGAGTCATGCACCATTGCAAGCATCATCATGTCGATTTGTCGCCAGATTACCCGAGCCTTTGCTACGAGCCTGCCTCGAAATGCCGAGGAGAGCGAAGCCGCGAGCTATATATCCTATGGACGACTGAAACATTGCCTCAAAGAGCACTTGAAATACGCCACCGACGAAAACCCCATTATTATCGTCATAGAGGGCCTGCACCGTCTATCCGAAAGCTCGGATTGTTCTTTGAGTGAGTTATTGTCGACTCGCTCCCACGCGGACACCGCCGAACCATTTTGCTGCCCCATATCGATCCGATACAGAGTCTAGCCTTGTAACTCGATCTGTTTGCCCATCTTCTGTTTACTACCATTGTCAGCGTGGTTGCCGATGACCTTACCAAAGAACGCTCGCATACTACTCACTGGTACCACCAACCACACGAGCCACCTGGTTTTCCGCGATCGTCTGCAAACGTTCCCGCTACAGTACCAAAGCATCAACGATTGCTTGATCGAAGTTCCCAACCTTACCCAAGAGCACGGCGAAAAGATTGTGTATTCGTGGCTGGCGCGGGAAAACCGGCGACTCAGAGACACCCAATACCAAACACTCCAGGGCTCGCTTATCAGCTCCATCTATAGCAAAGAGAACGCCTCCACGCCGTTCCTGCTCCGGTTCATGTACCAGTTCACTAGGAAATGGGCGTCGCACAAGTTTGCCACCACAATCCCGTCAAAGCGGAAGGACTTGCTTGATTCGATTTGCAATCAACTGGAGCGGGAGCACGGTGTCATGCTTGTCTCCCGAACATTTGCCCTGATCACCGCTGCCCGCGATGGGCTCTCGCAAGTTGAGCTCGAGGACATTCTCTCACTGGACGACGACCTGCTACTTGAGCTGTACCGTAACCAATCGTTCAAGCTCTCTGTAAGCCGAATCCCCAGCATACTGCTGGCGGCTCTGATTCAGAATCTTGACTTTCTCCTGACATGCCAGCCATGCGGCGAGCTCCATCACACGCCGCTGCTCAAGTGGAACCACAGCTGTGTGCAGAGTTTCATGCGGCATCGATACCTCAACACAACTCGACAGCGTGGAAACGCATACGAAAACCTCGCCGACTACTGGATAGGCATGTGGTCCCGGGGCAAGCCGTTCGATGAGGATGTTCTCGAAAACTCGCCAATCGATCTCCCGGAGGGTCGTAACATCCCGTCGCAGCCAATCCGGTTTTTCGACGGGATCAAGTACCGCTGGAACATCCGCAAAATCCGTGAGCTTCCGCGGTCACTCACGTACGCACACCGGTGGAGCGAGCTGCAGGAGCTCTTCAGCAACCTCGAATTTTTTGACGCCATCAATCACTCTCAGGTAAGTTGCATACGACCGGGTGGGGGAAGCACGGCGGGATATCTTTGTCGACTGCTTTGTATTTGAATAGCGACATGTCGCATCACTGACCTGCGGGAATGGGTACTTATCAGGGACTTCACGAGATCCACCGGCTTTTGCAATGGATCATTCGGGATGCGAATACATCGCCGCACTTCAAGATCTCGGGTGAATGCGAACAGTTGATCCGGCAATGGGCAACCTTCTTCCGAATCAAGTCCGAGCTCTTTGACTTTGGGGCATCTCTGCCCCAGCTATGGGATACTGAGATTGCAAATGCGCCCGAGGGGCTCTTCAATTCGAAGAACATTCGGGACACGGTGAGAAAATCCGTCGCGCAGACCAAGGCGCGACCATACTGGTTGCTCCGGTTCCTCAGTGCTGCCTGGAAGCCGTCGATTGTGCAGTCCACCAAGCGGATGACCTTTCGTCTGCCCAACGTTTCGGTGCTGGGACTGTGCCCCTCGGGCAAACGCCTTACTGGGGCTTCAAGCAAGAGTGACTGTGGGTTTTCTTGGAACGTCGAGACCGGCGAGGAGATGTGGAAACTGCAGCACCCCACACCCCAGAGCAAAGCCAACAAGTCCAGCAACGGTATCCTGTGGATACAGTACCTCCCCAGCGGCAATATGCTGCTGACCGGAAACTCGGCTCGCGGCACAGACGTGCGGCCAACCATCTGCTGCTGGAACTCGACCACAGGGATACTGGTGTCTACCCTCAACGAAGGAAACAAGGGCGATCTAACCAAGGGGCACGTCGAAGGCTCGGCGATTGTGTCGTGCGCCTTCATTCCCAGCGCGGAAGAGGGCGAGAGCGATTCGGTTTCGATGGTCTCGGCCGACTCCAATGGCAGGATCATTGCCTGGGATGTATCCAGTGGCAAGATTGCTGCTCAGGGCGAGACGATGGCGCCCGGCTACCCGCCCTCAGTCGCCATCTCCTGCAACGGCATCATTGCCGCATGCACTGTGGCCGGCATCGACTGGTTCAAGTGGGACCTGCATCACATTGCAGCAACGACAGGAGCCATCAGCAGCCCGGACCGATCCGCAGCCACAGTTACCCCTGCGGCGTTTTCCCCTGACGGAACCACCCTCTTCACAGCCACGCCAGTCGGTGACAAGACACTCATCCACGCCCGCGACCCCTACACTCGCTTGGTTCTGTGGGAAACCACACATGCAGGACTGGCCCAGAGCATCGCAGTTTATCCGGATGGAACTTGTCTGGCGTCGAGCAGTGTCGGCGGCTTCGTCTACATTTGGGATCTGACCTCGTGTATCCGAAGCTCGAGCATGAAGGTATCGATGCCAGCGCCTCCGCTCATCCACTCGTTCTCCCTCAAAGAGTTTTGTCAGTGCTCGATTGATTCTCTGGGGGTCCTGTCGGCGAATGCCTTCCTCAATGGCCTGGGCAAGACCTTCAAGCCCTTCGTGCCAGCCATGAAGCCGCTGCTTCCACGAGGCGACGACGGCAGCCGGACCGAGCTGCGAACAGCTGTCATCATGCCCCAACCTCCTTTCACCATGGCCACAGCCTCGTGCACAGACGGCCAAGTCTCGGTCTGGAACTTGGATGCGCTTTCGCTTGCACCCCGCCCGGCCATTACCGCCCTATCCTTTTCGGACTGTGGCCGATATGCCGTGAGCCTTGGAGGTGGAGGGAGCGCATCAGGAGCACCGGCTACCGACCAGAGCATTATGATATGGGAGGTCGACGAAGCCGTCACCTGCTATGCGTGGCCGGTCGCAGCCGAGCTGGCAAAGAAGGGCAGCGTCGCTCTATCTGTCGCCTCGGTTCAGTTTTGTCAAAGACGGGATGCCGCCGAGCCGTCGGTGGTGGTCGTACTGATGCAAGGCCCGCAGTCGTATCACATCAAGATCGTGGGCGTCGATGGGACACTCGAACTCTCGACCGAGCTCCGGCTTTTGGATCTGGAAGCGGCTCGGGAGGCCAAGGTTGTTGCCGCAACAGCCGACGGCATGCTCCGTACCCTGGCTGTTTTGCTGTGGGTTCCAGAGTACCGGATCATGCGACTGGTGCTGCTCCGGATTGTGTCCGACAAGGATACGACCCCGATCGCAATCAAGGATGTTCCTATGGAGGCGCTGCAGCCTGAGCACTCGTACGATCTGCACTGGCGCTATTTGGATTCAACAAGTGTCGCCCAGCTGAGCAGCGACAGGCTCCATGAGGGCTGGTCTGCAAGTAATCCGTCTGGAGACAATCAGCGCCGAAGTGCAGCCGCGGTTGTGGATGACACGAACAACTCGTTGGGATCCGAGAACGAGCAGAGACAGCTTCGCCGTCCTCGGGACAGCAACTCAGCGGCTGCAGCAGAACCTTCCCATGGAGACGAGCAGTCCATTGGCCCGTCTGTGGGCCCGAGTCAAAGCAATGATCCCAGCGGCGAACCCGGTCTGGAGGGGGCTGACCGCCCGCAGAACGTGGCCGACTTGCAGCCCATCGACGCCCAACCACCTGTGCAGGCTTTCGAGGAAGTTATCGATTTGTTTGACCGACGCAAGTGCACCGCGGTACTCTCCTGGCGGATTGCCGGTGAGAACGATACTCGCGTGAGCCTGGCCGATCCCCAGCTCCCGCCGGCGCAAGTCTCGCTGCGGATCGAGTGCCGAGAGGCCGCAAGCCGCCTGCTGGTTGAGCTGCAGCATGAGTCCGGGGATGGCATCGGATACTCGATCAAGACATCCGGCGCTCCGGTGGATGCGGCGCTTGTGCAGAGCGATAGTCGAGGCGAGGACATGATTGTCGCGGTGGTTGACAAGCATGGGATGCTCGCTGTGCACCGATGCATCGATGGACGAGGCAGCGAGCTGATCGCAGCCACAAGTATCGGAGTGACCGTTACGGGACTCTCGTTCGGCAGGGCAAGGGGCGTCCTTGGCGTATATGGGTGCGATGGATTCCTGTCGCTGCTGTGCTTGAGCCAGCCAGTCTCAGACAGCACCATTGCCGTCTCGGCGCACCTCTCGTCGACTGGACTTCGTGTCTGACCGGATCCACGAAAGCAAAAGTGAATACATCGTTCGTAACGAAACGGGACACCGACTTTGATGTATCCACGGCTGCAGACGGACAAGCGACGGCGCACCCGCCGGTCCGTCCTCCTGTCCGTCCGCCTGTCCGCACAGCGGGGCCGCTCTATGATTGCGTCGGCAGCCGAACCTGTTCCCTGATGCGCCGCCGTGTCGGAAACGGATCGCTTCTGTGATCTGCCGCGCGGCCAATGGGCTGCCGGCCTGTCCAGCCAAAGCCCAGCGCGCTGTGATTGGCCGGCTGCCGCTCTCGCTCGGCGCTCTCGGCGCTCTCGGCGCTCTCGCTCTCGCTCTCGCCCTCGCCCCCGTTTGTTGTCTGTGGCGGGTGCTCTGGTCTTGGCTCTTTCTTCGTTCGCATCGCTCCAGCCTGCATTCTCTGCTTGGACCGCCGCCTCGCCGCCCCCATCCATCCGAGCCGCCGACCCATCCCTCGCTATCCAGCGCATTTCCACGGCAGACCGCCCCTGGACTGTCGACATCCGCCATGGCATCATCCTCAACGGCATTTGACCTCGACCAGAACGAGCGTCCTGTCGAAGACTTTTACAAGCTGCTCGACATCTCCAAAAATGCCACGGCAGAGGAAATCAAGAAGGTGGGCTTCTCACCCTCCCCCAGAGCTCCGTCCCACCAGCATTACAGACAGCATCTTTCCGGCTGCATTTGGCGTCGCTGTTTTGTTATCTGCCTCGGCCGCCCCTCCAATGCAGCCCTGTGTCGACGTTCTGAGAGGCTCCTGATACCCCTTTTGTCTCTGTTTGATCCGCAGGCGTACAAACGAGCGGCCCTTAAATATCATCCTGACAAAGTCGGCTCACATCCTGAGGCTGTGGAGCGATTCCAGCGTATTCGCCGAGCATACGACGTTCTGAGTAAGCTGTCATGGCCGATTGATTCAGGGAACCTGTCTCGCTCTGGGTTGCCCAACATGGCCTCTTCCACCGAAACCTGCATCGGGCCCAGCCGGATACCTGGTATCAGCTGCAGGTGTGACTGACCGACATCCGTACCTTAGACGACCCCGATAAGCGAAATATCTACGATAGCTATGTAAGTGTGTTGCATCGCTGGGATTGTCCGGCAGCCTGGGGACGAGTCCCGCTGCAACGGCACCATACTCTTTATCGTGAACATCGTGGGCATCCTGAGCAGTTCGATCTTGATATGGTGGACACTCTGTAGGAGTGAATATGGGCTGCCTCCAGCATTGTCCTCTCTCTAGCTCCACCGCTCCAGTAAACTTGCTGCTATACTAACCAACTGTTGCTTCACCGTCTTGTATCGCTCCGGCTTGTATCGCTCCGGCTTGAATCGCTCCGTCTAGGGCGAGCAAGGTGTCACTGCTATGGAAACGATGGGCGGGCGCGTCCCGATGTTCCACCCCGGAATGCTCGTTGTCATCAACCGGATCTTCTTCCTCTTGACCATCTGCGTGGCTCTCCTCATCCTCTTCCCTGCCTTCCTTTCGATGCGTGCGGACGGAAAGGTGCAGTGGCCGTGGGTCGCTGTGTTCACCCCTCTCTTCATCCTGGATGCTCTTGTTCTCCTGATTGCCTGGGTGAACTTCTCCCGAGAGCCGGAGGATGAGACCAGCGAAGAGGATTTCGCCGACAAGGAAAGCCACGAAGAACACAAACGCAAGTCCAAGGCCGAGAAGCGTCTGTCGACCGCCATCACGTTTACGTATGTGATCCTGCTCACGATTTTGCAGGTTCTGATCGCCCTCCGGCTCGACTCGGTCATCACGACCTCTTGGCTGGTTGTTAGCGTACCGTGGTTTGCTCTTGAGGCATTCCATGGCATCGTTGCCATCCCCGCGCTGTTCTCCAAATTCGCCATGGGCGCCTACGACATTGATGCCAGCGGCGACCCAAGCCCTCGCTCGCTCAATGCCCTCGAGAAGCTCAAGGCCATCTCGGATGCCTATGTTCCCTGGGCACTTCGTGTCATCCAAGTTGTTTTGATCGACGTCAAGGCGAACGGCGCCGCATTTTCATGGGCCGCGACCTTCTCGCCAGTTTTCATCTATGTATTCCTGGAGCTCGTCTCCCTTGTCCTGAGCTACCAAGAGTACCGCCGCAGTCGCCAGTCGGCAACGAACGAGCAGGCTGCCGAGAAGAAGGCCGTTCTGGGCTTCAATGTGTTTGGCTTTGTGTTGCTGGCATTCACTGTGTGCTACACTGTCGGCATGCTTATCACAAGGCTCAACAATTCGGATGACACGACACCGTCTTCTGCCGTTATCCTTGTTCCTGTCTTCATCATCATGAGCACTCTCTTTTGCTGCACATGCTGCTTCCTCCCAACCATACTCTGTTGCTGGAAGCTCTCGACGATGGCCGCTCAAGAGGGTGAGGAAGAACAGGTCGAAATTATCAACGAAGACCGTCGCATCACGAACGAATAGAGTCGTCTATTCTATTTTACTTTTTACTTTTTAGACCACAACCTTGCGTCACAGCGCTGCGTTAATTCGAGGCATCGTCGCCACAAGCTTGGCAGGGAGTGCTTTGCGTTGTTTGCTCTGTTTGCTATAGCACGGATACTGTTTTGTTGTTGCTGAGAGCTCGCCTCCCCCCTTATTTTCTGGATGGAAATATACACATATCCATAGTCGACGAATCATCATTCACAACACCGTCGATTTCCACACCACTGCGCAACATTCCCGCAGCTCGACGCACAGCCGTGCAACACCGGATACTGAATTGGTTTTTGCATCAGACGCCGTGATCCGAAGCGTGTTCGCTTGAGCATTCGAATCGCCAGTACATGGGTATGTTGCCAACGAGTATTTGGCACTCCTGCTCTTATGATGGCTGTCATTCCTCGACAGCAGTCATGCTTTGGTGGTTCAAGCCCTCGAGTACAGTTGCTCAGAAGAACCCAACTGCCTTCTTGACCTGGTCTCGCTTCCAGCCGGCAAGCTTAAGGTAGTCGGCTTTCTTTATGCCAAATAGGTCGCTGAAGTCTTTGTCATCCAGATACATCTGAACAAAGGGAGCGGCCTCAGAAGATTCTCCCAGCAGTCTGCAAATCATTGTCGACACAAACTACGGATCGCTGCTACACACACAACAGCCGCCGGGCTCACCTCCAATTTGGTCTTATCCAGGTGCTCGGGAACATTCTCGGAGAGCAAGACATCGACTGAAAATACATCTTGCTGAAGCTCGGCGACAACTTCAGCCACCGGCCGTTTGAGAGCCAGGAGATGTCGCTGTACAGCACAGCAATACATATTTAACTCGATCTGAGCGCGCCGCGGCTGTCCCAGGCAAAGTCCACCTACCACATCGTCTGGAAACTTGCATTTGGTCCATCCTGAATCGACGCAGGTCCAGTTGAGTATTGAGCCACCAAGAGTGCCGCTGCCCACCTCTCACTTCAGATGCCAATCGGGCTGGAGCACAACGGTCTTTACCATGAAAGCAGCTCGAGAACTCGTCTGGTTCTTGGAAAGCCTGGGTGACCCATATTGGCTGGGAAGTCAAGCCAAGCTTCTCTCGCAGGCCCTGGTGCAGCCAGACTGGATCAATCCAGGCGCACTATCCTCGATCTTGTGCCGAAGCCACGATGCCGCCCGGAGGAATCGTACTGCCCACAGACACAACTTGCGCATTGTATCGCCGCTCAGCACGGCGCAGGGTCCCACCTGGATGGTGTCGATACCGATCGTCTTTTCTCGCGCCTTTGCGGTGACTCCGAACCACACATAGAACTGGCTTCCGGTGATCAGCAGCATAACGGCATTCGTATCAAGATCGTCTTGTACAAAGTGATAAATCTCTTCAACCTTGCGAATCGGAGGAGGAGCGATATTTGTCAGCAGGGTGACGCATGAACAGCGAGAGAGACGAATGTCAGTGAGAGATGGGTGTTGGTGAGAGATGGGTGTTGGTGAGGGTTGCGATTGAGGTTCGTATTTGATATCCTCGTGCATTTCCCTCGCTTAGCATTCCACGACTTGCCTTGACAGAGCCGCTGGCGCTGGTGCACGAGAAAAGCCGAGCTTGACGAAGGACGCGGCTGTTGCGGAGGTCGGCAATTCCAAGTCCGTGACCGTTCGATTTGAGAACAGCGCCCAGGCTCGACGGCAACCCGGCTGTATCGTCGATGGCAATTTCTCTGGGGAGATTTGAAGATGAGGGACGAGCCCGACGAACGACTTCATCGAGAAGAGGCTGAAGCGACTGCTGAGATCCTTTGACGTTGTGGCCGTACCAGTAGAAAACCTTGCTTTCATGAATTACGACGACAGAAGAGTCTGGATGGAACTTGAGCTCTAATGGGAAGGAGGAGGATTGCACGAGACAATTTCTTGTTCAATCGGTGCACGCTGCGGATGGCGTGCAGCGGATCGATGGATGGGACCGTGTCCAAAACATCGCATACCATTGACTTCCACCTGGACTGCCTTGTGAACACCCTGGAAAGTCTCGCGAACATCAAATGCGATTGTACTGGGCACATTGTCCCATCTGCCTGACCGGATCAAGATTAGCTTGCTTCCCAGAATCACAAAGAGATGCAGCGGCTCTGTCGGGCCATCCGAGGCATCAGAGCCATCAGAACAGGACAAGTTTGATCCAATGATCGAATTGATTTCAGTCCAATAGAGTAAAGTAACGTGTAGTGTCGGTCGATCAAGCAATTCGATTGTGATCGAGTAACGATGAGGTTTGAGTGAGTGTTGACGAATGTAGAGTCGATGTTTTGATTGCAATCAGGGAGGCAGAGAGACTTTGTCAGTCGTGCGCAATGAAGCCTCGCATTTGACTTGTCGCTGAACGCTTCCAGAATCGCTGTGCCGCTCGCCACGCTGAACAACCTTTGCCTTCAACAACACGAATTTGGTCCACTTCTCCCCCAGTTTGCTGGCAGAGCTCAATCGTCATCAGTGCGCTGGTGCCTTTCTGCGTAATGGAGCTCTGCGATCCTTGCCAGAAGTAGCTGACACATCGCTCGACGCCAGAGTTCTTTGGCCGGTAGGTGTATAAAACGATGTAGCTTTCACTGGTAAAGAATTGGCCTGCCAAGTGGCTGGCGACAGGCTCTTTATCAAAGTCCTTGACTCGCCAGATGCTGATCTTGCCCTGGCCATCGTCAAGGACAGTCTGCAAAGGCGGCTTTGGAACCAAGAGAGTGCTGATGTCGATTGGAGCCTGCTGAATAGCTGTGGCAACGTTTCCCTTGGCTTCATCGATTCTCATACTGATGGGCAGAGAGCCCTCATAGTCGACAAACTTTTCCTGTCACGGTCAGAGCATGGGCTGCCTTGTGAGCATGACCGTGGGCAGTTCATCGAGACAGCGACTTCAGCCATGCACCGAGCAAACTTCTTGGCAATTGAATAGTAAGCATGACCAATCCAGATCGATTTCGGATTTGATGAGCATGAACATACTTACTCTCCAGTACACCGTCTCCATTCCCTCCACCGCCGGCACGACGGTCACTTGCCCTTGGCTGCCAACGGACTCGGCCATTTGTGACGCAAGCTTCTGGACAACCAAGCCGGCAAGGCTTCGATGCTCCGAGTTAGAACCCTTGCCGAACCATACGAGCACCTCATTACAGCACTGAACAACGTAAACGCTGTCGGACTTGAGCAGCGACTTTGAGGGGGCGGGTCCCTCGTAAACGATCTCGAGCCTTCGTCGTCGCAGATTAGAATTGGTTACGCGGAAGATTCTGGCCTGAGAGCATTTGTCCAAGTCACAGTCGGCTTGCGAGGGTGGGTCGTCGCCAAAGCAAAGACCGAATTGTCGCTGAAGCGCTGCCCAAAGCTGCCTGTCGTCCCGTTCCACCAGAGTAACGGTTGGGCGGTTGCTTCGATCCTTTCTGATCCTGCAAGCGATATCCATGGCCTTTGCGCGGCAAACACGGGTGGACTGTTCGCCGCCAAAGTGGTAGATGGTCGAGCCTGAAGAAGCAACATCGCATCACTGCTCAGCACATTGACCGCAAGGATATGGGCACATTAGAGTAAGCTCTCGCTCATGGATGTTCCCGCGCTACTGAGGCTCGTACCTGCATCGACGACATATGCTGCATGCCGTCTCAGCGAGGCTGATGAGAGCTTGACAGTCGAAATGACCAGCCGAATCTTTCCCATCACAGCAATCAAGGCACGCTGCTCGCCTTTCGAAAGCTTTTGTTCGTCAATGGCCTGGATTCGTTCATCGCTTGTAGCAAAGAGATCACCCGCCTTGGCTTTGGACAGCTCGGCCTTGAGCGTTTGATCGAGGGACACACCAAGCCTTCCAAGCAGATCAAAGCTCTGGCGCTTGATCTGAAGCAGATGGCCTATCCAATAGCTCTTGTCAGCCAGCGACGAGAGCTTGTGGGTACAGTATCTCGAGTCTCTCAGAGCCAGAGTGAACTCATACGACACTTGCTGTTGCGGGCCAGCGACTGGCTCCTTAATCCACGATTCGTCAATGTTGGCAACGGCTAGGACGTATACAGGCGTTGTCGACCACGGGCCCGAGAAATAATAGAAAGACCCGTCTATTACTGTGAGCCAGAGGCGGCCGCCGGGGTGGCCTTCGAGGTCGGTTTGGACGGTAACCAGCCCTTCGGGACACTCATCAGCGACAAAGTCGCTTGCAGCCAGGCCAAGCTCGACGATGGTCTTTTGAATCTGTATGACCCAATTTGCGGCTTCTTGCGGGTTCCGGGTTTTAAAATGAAGTACCCGCTTGGTTGTGTTGATGTGGAAGCTGCAGCTGGATCCATCGGCTGACCCTGTGTCGGCTGTCGTGGCCGATGGCCAAGCAGATGTCTCGATACGAAGCTGTGATAACCTCACAGATATGACTGACCGCAGATTGACGCTTTCCAACGGGGACGCCCCTTGTAGATAGAGTTTCATGTTGTCGGAATAAATGTGGAGGAGGCCGTCTTGGTCAAGCATCACCAGCCGAGCGGCCCAAGCTTCGCGCCGAGACTCGATGGTGTACACTGACAGAGTTCCAAGCAGCCGGGCACCATCGCGAGTGCTATAGACGGGCTGAGGTGCCATAGCGGATGCAGCGAGGATGCTTGACGAACTCTTGTGAAGGCCGCCCAGCGAAGTGTTCTCGGTGGAGCGGCTTGGAACCAGTCCGGACTGCGAGGGACTGAGCGAGGACCGGACTCCTTTAGCAAGTCCGCGGACACAGGATATCCAGGCATCCCGCTCCTCGACAACGTCCCAACGAAGCTGGATGATGTTTCCGTCCTGGGTCTCAAGGAGCATCCCCGAGTCTACAACACCGACGGCAAAAGCTTCAACGCGACGAGTTGCACCCAAGGATATTTGGGCAATCGGGTCAGAGTCGGCGTCCTGCGAAATATAGAGCTTGGTACGTTTGAGAGAGAGATAGATCTTTTCCCAAGTGACGCCAAACCAGCCTCGAATGGCCTTGTAAGCAAATCCATCCATGTGAACTGCCGGCCCCGATACTGCAAGAGATGCGGACGAGTTCGAGATGGATTCTGCAGTCGAGGGGCGGGGGGATCGACTCGCGTGCAAGGATTTTACGGTACTTGCTCGTCGGAGCGTGGTAGTTGACCGGGATAGAGATGTTTTGATGGTCTTGGGCGGGAGCTCGGGCAGAGCCGGATCAACCTCTACTTTGGGGGCGTACATGTCGACCATGGTGGGTTCGATGGATTGGTTTTGGTCAAAGTACTGTGTAGAAGTAGCTTCCCTGTTGATGACCGCAGCGGAAGGGAAGATGTCCTGCTGGAATACAGTGTCCGAGTTGACCCTTGGAACACACAGCGAGAGAACATCGAGGGTGTTGTCGGTGCTGCCAAATACAAAGTGCATCAGTCGCCGAGGCCGCCGGGGAGACTGTCAGTCCACGAACGCATCAAAGCCGTTTGATCACGGCGCAGCCTCGCTTACCCAAGCTTTGTAAACCTTGCAACTTCGCATTTTGAAATATCACAGATGGTTTTTGGCAATATATCGATAGCTGTCTGTCAACCGAGAGGGTTCAAGGGGCCACCCGTCAAGAGCAGTGTGAGAATCGATGTCCCGCTTAGACTCGGACCAAACGCTGGGCGATGACGACGCCGCCGTCTTGAAAGAAGGTACTCTTCTGCCTGCCCTCAATCTGAGTACTCACAAGCTGTTTCTCGATGGGCAGTGTCGAGAGAAACCGGAGTGCTCCGTCTGCAAGCTCAAACACCCGAATGCCTTCGCCTTTGGAGCCAAAATACACAAGCGGAAGCGCAGCATCCCAGAACGGGAGGAGGACGGTTGTGCCGGAACCGGTGACGGGGCAAGTCTGGACAGGAGTCGAGAGATTTTCGATCGACCAGAGAGCGATTTCTCGCACACCCTGCTTGTTGAACCCGGTGCTGATGAAAAACTGGTCGGGCGCAAGCCAGCAAACGCGGGCTCCCTTGCCAGGCACATGCTCCGAGAGAATAGACTGGAAGATTTGCGTGTCCACACAGAGGGCAGAGGAACTTGGGAGTCAGCGGAGGGAATTGTTCCTGCATCAATCGTTCACGATGTGGAGGAATGGCTCGCTGGCCGTCGAACATCAAAGCACAGAGCAGAGTTCTATTGCCACAGCAGCATCAATCGATCGATGGAAAATGCGGAGGTCCGGCACGTTCTGTTTGGTACCCGTACCTTTACAGGATCTGCGCCCGATCTAGGATCATAGAGGTGGATAAATCCGTCTAGGGCAGAGGCAACAATGTTGTCGCCGCAGTAGTCGAACGAAAAGCTCTGGAAGGAAGATTCGCCAGGACAGACGATGCACAGGCGGTCCTGCATTTCTTGGATTTCCCACAGCTTCAAGGTCGAGTCGCTGTCGTTGAGAGGCCGGGGAGAATGGGTTAGAGACATACTGTTTGTGTGCGTCGGCAAGCACAAGCTCCAGTCCGCAGAGTGCCTCCGCTTGTCCATGCGAACCAAACAGATATCCGTGAGTCGGCGTGGGTGCTGGTTGCAGGGAGATACTTGCGCGGACGACGTCGCGAGGATGTTTCCGGCGGTTGGGTGAAATTTAATCAGATCCACCCGCTTTTCGTGTCCGGCAAGATACATGGCGGCGGAATCAATTGCGACAGGGGTGTATTCGGCTTCAGGTTCGAATGAATCGAGTTTCCAGACACGGACCAGACCATCAAGCTTGGTGCTACTGGCGATGATGGACGGCTCGTATGGAGAGAAGGCATACTCCTGCACGGGCTTGTTGTGAACTTTAGAGAGCCGAGTCAGTTGTTTCTCGTCGCAGTCACGACTACTGGTTCGCATGCTTACCTAACGAAACAGGAGGCTGCATCCCTAGCTTTACGGGGCTCATGCCCTGTGGTGTGGGCAGTATTGCGAGCGATCCATTTCCGCTGGCCCATGGTATCGCAGTGAACAGCTCATTGGACTGAGAGGCGGATTCTCTGATTAGCCAAACCTGCGTGCTTGGCCAAGACTTGGAGGCCAAGCCATGCATACTAACCTTGACTTTTGTGGGAGCGGTTCCCTCGACTTTGATGCTGGTGTAGAGGCCCTTGGCTCCTGCAGGCTGCGCAAAGATGTTCTTGAACTTGGAGTGCTCGGGTGGGGGCATGGGTGCAGCACAGCGTCTCTTGGGGCAACAGATACGATATCAGACGACCAGGGTTATCGAACCGATCCAGTACCCAATGTGAGATAGAGAGCCAATGGACTCGATGCCGTGGGTGCACTTTGCTGCCACGCTGCACCACAATGGCCATTTGCATCGGCTTTGCATCGATGACGTATCGGCCCAACCTGATTGAGCGAGGGATGCGAGCGTGGGCCTGCTTCGGCCACGATGGCATGGATCGCTGAGGACGACTCGCGAATCCCGCCATACGCATTGACCCAGTGTCAGAGAGCAGAGAGGCAAGAAAGTAGCGCCCAGGCAGCCATGCCGGACGTCCAGACCGGGGCGCCTCGGCCGACACACCCAGGGCCGATTGAGCCCAACTCCGACCGCTGCGCACCCCATCTCCGACACCGTGGCTGGGGCGGTGAGTCACACGGGCAGCACGTGCAAGCTGCGCGCCCCCGATGGCGTCATCGCGGACGAGCCAGCGTGCCGGTTGGTGCGCGGCCCGGGACGCGCTGTGCGAGCGGCGCGGTGGTGCAATCAGTCGCAGACTCTGGACAGTGCGTGGCAACAGCAGACAACAGCAGACAACAGCAGACAACAGCAGACAACAGCAGACAACAGCAGACAACAGCAGACAACAGCAGACAACAGCAGACAACAGCAGACAACAGCAGACAACAGCAGACAACAGCAGACAACAGCAGACAACAGCAGACAACGGCAGACCACACACACACACGCACTTTCGCTGTCTCGGCTTCGGTTCCGTCGGTCCCCAAAAAATTTGTATCGGGCACACTCCTCCCACGCTGCTCCCACACCTCCTCTCGGACGCTTTCGCAGGTCCTCTGCCCATCGTCACTGCGATTCAGACCTCGTCCTGCGTGGCCCCACGTCCCCGGAGCTCCCTCGACCTACTTAACCTTGGTCCAGACCAGGACAGCCCCGCTGCCCGCCTTGCTGCCCTCCATCTCGCCCGGGCTTTCATCGCTCCAGATCCTCCTGCTCATCCACTTCCACCACTCCAGGTTGCTCATCGCCTCGCCAACAGCACCGTCTTTGCCCCTCCCCGCACCGTCCCTGCGTCTCCGCCGCCACCGCACTGGTCTGCTGGGGTCGAGCTCATCGCTGCGACGCTGTGCCTTTCCATTCTCGTGGCTAATTGGACCATCCGCTCATTTCCCGCTCCTCCTGCAGACATGATCACCACCAACGGAACAGCGCCGGCTCTCAACGATGGCAAGTAGCTGTCCTCTTGATCTGCGCCGCAGTGGCATTCAAGCAAGCCCTGCAAGTCACTAACGCCACCAGTACCTTTACAGAGGAGCAAGTCCGCCTTGCTCAAAAGTTCCCAGAAATGGTCGCTGACCAGTCGATCATCCACCTCGACTCGTTTGAGCTCGAATCGGGCGTCGTGCTCAAGAATGTGCCCGTTGCGTACAAAACATGGGGCAAGCTCAACCAAGACGGCTCAAACGTCATGGTGATTTGCCATGCGCTCACAGGCTCGGCGGATGTCGAGGACTGGTAAGGCTTTCCCTCCCGACATCGATTGATCATCTCGATCTGGTTACACACTCGCTTGATCGATCTGTCGGCTTGCGGCTGCTGCATGGATCCTGGGATCTGTTGTAGCTCTTGGCTCTTGGCTCTTGGCGTACAATTGTCGTCGGTGAATCTCGGATGGCTGACGCTGAGTCCGTCGGCAGGTGGGGCCCGCTTCTCGGCGAAGGCCGTGCTTTCGATCCAAAGGTGTTCTTCATCTTCTGCGCCAACATCCTGGGCTCGCCGTACGGCTCGGCTTCACCCATCACCGTCAACCCTGAAACCGGCAAACTCTATGGCCCAACTTTCCCTGCCGTCTCTGTCCGAGACGATGTAAGGTACTGGATGAACACTGTCGTGATCCGGCGCGGGCCGTATAGTTGCATCTTCCTGTGCTGGCGGGGCTGATGCCAGTCATGGATGCCGTTGGACGCCGTTGTTCCGGATTCAGGCATCGATATGATGCACTTCTCCTCTCGGTGCATCGGTGATCATGATGCCAACACTTCTATGGCTTCTGGGTGTCAACAGGATTCAAAAGACGATCCTGGAGCTGATTGGAGTTCAGCAAATCCGATTTGTCATCGGCGGATCGCTCGGTGGCATGCTGGTATGTGCTGCAAAACCTCTGCTCCACCATCGAATCCCAGAGGTCGTCTGAGGCCGACCGGCATGAACGACGCCGTGGGGGCTACAGCCGGAATCCCACCGCTGGATATTGTATTGTGAATGTTGATTCGCCCTTGCTTTCGTCCAGGCACTCGAATGGGCCATGCTGGGCTCGGAGACCGTCAAGAATGTTGTGGCCATTGCAACGTGTGGGCGTCACTCGGCCTGGGGAATCAGCTGGGGTGAAGTTCAACGACAGTGCATCTACAGCGACCCCGACTACAGTAAGATCCTTCGCGCGTCTGCTTAATGCGCACCGAACAATGGCTTCCTTCGTGAACATGCTGCATGGTGCCATGGACATGTATCGCGCTGGCTCACATTGCCGCTTTCCATCATGTCTTTGCCTTAGAGCATGGCTGGTATTCGCTGAACAGCGTAAGTAGCACCTATTGACACAGTCGCCAATTCTATCTGTGTCCAAAGTCGAAGGCGCAACGCTTCAGCGTATTTGATATCTCTTGCTAAGCCTGTCTTCCACCGTGCCGCTCCATATGCTGCTTCGCTGTTTTCGATGCCGTGTGGTTCCCACATTGAACACCTGGCCATGCATCCTGATGCAACCTCCTCACATCCACGTGGTGCCATATATGTGCCCCGACTGTCGCCATGATCATACCTCATGCCATCAACATGCCATTACCCACCACCAGCCTCCAACCAAGGGCCTGAGCTCGGCGCGCATGAGTGCCATGCTGACATATCGATCAAGAAACTCCTTCCAGGCGCGATTTGGTCGCCAAACGATGCCCCCGAAGCCTCTGCATACTAGCACGCGCGAGCTGTCGCCAGAGGAGAAGGCAGCGCTGTTGCATAACGAAGGAATTCAGGGCAAGGTTCCCAATCCGCCCAGCGAGGTGAATGGTGCGGACAAGTACGCCGTTTACTCGGCCCAGAGCTATTTGCGGTATCAAGGCGACAAGTTCCTCAACCGCTTTGATGCAAACTGCTACATCGCCATCACCCGCAAGATGGACACCCACGACCTGTCCCGGGGACGGAGTGGCGATTACATCGAGACACTGCGTGAGATTCAGCAGCCCACACTCGTGATTGGTATGTTTCGAAGCCATGACTGCTCAGAGCTCCCATCAACAAGCGCTGATCATAGGCTCCTGTTTTTTGCTTACTTTTCACTGACATATCCCATTCACCTCACCCTCTCTGCCAGGCATTTCCTCGGATGGACTCTTTACTGTATCAGAGCAGTATGAGCTCGCCGAGCACATTCCCAATTCAGAGCTGCACATTATCGAGTCTGGCGAGGGCCACGACGCCTTCCTGCTCGAATTTGACGAAATCAACTTTGAGATCAGCAAGTTCCTGAAGGCCCACTGCCCTGAGCTCCTTGCCAAGGATATCCGCAAGTGGACAAAGGAGGAGATGGTATCCAAGGCCAGTGTCTTTGGAGAAGCCGAGGATCCTTTGTTGTGGTGATTGTCCTGGATCGAAGTCCCCAATTGGCATCGAGGCTCCTTGCAGGCCTCGCACCACGACGGATCTCCTGCGGTGTTCAACAAAGCCATCGCCGCTGATCGGATCAGCGAGTGGCGACTTGTACTTTGACGATCGAGATTGCGACGGCTGAATGAGAGAGCATGTGGGGGCTCGTCCACAGTACATCGATCAATGCCTCTCCCAGAGAGCACGAGACGGCTCAGTTGCCCCGAATACATTTATGGATATGAGTGATGCTGTTGCTGAGTCCCGAGCCGGTGCTGCCCTGGCCGTCGCTGGCAAATGCCATCACCGGAAGCGCCCTCGTCTTGACATGGCAATCCGGAACAGACTGGATATCTTGATGGCAGCACCTCTGGATGATCCTGCAACACCCAGCCGCAACCCAGCAGCGCAGCTTGGATGTGCGAATTGATCGGCACCCATAGGTACTGGTTTGTATATCCCATAATACACTGCCCCTCAACCCCCAGCTGTCCAACCGATCCATGGGGGCTGGAAGGAAAGTGACCATTGATATCGTCGATATCTACCTCTATGCGCAATTGTGGGGAGCTTTGTATTACTTTTGCTTCGACTCGACAAAAAGCACATGTCGGTTGACTACATCGACCAGTTCGCAAGACCGGAACGAAACACATCCGTCCAGCAATAAGTCGTGATGAGATGTGATCAGATATGATGGGATAGGATGTGATGGGATAGAATGTGATGAGAATTGATTTCAGTTGGCCGTCAGAATGGGTCACCACACCAAAGGCCGGCAAAAGGGTCACCAAGGGCCAGAACAAATACGATCAGCTCACCTTTAGGATCGAACTTCATCAACTGGAGCTTGGGCAGCAATCGTCTGCGCACAGTTGTGTAAAAGCTGCCAGTACCGGCGGTGCTCACCAGACGCACGATCAGGGTTCTGTCGAGCGTAAAACAGCAGCATTAGGGACTGGTTCATCCGGCGAGCCAATGATGATGCCGAAACCTGGTGGGACGCTCGCCTAAGCATCCGGCATCAAACAGCTCAATCCACAGAGAACTGTCCAGGCCGTGTCGAGTGTCCGTCCTCAATACCTTGCTTTTGCTTTGGGTGCGGCCACTGATGGTTGTTGGCCAGGGAAGCATTCGCGATCATCGTGGGTGATGTTGCCAGAGATTGTTTGAGAGGGATTGCCCGACACCACCACCGGTGCCATTCGCATCGAAAATTGAGGTGTAGTCCAGAGGGCGAATATCCGCCGGCGTGGATATCGCCAGGAAAAGCAAATCAGAATGAGATTTGATTCGGCTCAGAGCCTTGGGCTTGGTGGTGCGGATCCGGCCAAACACATGCAATCGCAGTTCCACGTTGTAGCGAGTGGCCTCACACACGAGAATGCAGACAGGCGGTCTCGAGCGACCGGCGTATCGTACTTGTGTATATGCTATATTCGTATCTCGGTTGGATGCAGGGACGACAAGCCAGGAAAACGCAGATGCCAGCGGATGATGGCCAGATCAGGAACAGAAAAAAAGGTGAGAGAGAGCAGAGAACGCTCTCGGAACGCTCTCGGAACGCTGTCTGTCCAGCGAGAAGAATCTGGCCTTGCCTCGTCAACACAGTCAAGCGACAACATCACGACAGAGGAGATCGTTGGTTCGCACACTCAAGCTGCGCTGCTGGGTTGCGGCTGGGTGTTGCAGGATCATCCAGAGGTGCTGCCATCAAGATATCCAGTCTGTTCCGGATTGCCATGTCAAGACGAGGGCGCTTCCGGTGATGGCATTTGCCAGCGACGGCCAGGGCAGCACCGGCTCGGGACTCAGCAACAGCATCACTCATATCCATAAATGTATTCGGGGCAACTGAGCCGTCTCGTGCTCTCTGGGAAGAGCTGTAGTGAGTTTTAAGGTGCAAGCGCAATGATGAGGGTTGTGTTCAAGAGATGCTAAAGGGGGGTTCCAAAATTAAAGCGGATGGGGGTGGGGTGGGATCATGTAAAATAAATGGGGAGAGGAGGGGGGCGAAGCTCTGAGGGCCAAGAAGCAGAGATATCAGATCCATGTGATTGAGCAGCACCGGTCCCGGCCCTCTCATCCGCTGCGTGGGCTGTGAGGACACAGGCAGGGCGAAGTGAAACTCGGGCGTTGTTTTTAGTAGTACACCGACATGACCACTTCCTTCTGGCTCATGCCGCACTTGTTGTAGAAGCCAATGTTCTTTTCGCTGCATGCCAGCAGGGTCTTGTAGGCTCCGCGCCTCTGGCCAATGTATTTCAGAGCCTCGATGACACTATCGAAGACCATTCGATGGTTAGTGCCTGCCGACCGAGGTTGAGAAGCGCTCATGCCCAACAGCCAGGCCGACGACACAAGCAGAACTCACATTCGTCCGAGGTTCTTGCCCCGGGCACAGTCGTTAACGACAATGTCTTCAATGTGGCCAACCGAGCCTGCCTCGTGGATGAACTTGTCTTCAATAAAGATGGTTCCCAGACTGGAAGGATGGCGATGTGTCAGCGAGTACAAAGCGGCTCGGAGCACTGCACGGCCACCGCTGGCAGCAACACTGCTGCGTCCCAGGTCCTCGTCGCAGCCCACGACTAACTTACGCCACAACTTTTCCAATCGAAACATCTTCAATGGCGATTGAAAAGTAGACTTCGTTGTACTTTTGCAGTTTTGCAAAGCGCTCTTGATGGCGGATTCGGGGAGCGTTGCAAAGTCAGTATCGACGTATTTGGCTCACGCATCAAGACGAGCAGTCAACAGGATCGCCAGAGGGAGTCTGACGCATACGCACGAGGCCCAGTAGTCCAGCCCACGTAATTCTCTCGGGCACGGCTCCGATCCGCTCTCGACTCATTCGACAGAAGGGGCACTTGACTTGTCCAGACACTCACCATCAAAGACCTCGCGAGTGAGATTCCCGACCGTGGTCAACTGGCTGAGCGTTTCCACAAAACCTGGTTGACAGTGCAGCACGGCAGAAGCATACGGTGCAGGTTAGCGTTGCACGGGCCGGCGAGTGAGTGAAACAGACGAACAGCGTGCGAAAGGAGCATAAGCGGTGTGTAGTCAGAGGTGTAGTCAGAGGTGTAGTCAGAGGTGTAGTCAGAGGTGTAGTCAGAGGTGTAGTCAGAGGTGTAGTCAGAGGTGTAGTCAGAGGTGTAGTCAGAAGTACAGCAGGGATGGAAGGCAATATACCTTTATCGTAGTCGCTGCGGGAAAGGGGGCGGATTTTGAGATTCTCAGGCAGACCCTTGAGCACCTCTTCCGAGATCAGACCGTCGGGGTTGAACTGCAAGTCCGACACAGGCTGCGCTGGCGCGCTCGGCAGCGAGACGGGCTTTGCAAGGTCGTCGGCGGGAGCTACCGGGGCCGAGGTGGAGCGATTGCGGGTGCGGTCGTAGAGCGACATGATAATCTTGGGGATAAGTAAGAGGGAGGCCATTGTGCTTGGATGCAGCGGGATTTAAGGAGGCTGAGGGTGGGCGAGTGGACAGCGATTGGAATGTTCCTGGTATCGAAAGGGCTGCAGGAGGGTGGTCTGTTGACTGGTGGGCGAGATGGATGCTGGCGTCAGGACAGAAAAGTCGGGGTGTTGATATTTATAGCTGGGTTCTTGGAAATGAGGCTGGGTGCGACCGCCAGCAGGACCACCCACAACAGCGACAGCGGCGATTGCATCAACGGCAGCAGCAGTGCCGGTAATGGTGCAGCGGGTCCGGGTGGGTTGGGGCACATGGGCGGGGGGCAGGGCCGGGCTTGGCGGCGCTGCTGTGTACCCGAGGCGACTTCATATGCGCTTGTGTATGGATGGGATGAAGAAGGGGGGCAGCGCACAAGCCGGGCGGCGGATCAGCACGGGCGGGTGCGGACGGCAGCGGCGGGCGACGGGATTACGGCTGTGGCGGACGGCGACGAGATTACGGCTGCACAGCGAATGGAGCGATGCGGTGGAGAGATGCGTTGGAGAGATGCGATGGAGAGATGCGTTGGAGAGGTACGTTGGCGACCAACTGGCGGCGTGAAAGCACATCACCGCCTCAAATCCGTTACTGACGACACCCTCTTGTCTGTCCACGCCATTGCCCCGACATCGCCAAGTCACTTTCAAATCCCACACTCAAATCCCACACTCAAATCCCACACTGATTTCCCTCATTCATTTCCCTCATTCATTTCCCACACTCTCTCCACTCACCCACATCCACCCACCCCGGCCTGGGCCGGCTGCGGGCTGCTCCGTCCCGCCGAGTCGGAAGGCCCCCCGCCCGGCTCCGCGCCAGCTCCGCCCGCCCACGAATCTCCGCCACATGCACCGCCACCCGGCTCTGTCTCGGTGCATTCTTGGCCTTGTATTGTGCATCGGGGCGGTCCAGGCAGAAGCAACATCATGCAAGCGCAGGGCTGACCGGTCGTCCCTCGTCAGGCGGGATGGTATGGTGCGAGGCTTCACGAAAACTGATCGCAGTCTTCGTCGTATCCACCGACCTTGGTGAGATCGATGTGCAGCTGGATGGCCAGCTCCTTCAGCGTGTACATTCTCGCCTCCATCAGCGACATGCCAGCATCCGAGTCGGTTGGCTGAAGCGTGGGCTGCTGTCTGGGCCGCTCCGGGCTCTCGTTCTCTCCCGGGCCTGGAGGCCAGGCACCCAGGCACGTTGGAATACTGGTCGGCGGCATCCGGCCAGCTGGTGCCGATGACGGTATCTGAACCACGCCGATCTTGATTCGCAGATCCTCTAGTGCCGTACGGCAGGCCTTCTGCCATTTGAATATCAGCGCATCCAATATCTCGCTCTCCTTCTAACGAACCGGAACCAGAACCAGAACCGGAACCAGAACCAGAGCCAAAGCCAGAGCCCGGATATCGTACCGACCAGTCAGTTGAAAGACAGCAAGTGGGATCTTCCATATGATCCAACCGCCAATGGGCCACAGCCCGCAGCTCACGGCCTCCCGACGACCTCGGCTCGCCGCATTGCACCGTGACGGACTTACTGACATTGCTTATGTAGCCGTAGACAATGCAGAGCCTCTTGTTGGCCGCCTGCAGCTCATGTATCTGCTGCTTGATTGCGATAATTTGCTTTTGCTTTTGTGCACTGCGCTCTGGGGAGGCTGGCTCGGTGCTGTCGGTCGCCAGCCGAGGGCGGGTTGGCACGGGAAGTATCCGAGTGTTAAGGCCGGAGCCTCGAGGAGGCGATGATGCCGCCCGCAGCTCGGACACAACCCGGGCATTTGCGGAAGGCGAGTCAAGCGCTGTGGATTTGAGAGGAGACTTGAAAGCCTTGTGCTTAGACACACCAGCCGGTCGTGCCTTGATGGGTGAATGGAGCGCAGGAGCCCGGGAAGCTGGAGATACCGCAGTCGCACCTTCAGGAGCCGAAGCCATCGTTGTTGTCCTCCAAGCGATCTGTACACGCCCCTGCGGATATGTATGTTCTTGGATCTGGAGAATGCCCTCTTCACAGAGCAACGCCGCATCGTTGGCGGTGAGCTCGTATTGCTTCATGAGATCCGATAGCGCAAACGGCGCCAAAGGGGGCATGTGCGCCAGTCTCTTGGCCGCAGCGACGGTCATCTTGCCTTAGATCGAGGGCAGAGCGAGGTGCGATGCTCAATGATCGCTGCAAAGGCAGAGAGCCGATCGCTGCGAAGTCGAGCACCTTGACGCGATCACCCCAATCCGAGACGATATTCTCTCCGCCCTCACTCGCACCCGATAGCTCGCACATCCATCCATCTGGTGGCTTGGGCAACAGTATCACCATCACCGTTACCACTCATGGACATCGGCTCGTGTATTTCGTACTCTATAATCGGTCCAGACTCGTCCCCGGTGACGGGGACGGAGTGTTTGGCAGTGAGTCAGTAGATGGCCGCTCGGGGCTGCTCCACCCAGCGTTGTCCATCGCTTTGGCTGGATGCTCCAGGCTTCCCGTTGATCCTGAAGCGCTGTAGAATCACTCCGCCAGCCCCTCCGGTGGCGTCTTTGCCACTGGATCGTTGCGTTCAACAGCCATCGGCGGCTCTGGGAATGAAAGGAGCTCTTCGACCGCCTGGGCGAGCTGCTCATAGCCACCGCTAAGTTGACCATATGGAAGAATCGGTTGAAAGCGCCATGTTGTTAATGGGGCGTCCGCAAACGACGAATACGCCTATTGACTACATCAGGCTCTAGCTGCCATGCTGAGCGGGATGAGAGACCATACCAGTGTGTATCCAACATTGTTTGGCGCCACAGGCTATAGAATGACCGATTTTTGGTGTCCATGAACACCGTCAGAATGGTTTTGGTATCCATGATCATGCTGGAAAGCAACAGCGTCCATGCGAGGCATTCGGCTTCATACATCATCTTGATGAGGAACCTGTGATCAGCGCCATTACCAGCACACCCCGACAGTCACGGTGAGATAATCGGTGTCGGTTTTGCAAGATCCCGGGCCCCTCGTGGCTGAAGCAGCGACGTATTGGCATGAAACTCACTGAATCTCGACAATTTCGGCATGCTTGGTGGGGTCACGTATGACCGTCGACGGCCCCAGCATCGAGTTGGACCGCTTCTTGCTCAGCGTTAGCTCCCCAGAGTTACTTCCTGATCGCCGACCAGTGTGGGCACCCGTGCGGATGCGCGCAATGATCGATCCAGTGGCATAGGCTTGGTGAGGGGCAACGGCCTCGGGGATGATTTGTGCCTCGGTCATGGGATCCGTTCTGGGGATCTCTGTAACTCCTGTTGCTGGAGGGGCCGAGTTCTCCGTTCGTCGAAGCGCTGGAGCAGAGTCGTCTCGGGGTCCGTTGGCCGTGACTGCAGTCCCATTCAATTTAGCCGTCGCAGAGGTGCCGTTTTGGATGGACTGAGGTACGGCACTAACCGATCCTCGTCGACTGAGGAGGTTTGCTCCAGACCCAAGCGAGGTATCGGATGCCCCAGAAGCGTGGTAGGAGTACCGGCGCACGATTGGATGGTCTCGTAGATGTTGGGCTGCGAGTTCTGCAACGAGTTGATGGATTCCCTGCACATCGTCTTCAATCGCCAGCATCATCGAAGCATGCCCGCGTGAGTGCAACGCCTTTGCCCACAATCGGCGAAAACTGCCAAAGTCGCCTCACAGGGCACACTACCAGGCAAAGTGAGGATGCAGAGCATGTTGCCTACCAGGAAACAGCCACGCGAATTGATCATGCAGCTCCGTCAATACTGCGACCCACGCATCGTCATCGATATGCCCAGCCCGGGTCCTACGCGCGATACAGTCAGAAGGGTGGGTGAGATACGAGCCAGAGGGGTGCGCCGGTGCTACGAGATTGCCAACCACGCTGATACCAGGGAAGCAGCGCACCTGGGGGCATGGACATCAACATCAACATCAACATCAACATCAACATCAACATCAACATCAACATCAACATCAACATCAACATCAACATCACATGCATACCTTTCGTATTTCAGCCACTCTACCAGCGGGAACGAAAATGCTTCGGCGAATCGCCCAAGGCTCCGAATGCGTCTCTTGGAAAGCAGAGCTCGAGCGTGTTTGCTGATCAGGATTTCCAGGTAGAACTGATCCGGACGAAGAGAGAATAAGGGACGGGAGAGTCAGTGGCGCTGCCGGGATCAATCCAGCGAGCGATTTACACCTTTCAATTCAAGACTTGTACGTCACCTACCAGATCATCTTCTGTCTTGGAGATTTCTCCGTTTGCCCTGAAACCCAGAGGTGCGTGAGCGAGATCCAGGAAACCCCGCCGATGTCGAATATGGATGATACCTTTGCTGCTCCGGCAGAGTCATGCGAGACATCGCAGGGCCAGTCCCACCGGGATTCCGAAAGTTCTCAAAGGAAATGCCGTCCGAGCCTTCGATATTCGTCAAGAATCGGATCAGCTCCTTTCCGGTCTACGGTGAATGTCATTCATGTTGGAGACCGGAGCGATAGTAACGAGTTCTGCTGGTGAGAGTGCAATCTCCTCGTTTTGACAAGCAAGCAAAACTCCGCTCGCTCCCAAGGATGCCCGGGCGGTTTGTAGTGTGAGCGATAGCCGTACCTCAAAGTCTTCGAGCTCAAAGCATCGCTCCAGCAGCAAAATGGCCATCTGATGATCGCATCATACTTTTAGCTGCGATGTGGTCGAATGCGTGCCACTTCAGCAGCACATGCTTCCATCTGGCGGCTTGGACCCTGTGCGAAAAACGAGACAGGACCGCTGCACAAACGCACGCGGACAAGCCCACTTACCTTGCTACTGACTTCATAAGCTTCCAAGGTCTGGATGATGATCAAATACGACGTGGCTGTGCTGAGGGAGGCGCGCTCGAGAGAAAGCTGTATTGTCAAATGGCATTGTCGTCGTCGTACCTCTGGTTAGAGATTGATGGAAGCCGCGAGTGATACGAGGCCAACTTCGTCTGCCCTACACGCCAATGACGTCGCATAGCTACGGCCCAGAGAACCTACCTTGAACAAATCCTTGGCATCGCCAACAATCTTGAAAAAGTAGTCCCACAGCGCCACCTCGGACTTTCTCGCGCATTGGACAATAATGTCCATATAGTCTGGGAACTGCTCAACAAACTTGATCGATGCAGGCAGCACAGCGCCTTCGGCAAAGCCTATGGCAGTCGGAGCCTCGTCCTCCAGGACCTGATGCAGCAGGAGCTCGAGGGCATGGTTGAAATACTCAAACTGTCGGAAGCAGTGGGCAAAGCGAACAGCTTCGGCCTCCATCCTGGGACGCGAGCGAGCACGGAGGGGATCAGCAACTCGGTCACTCAGAGGCCAGAAGAACAACAACGGTTCTTACTCTTTTCCAAGCAGGAGCCGCACAAAATTCGGAATAAAAAGATGGATCTTGGTATCCAACTTGTATAGCGCACAGTGAATTGAGTTTTGGAGTGACATTCGCTGATCGACACCCATCAGAATACCGCGAGGCAGGAGGACGGCTGCGCGATTGAGATGCAAGGTTAGCGTCGTTCGCTCGAGGGGGCTCATCGATTCCAATCGACGATTCTGCCCCGTCCCTGACGAGAGTTTCGCGTCCATGGACTCCGATGGCGGACATCGGCACGAATGAGCGTGCATTTGCCCTGATGTCACATACACAATGGGTAATAGTCAATGTTGATCCGGATCGACTCTGCATAGTTCTCGTCGACTCTCCAGTCTGTCTTTGTCATGTCGCGAAGAACCATGTTGGCCCAGATTTTGACGCCAGCCCCATCGAAGGCCCAGAGTGAATTGTAGAGATCGCCGAGCCGCTCGTGGGGGTTGCTGATCCAGAAATATTCAACATTCCTCGACAGACCAATGTGCTCCCAGGTCTTGTCCTCCTGGAAAGATTCGTTGGCGGGACAGTGCAAGCCAAGATTATCAACACGTCGGCATGTGAGTAAAGTGCTGGGTAACATCAGCGCGAGTGGCATTTACCACAGAGATTGGCTGCACCCTGAAACGGTGTCAAGAGCTCATGGATGTCCTTCACAGCAAACGATGGGAGCATCACGAGACACCTACCAGCTCGCGGAGCATGCTCAAATCGCCGTTTTTAAGCAGGAGAAACGGACTGCCCTGCATGGTCTCAAGGGATACCTCGCCTGCGAGAGATTTTGGGCAGCTGGATATGATAAATACCCTTGTGACCGGATAGAGCTGTCGCTGGAAGAACAGAGCCAACTAACCTGGGAGGCAGTACCACGAGAGGGCTTTAATCGATAGAGGATCAACGACGACTCCAACAAGGGAGATTTTTTGGTGGATCTGGAGCCATGTTTTGTTGGAGTCTGAGGGGAGATGGAAGGGGCAGAGTTAGGGACGCGGCACGCCAACATCAGCCAAAGCAACATGACCCGAGGATACCTTGGTTGATGGTGTAGAACCGAATTACATTGTCTTGTGTGTAGACCAGCAGGTTGTTGTCCAACGAATTCATACAGACGGCTGGGTGTGATAGTCGCTCTGTATGTTGGAGATGGGCCGAGTCGAGATTCATTTCGCGGGAGTAAATGCGGATCTACCCAAACAACGGTAAGCGGCATGTTGGCGCCAGCAAGGCTAATCGACTGCGACTATTGGGGCCAACGGCAAAATCGACATACCTCTGCTTCTTTTGATGAAAGGTTCCGACATGCGACAACAAGTAGCGTCTTGAACCAGACCATGCCACCCTGCACACTGAACCCTTGCTCCTATAAAGCACAAGGTGTTTCAGCTCGATGCAGCCGCCGCGAATACAACACACAGTGCCGTTGGCGCTGGCGTGTCCGGTGGACACAAGACGACGCATTTCCATCGATCGCACAAAGGGCCGCGGAGCACAACCCAGCCGAACGCACCTGCGCTTCGTTCCCAAACAGCTTCCACTTGTTTGACACCGTGCTATAATGTGCCAGGCCGCGTGGCCCGGCAATCGCTATGTAATGCCCAGTGAGGTTGATAGATGTATACTGCGGCACAACAATAGCATCAGTTTCATGACGTGAAATTGGGCGCGGATTCAAACCGGGGTGTTGCCAGTCCTACCATGATGGGCCAGTTCTGTGTGATGTAGGTAATTGGCATCTGTAGGTGGCCCAGCAGCAGGAACGCCAATGGAAGATGATGTCAGACGGGTGCCCGGCACTGGGAGAGGCATTGGTGGCTAGAATCGTTCGTGTCCCACGGGCCGTACCTGGATTGTATCCCACTGGATCATCTCAGAGTTCATGACGTCAAAGTCCCAGGAATTGCCCTCGTACACGAGGAGTTTGTCATCGGTCACGAGCAGCACATTTCTGGTGTTGTCCTATTGATTGATCGATTCCAAAGAATGTACAGCTTTAGATCAAGGCACCCATCCGCAGTGAGACAAGGAGGACATGTATCTATACTTACGATGGTGCGGCACTGACTGAGGGTGGACTTTGCAAATTGGAGTGCAAAGATATCGACGATTGACACTGTCGAAAGGCGCATCAGCCGCGATCGTGCCTCGTTGCAGCAAAATCCACAGCGCCGTCATACAGCCCAACTTACAGCAGCCCAGCGATGGCATCGGAAGAAGCAACAGCTCGTGGCCACCTGGTCCCCAAAACTAAAGAGCGTGTCAATGGCAACGCCTGGAGAGCAATGGAGCAAGCAAGCACAAAACTCACGAGGTTGCGGACTCCGTGGAAGTACTGGTCCATTTGTGAGGATGTGTGCTTGTCACTGACGGTCAAGTGGACACAGAATACATCCATTCAATAACCCGATCAAAGATGGATATGTTATAGCGTGTCCTTCCGGGACCTGGCTACAACAATGGCTTCGGGATGCCCGGAAGTGCAGCGGGAATACTGGTCCAGGCACGGCTGCAGTCGACGCATGCTATTTGTGCTTACGGCGATTGGACAAGTGTATCTTCGCTGACGGTACTCATGATGAGCTTGCCGTATACACTCCAGACGCTGCAGCCTCCCATCAGCCATCCAACGGCGAGCGCAAATCCATCATCGGTCCAGGCGAGACTGCCGACTGCTCCAAGCTGCAGTGGAATCTGACTGTCGCCTGGATGTGCCAGCGAGAGGCGATGGGAGAATCGCAGGGCGCCCAAATCTTCGGAAAGAGCGTACACATGCACATCACCTCTAAAGGTTGGAGGAAGTCACAAACGATGGTTTCAGGAGCATGGTTCGGTCGGCCCATGCGCTCATAATATCGGATAGTGGCGACCACCTCGGAAAAGTCAGTCGTTCGCGCCTCCAGTCCCACGGCGCTTACTTGGCATTTCCAACAGCAATCAATGAAAAGGCGTGGTTGATCGAGGCGCTGATCGCGGGCGAGCTCGTCCCATCAGAATTGTAGAAGCACAACCCCGACCATTCGTACAGATGATTCTGTTTGTCGATCTTTGGGATCCCACGGTTTTGGGTTAGCCGAGCCCTGCCCAATGACAAAGCTCCATGATGACTGTGGCAGGCGCTCGAGTAATAGGCATCAATTACAAGAGCGGGAAAGCGCTACGACCCTGATAAGGTCGAGGCATTGCGTTAGGGCTGGCCACTATACCTTTTCGGAATCGCTCGAGGATTTGCGACGGGCAACGTAAGCACGCCCGCTCATGGAGATCCACGCGAAGAGATTTGTGTTGGTGCGGCTGGCCTCGATCTGGATGAGCGCTGATATGATCGAGTATTAAGGTACGAGCTGATTCTGAGACTTTGGCAATCCACTCAGTAACCTACCATCCCTATCGTCCCTGAAGAACTGTAAGCTCGAGAGGGCAATTGTGCCGCGGACCCGAATTTCGCCCGCCCATGAGAGGGACAGAATCGAAGGGGTCTCTTTTGTGCACACAAGAAGCTCCGAAGGAAGACCGATGCCGCTGGGTTGCCACGGACAGAATGTTAATCGATTTGAACAATCGAGATGCTCCGAGCCATCGACCAACTGTACCATTGAACTCCTGTGTCGATTTCAAGCGCCATTCGAAACTTGAGGAGAAGCCGGGGGATGCCAGTCCCCTCACCAGCACCAAGGACATAGTGATGCGGGGCCGCAAAGCTGTACTCGAACATGATGCCGTTGCCGTTTGTGACGTCGTAAAAGTGCAGGAATCCCTTGTCGGTCTGGTGCAGATCGACGGAGAGACAACCGGCGTCACTATTGGGGCGGTGGACAGACTTGGATTGTGCTGTGGCGACTCACTATCACGATAATGGAGCTGTTGTCCGGCTTCCATATCAGATCGACGTTTTCTCCGTCTTCGTCGATTGTCGCTGTGCTGCGGGTGACCCTTGCAATGATGGCGTCGGGCTGCAGGACCACGATGGGCAGTGAGTTAGTCAAAGTCCGATCTCATGAATGATAGGCTTCGCCAGTGGACTACTGCGGATGTGGTCTGTGAGCCAGGTTGCTATCCGGAACACTGGGCCGAAGGGTGATGGTAGGTCCTCTGTGGCTTCTCCATGTCCGGCCCCGTTTGGAGCTGGGACAGGGCTGGGCCTCTGAATCAGGGAATTGCGCACTGCCGAAGCTGAAACAGACCCGCAAGCTCCACAAAAATAGGGTGTTATCCGAGATGCATGCAAAAAGTCTTCCGTCCGGCGAAGCCTTCATCGCGACCAGCGATCGGAGCCGACTGGGACTTGTCAGATACGCCAGGTTGCCATGCCCGTCGCCGAGGCCGGAGGACCCAGTGACATTGGCGAGCGATCCGACCGTGAGCGTTTTTGCAGTGCCGAGGGCGAAGTACATGCTGGTGCCGGTGCAGTCAGGCGGAACTCGGGCTGCTCTGGGAGGGAGGCGATATGCCGGTCGGCTTTGGAGAATGCGTCGATTGCTGATCGATCACCAATGGAGTTCGGCAGACAGCCCCTTGCCGCGCTGCTGGTGATGGACGGCGGCTCAGGTCGAAAGAAGCTCCGACAAGGCCCTGCCGCCAGGGCCAGAGCCAAGCCCTGTCTCGCTGGGCGATCCGAACTGATTCGGATTTGATCTGGTCTGATCGCCAGGATTTCCTCTCACATTGCCCTGCCGCTGGCCTTGCGCACTGCTACTCCCTCGCAGTCATCGGTCCTGTCCACACATGGCTCCAGACACAAAATCCCAGGCGGATCAGGCCCAGACTGGGCTGCGTAAGCGACAAGCTGCCCAAGCAGATGATGCAAAGCGGCCGCTCCAAGCGACTGCCGGGCTCAGGAAGCCGGTGCCTCAGGCAGCCAAAATCCCAACGTAGGTCGAGGTTCCGACCGCAATGAGAGTGGCGGCGCTGAAATGGGAACAAGCGACGAAGCTGACATTCAACTGCGACCATGACACTAGCTTCGTGGTCGCAAAACTACTGTTTTTCACTGTTCTGATGTTCAGTCTGCCCTTGGCAACATTCTTCTATGGACGGGATGCTCTGTTCGACGGTAAGGCGAAGCGTTTTATGCCTCTCAAGGATCTTTATCCAGATTCATCGACGATCCGGTGACAGGACATGGATTTTGATCAATCAGGCTTGATTATGCGGATAGGTCGTGATGGCGATCAGCCGAGCGCTCGGCGGCGATACTTGATGATCCTGTATTGATCCAAAAGCATGGCCCCGATCAATGACAAAGACTGAGTAGAAGAGAGCATTTGAATAATTCTGCCATGCTCTTTTGATATAGGAAATGCCACGTACAGCGCCATCGCCGCCGCCATTATGGCCAACATCGTACTCTTTGCTTTTGTTCTTGCGGCCTTTGCTGAAGACCAAGGGCCAGCCGGCAACGAGCAAAAGTCCAAGTGAGGGGAGGCTCAACCAAGATCATCAAGGGACAATGCTGCGCTTTGAATGGCTCATGCGAATGAATCCGTCTGAAGCAGAATACACATATTTATGGGATTATTCATCCGACCTGGTCCTCACCGTTAAAGTCAAGCGATATTCTCACCACTGTTGAAAGCAACTAAACTCGTGCCTGCATTTCCCAATCAGAAGCGATGGCTCTTCTCTATTTTGACAGTCTCCGGGCAGGGCGCCATCACAAATCCTCAACATAGGGCGTCGAATGATGATGGCGAAGTGAAGGACATGATCGTCGATATTTGGAATGGCTGGGCAAGTGAGAGAGAAACTGCAATGGCCTCAAACAGATTCGTTGCGAAGGATCACCGGAGCAACCAAGGTAAACATTGCGGTAACATGACGATGGGTGTGGCAGACTCGGCAGAACTTGGAGGCAGTACCTGCATTTGGAGGAATGTGCAAGATTAAAACACATGGCTCTGCTCTGTGGCCGACAGAGAGGCATACAAGGGCTGAAGCCATGATTGTATGATTCGAGAAACAGGTTGAGCCAATGAAAGTCGGATAATAGAGACATGAAAAGAACACCTCGTTCAAATGTAGTCGCTTGCGCACATGTTCCCATGAAAACCATTCAGATTCGTTGCCCTTTAGATTCAAACCATGTCAAATCGATAGTCACACGCTATTGCAATAGGGGAGAGAATAAAATCTGAACGCAGACAGAGTGTCAGGATTAGATCATCGTGGTGAATCGACGACCTCTATCGCTCTAACTTTGTGGACCGAGCGGGCATCTGGCGGGGACTAACTGAAGGCAAGAAGTGAGAAGCGGACTGGGAAGTATGATTTGAGGATGAAGCACCCGATAGACATCATTTACAACAAAATCCAACATTAAGATAGCGTTAATTCAATAATATCTCACATATTATTGGATACCACCAACTGCCTTCTACACAATTCGCGATCCTCATGATACTCTATCCAGCATTCAATGACAGCTTCTGGATGGTTGAGTCGAAGTTACGGTTCCATCGCATCATGCTCCATTTTGAGCGCCACTCACAGGTAGAGTGGACTCCCAGCACCTCCTCCCAGGTCTTCGTTTGCCTCGAAAACACATAATCCATGAGTGTGGTTCTAAATGGTTGAAAGTTGATACCGATATGAGAAGACAAGCAAGAGAAAATTGGGGGCCGTTCAAAGTGGTACGGCATCCCAAAGAGAGGGACAGCCGTTGGAAGGAGTAATAACGACGTAGCAACAGATGAAGGAGGTGAACACAGGGGAATGTCGAAAGGAGGAAAAGTTGACCAATCTCGCGGGTTATGGACGCGTACCATGATTATGGGTGTGGCGCAACAGTTAGTTAGTTATGGTACCCATGAATATGGTGGTTGGCAATGATCTAGACGTTAGTGTATTGTACTTTAAATTAGTTCATTCATTTCTCTTTTATTTGATCATAGCGTGGCTTTTCTTGTGACTGTGCTCATTGAGGTGATAGATTCGACAGTCGATGTGAGGAGTGACAGGGCGGTGGGAGGGTACAGCCAGTGAACACGCTTTCTGAAAATAAGGTCATCGCTCTCGTAGCTTGCCGATTGCTCCTCGTCCCTGCCTTCGTCCCAATTCCCACGCCATGATCGCGTCGTGAAGAGCTTCGTCCGAGTTGATGATGTCTGCTTTCCCACGCGGTGCTCCTGAAATTGCACTGGATATCAAATCCTTGGATGAAAGGCCACTCAAATGAGGAGCAAGAAAATATAGCTACAGAGAAGTGCAAAGATGATTGGCGAACAAAGTGCCGCCAAAGTGATGACGCACACTGGAGATCACCGAGATAAATCGATACGATTCCAAGTTAGGTCTGTTTCGTCTCCTGTGCAGAAGGGCGACTCCATCCATCATTAGATCAACCAAGTCGGAGTGCTGGTCGGATGCCAGCTCCGCTGCAACTGTGTCAGAATGCACCGTGTGTCAGATCACGGGATCAAGAGGAGATCAAAAGAAAAAGATAGAGAAGGGTTTTATTGATCTTAGCGAGGCTAGGATCTAGAGTCAAGTGTGTCTGGGGTCGAAGGTGATGACCAGAAACATGAGCGGGTGAAGGCGGGCTATTTATCTGTCTGGCGGTCCCGGAGGCGAAGCCTGCCGCAGCGGGGGCGAAGCAGCGGAGGCGGCGGGACAGCAGCCAGGCAGCAACGGCTAACCGGAGAAACATGTGAAAGTCTGACAAATGCTCGGTGGCTGACAAATGCGGGTGACACAGCGTCTGACTAATGCATGGTCGATGACAAATGCAGGGAAAACAGAGCGGCGTGTGCAACATGAGAGCAAGGAAAAAGGAAAGGCGTCACAGGACAAAGGAAAAGGAAAGTGTGCGACGCAAACAGTGACACAAGTGCGACGGTGCAGCTAGGCGGGCAGAGCGATCTGTGACATCCCCCCCAGAAAAATTGTGCTCAAGTCAAACCATCAATTTTTCGATCCCGAGTTGCGTTGCACTTGTGCTTGGCAAAGGTCGATCAGTGTGTCCATTTCCGGAAGGTTGCGGTTGCGGCTGAGGAAGTCGTGGATATCTGCGAGTCCTCCATCCAAGAGTTCGGCCAGTGGTGCCCACGAGTCGTAAGATGGGTCGTATCCCTGCCAGCGGAGCAAGAACTCGTGTCGATATCCAGGAAGTCGACGTCGTCGGTTGATCCTGTGTCCAATGATCGCTTCGAACACTGATTCGTCGTTGTGGTTGGGTCCGGGTTCATCAAACACAAGTTGGTCGGTCGATGGTGTGTTGTAGGGGACGAGGGCGGAAGCGGGGAGTTCGGTTGTAAATCGGAGGGTCCTCGGGAGTCGAAGTCGATATCCAGTCGTTCCGATCTTCTCGATGATCTTGAAGGGTCCCAAGTACGGCATCCGCATCTTGGAGGGTGTGACGTCGTCCGTGCTGAAGTGATACGCGGTCGTGTCGATCAGGACTTGGTCGCCAATGTCGTAGCTGATATCGCGTCGATGTCGGTTGGCGTAGTACAGGGCCCGGTCCTGGGCCTTGCCGATGTTGTCCGAGACCAAGTCCAGAGTCGCTTGCATCTCCTCGATCGACTGTGCTGCAGGGTTGGACTCGGCGATGATGTCGGTGTTGGCAGGAGTGCGAGGATGTGTTAGAGTCCGAAGGGGACTCAACGGCAAAAGAAGAAGTGAGCTCGAAGTGAGCTCAGGGAAGGCAAGGGTAAAGTCCGAAGTGGACTCGGAGAGGGAGCGAGGGAAGCAAAGATCCGTTCAAGATAAGACTAGTCTCGAAATGAGACGTGAGGAACACTCAGAGAATAAAGTAGAAGGCACTTTATTTAGTCCTATTTTGAACGCTGAGGTTCGACTACACATCGCGGGGGTCAGGCTATTTATAGACAAGTCCGGACTTGGCAGCGAAGGGCGGCCAAGGGAGGGAAAAGTGGGCGATCGAGCAGGGCGAAGGGGGCGATGCACGAACGAGGGCCGAGAAGGACCACCGAGACAGGCAGAGAACCAAAGCGAGGGAGGCGCAAGCAAAAGCGAAGCACCTGGCAGGAGAAACGTGCAAAGGCGAAGCAATGTGACTCAACGTCCAAGAAGCGGATTGGTCAAGTATAAGGTTGGGGCAAATGCATGCGAGATGAACAAGAGATCGGGGCGGTCAGGCAGGTCATGAGTCACCGGTGGTGGGACACATGACCGGCAGCCGAATTGCAACCAATCGCAGCAAGGCGCGTGCACAAACAAACCGGCGCGTGCGAAGAAGACAAAGGAAGCGGAGCAGCGCGGGGAAACGGAAGTGCGGAAGGAGCGGAAATGGCAGGCAAAAGGCGGAAAATTGGAGGGGAACTGCAAAGCTACACACAAACAAACAGAAAGGCAAAAGAACAGCCAAGTGTGCAGTCAAAGTGGAGAACAAGCAGAAGCTATCCCTAACATCATCCCCTTCCTTAGCGACGAACTCCGGGCGTCGCCTTCGGCTTTGAGGGATAGCGAAGGTGGAAGTCAGCAACAAGATCAGTGGCGTGGGAAACATTGGCAGCGGGCTCCCAAGACCGGTCAGTCTCGGAATAGCCCTTCCACTGAACCAAGTACTGTAAGCGACCACGGAAGAGCCGAGAATCGAGAACAGTCTCGACCTCAAACTCTTCCTGGGAGTCAACAAGAATGGGTGGAGGTTCGGGTTGGGTGAACTCGGGAACAATGTCCTTCGTTCGGGGTTCAAGGAGGGATACATGAAAGACGGGGTGGACTTTGAGTGTGGAAGGGAGTTTAAGTTCAAAGGCAACGGGGTTGATGCGGCGAAGAACTTTAAAGGGGCCAAGCTTTTTCTGATCAAGCTTGTTGGAGGGACGAAGGGTGCGGATGTGGCGACGATCAAGAAAAACGAGGTCGCCAACGGAGATGTCGGGAGTGGGGAGACGGGATTTGTTGGCCTGCAAAGTGTAGGACTCTTGGGCAACCCGGAGGTTGGCCTTGAGATCCTCGAGAACGGTCTGAAGTCGGTCGACACGTTCTTCGGCAGAGGGCACAACAGAAGGATCACGGATGATGGAGGGATCAAAAATGGGGTGATGGCCATGGACTGCAAAGAAGGGAGTCATGCCAGTGGAGGTGTTTTCCGAGTTGTTGTAAGTGAACTCGGCAAGGGGAAGGTGAAGGGTCCAGTCGTCTTGCAGGTAATTGCAATGGATACGCAAATACTGCTCGATGACCTGGTTGAGAACCTCGGTCGAACCGTCGGTCTCGGGGTGGAAGGCAGAAGAAAGGGAAATCTTCGTCTTCAGAAGCTCATTGAAGCGCCTCCAGAAGGCCGAAGTAAACTGAGTTCCTCGGTCCGAAACAATAGACCGGGGACAACCATGCAAGCGGAAGATGTGGGAGAGGAAGAGTTCGGCGGTTTGCTCGCCTGTAACCGTCTTCGTGGTGGGCACAAAGTGTGCTTGTTTGGACAGGCGGTCCTTAACCACGAAGATGGAGTCAAAGCC